AAAAATGCATATAGAAAGTAGAATTTTTTCAACTTAAATTTTGAAAGTGTTCCGGAAAGTCTGACACTTTTATATATATCTTAAATTAAAGCTAATGTAATAAACTTTATTATGCAAAAAAAATATTTCGGACTTTATTTTATCTTCATGGTGAAAACAGATATCAAAGTTTATAAAAAAATACGATTTTTGTAAAAAAATTCTTTTTTATATTTTTAACTTTATAATGCTATAACTTCTCGAAAGATGTATGGATCAATATAATTCTTTTTTTTGTAGATGCATGATGTCTTTACCTATCATTTGGTATATTTTTTTTATAAATCTGACTTTTGACCTGCCTACAGGGGGGGATTCAAAATGACAACTTTTTCACAAAAAATTAACTTTTTCAACTTAAATTTTGAAAGTGTTCCGGAAAGTCTGACACTTTTATATATATCTTAAATTAAAGCTAATGTAATTTACTTTATTATGCGAAAAAAAAATTTCGGACTTTATTTTATCTTCACGGTGAAAATGGCTACCGAATGCTATTATTGTGTGAAAATTCTCGATTTTATTTTTTACATTTTTAACTTTATAATGCTATGACATATTGAAAAGTGTATGGATCAACATTATTTTTTTATGAGAAATAATATTTTTTAATAATCACTTTTTCATTCTACATACTTTATCTTAATTAGGATATTAATAATGAACTAGCAGATCATGTAGCTTTTGGAATACTCCGCCAATTTTTTAAAATTAAACAGTATCTATAGATTTGCATCGAAGCGTTTTTTTTTTTATAGTGATTTTAATCACTATCAGATATCATTATACTTGATCCAACTATGCCACTGTGCCGCGACACCCCTGTGCTGGGTTTTTTTTTATTAATATCAGGACATTATAATAAAAAATGTTCGTTTACCAAATTTACACATTTAAATAATAATTTAACTTCTTATACTCTTTCATAGCTTTTATACTTGGACTGTAATCTACTTGATAGCGTTTATGTCTGAATTACACAACAAATCAGTAATAACATATTTTTCAATCACTTTTATAAAAGTAAATGAGACTCTCTAATACTCGGGCGCTTTTCTAAAAGAGAACCACTAAAAGATTTTAAGTATACATAATTAAGATTTTCTGAAAATATAGTTTTAATTTTTGAAACTCTCATATATGAATTCTAATAAATATAAAAAAATTATAGTATACACTCAAATTTTTTTTTAGATTTAAATNAAATATCTAAGGTTTTAGTTTAAAAAAAAATTATGTTCATTTGTTGATTTTTGAAAAAGTTATGGAAGTTTTAAGAAAAAAAAAAGAAAAAAATGACAAAATTAATCGTTTTATTATTACAATGGAATTATTAAGGGGTATAGTTTTTATATACAGCTAATTGAAAATCATGTGTACTGTAAATTAAATATAAATTTTATATAGATCCGGGATTTATGGCCGAGCTACCGACTAACATAAACAATCATAAAAAAAAATGTATTACAAATTATGTAAATGAATATAATTTCAAATTTAAAACTTATGTACAATTGTATTTCATGTACATTTACATTTTATATTGCAAGTGGAAAAATGCCCCCAACATATAAAACTATATTATCAATTCATACAACAAAGCAAATGAATTATTAACGGTCATATACAGAGTGTAAATACGTAAAGAAACGGATTTCTATTTTTCAAATAGTTTATAATAATTGACCGGTTTCCTTAGTTACTCAATACTCTTTATATTTATTTAGTTATAAAATGAAAACGTTTCAATCAATTACTCTTTTTTTCTAGTTATTATTAGTTTTTAATTCAAATGTTTGAATTGTAAGCTTTTATACTATTTTTATGATTAGTTTATTATTTTCCCAATCATAATTTGAAATAACCATTCATTACTTTGTATACATATTTTTTCACGGTAATTTATGCAATATAAATATTTACTTTGTATATGAAATAACTTTATGAAGTTTATTTCATTTAAAGGGGAAAAAATATTTTGATTTCAAAAGACGTCACTTATTTCTTAAAGAAAAACTCACAAGAAGATATAAAATAAATAATCATACATTTTATCTCCCTCGTATCATAAAAAATGGTAATTTATTATTTTTTAAATTAAATTATAGAATAGTTTATACTTAATAATCATTTGCTTGGAAGAATAATTAAAAATTTTATTAAGATAAATAAATGTTAAAAAAATGATCAAGTCGTCAAAACTAAATCACAAATCACTTAAATAAACAAAAAATAAAAGCTATATTAAGAATTTTTTTTTTGTTTTATGTTCAATTCTTCTAAATTTATTAATTATAATGTATTTTTTATATTCATCCTTTATACCTTATAAAAGTGTCAAATTTATTTTTTCAAAATTTGAATTTATATTAATTTCAATTGGCATAAATAAATTACTATGGATAATAGACAATCTATTTTAGTATTTTTCAGCTCGAGATATTGTTTCAAAAAATGATTTTTATGAAGACATAAGACCACTTCTTTTGCTTTGCAAGTTTTTTGGCAAGACAAGTCTTAAAAATATATTTTTCGGGAATATCACGTTTGAATGGGGAATTAACTGCCTTTGGCCAGTAGTATGTACTCTATTTAATTTTATTAAAATTAAATAAATGGATTGAAAATACCTAAATCATCGATAAGAGATTAAAAATTTATTATAATATTCAATCAATTTAATTTCTCATATTCAAAAGCTGTTCATTATCATCATCACCCTAGTAACATTTTTTAAAATTGTTACCTCGGCATATCTTTATCCCAACTATTTGTGGTCGGCTTAAACGATTTGACGGAATTTTACATCGGTTATCGATCTGATGCAACCTTATAGTGCCTGAGGGAACCAGTATAGGAGCAAGGTGTGTGTCACTGTTTTTCCATTTAAAGAATAATATTTTCTATTAAATGCCATTAATATTTTAAATGTTATTTTTCTCTCGTATCATCTTTTAGAAAATAACCACAGGTTTTTCTGTATTACTGATTTAGGTAATTTCTAATCAAAATCTTATAGTAAAACTTTAAGTTTGAATGAAATAAGTATTGTCAAGTATTATTGTTAGTTTGATGACTTAAAACCATTAATTTTTGGCTAAAAAAATGTATTGATAATTATATTTTTTTCACCGAAGTAAAAAAGCAGCAAAGAATTAAAAAGAAATTAAAACTAAAATTTGCCCCCATTATATTCGATGTACTAAAAATTCCAATCACTAATAATTAAATTATTAAATTAAATTATTAATTAAATTATGAGATATAACCCAACCACTACTCTATGAAATCATCACTGTCTCTAATAACACAATGAGATAAAACAAATTCAATNTTTTTTTTTTTTTTTTTTTTCAACCGTTAGGTTGGTTAATACCAATAGGATTGGTATATCCTGGGGAAATTTAAGTGCAGTGGTTTCCCGTTGCCTTCTGCACTGGGAACATGGTGCTTTTTCGCCACCGTAGAAGCGCACGTATGGTCATCCATCCGTTCACCTACGGCGGTAGGCGCGGCTTAACACTAGAGTTTTGTCAACAACTAGTGTGACCACCGCGCCACACCACGTTTTTACCTATAGTTCATTATTGTACTTGAAATAGAAAAAAAATTCCCTTTATTTTCTTTCTTACTAACTACTACAAAATATATAACTAAAAGTACTTGTTTTTTTTTCGATACTGTAGTTTTTACTAGCAATACAAATTTCTATTCTACTTTTGAATGCTCTAAATACTAATGTGCCTAACATATGGTTATGGGTTACTGACAATACACTGAGAGAATCTTGCCATTATTTAACGACATTATATTCAGACTTCAAATCTCCAACTATAATGGCTAACATTTACAAATTTGACTTAATGCATGGTCGTCCTCAGAACTGTCATAGAGGTCCAAGACATTTTGTTGTTGCTTACATAGTATTTTCATGCCTATTAATATCATTTGCCATATCAGACATATTAAAGAATAAATTAACTTTCAAATTTATCTGTGAAACTGTTAACAGGTTAGTCTACGATAGTATAAAACTATTTATATAAGTAATGTAACACTATAGTTGTGCAAAAATATAATTTGCCTGTTTTTTTCATAGATATTCTACATCAATATTTCCCTTAATGTATCTATATTTTTGTGATGAAATGCATAAACGGTTTCAATTGCTGAAGACTCGATGGCAAACTCACATAGTTAAAATGATAGAAATTGAACCGAAATCTATCACGTGTCATGCAATGGAATTTGAGCGATTAGCGCATGCTAAACTTTGTGACATTGTTAACGATATTTGTATAGCATTTGGACCTCGAATTATAATATATTTGCTATTTGTATTTTTTGATAATTTAGCTAGCTTTTACTTTTTATTTTATGTAAAACCTGCATTTCTTAATTCTCATCCAAATATTTCTTCTAGTTTTTCTAACGCTTTGGAGCCATTTGTATTTTTAGCACATACATTGACTGGAACTTACCTTATTGCAAATATGTCTGACTTATTAACAAAATCAGTTGAGTTTATATTTAAATATTGTAACTTGTGTATATTTATAAAATAAAAATATTAATTTAACATTTGTTAAAAACATTTTTAAGACATTTTAATTGACTATAATAAATAAACAATTAGCAAATAAAATAAATTAACACAATTATTTTAATTTATCTCAAAAATATTAAAATTTATTAAAATATAATTATGTAAAAATTTACATCTCGTTATAGAGTAAATGCATAATAAGGGACTTAAGAAATATTCAATTATGGAAATTACCGAAATCTTATTCTGAACAGGTAAATAATATATTTTTATGGTTTATTAACAATTAAAAAATTATGTATGACATTTAAAAATTTTCTAACTAATATTTACTGTCTTTAACAGATAAAATTTTTTATGTCTCAAGTACATAAATCTAAAACAAATATCACGGCTTCTGGATTATTTGTCGTCAATAAAACTCTTCTATCATCAGTGAGATTTTAAATAAATAACTTTTTAATCAATTTTACTTGATAAAAAAATTAAGACATAAGATTTCTTGCTTTTATATTTCATTTATTACATTGAATAGGATCACCTTAACAAAATTGAGATACTTTTACTATAAATCTATGTTTTATATTCAAAAACTGAAGTCATAAAAAATGTTTTTTGGAAATTTAATGGTTTGTAAAGAGAAAGAATACTTTTTGTGTGGCAAAAACTTACAAGTAATTTTATCTAGGTTTGTTTTTTTTTTTTTTTGAATTTTTAAAATAATTATATTTATAAGAAATATCATTGAAATTTTTAATCCTTTTACTCTCTTAAATAATTACTAAAATTGACCTATCAACTTTTGGAAAATAGCCACATGAAATGTTTGTTTCTTAAGAATGTCCTCAATCATATGTGATAAAATGTTTTATTTATTACATTTTTTTTTAAATTATTTTTGTTGCAGATAGTTATGTCATTAGCTACATACATAATAGTAGTGATACAAATTTCACCTGATTTAAACCATATTTTTATAGAACACTTTTAGTCTCATTGTTATATATTTGTATTGTAAACTTAAGAAAAAATTATTTAGCTAAAAATTAGTTTTTAATATTATTTGTAGAATGTGCGCCATATTTTTTATTTTTATGTTGTGTTACTTAAAATAAAATTTACTCACATCCTCCTTCAAAGTTAATGACTATAATATAACAAATATTAATGAACTTATGCAACAAATGTATTTTGTTCAATAATTGTTTTTAAGTAGATTTTTATAAAACTTCTGTCGATCTTGTATTTTAGCTGATAATAAAATATTTTTAAAGCAAGAATCTAGTTGGTATATAGAAATTACTGATTTAAATATTTAACGAATTTTACAAGTTATGCATTGATATGGTTTCAATAGAATTAAAAGCTTGGATCACGTCACTGATTACTCACTCTTTGACATTCGAAAAAAAGCCATTGATATTAATCATTTAAAAAAATAATACATTTTATGTTATTTATCATTTATGATTTAATTTATAAAATGATAGACATTATATTTCAATTCAACATAAATAAAATTATTAATATTAAATTATTTCAAAATATTTAAAAATATGACAAATAAACCTCTTTTTGCATGAAAAAAAAAATATTAACAAAAAAAATTTTTTTGTTTTGTTCATCATATTTGAATGATGTGAAAAATAGTAAAAAAAAATTAAAATTCCTATTTTGAGTGAAAATTCAACTTAAGTTATCTATCCTCATACGAGAAGTTGTGCAAATAATAGCAAAAAAAATTTTTAAATTAAATTATTTTTTACCATTTTAATAATTTTAAATAAAAAACTTTAAATTATTGTCTAAAATAAATCAAGTAATACTACTATTTGATTAAAGTAAATTTTAAATTGTATTTAATCACTTGTTTNAAAAAAAAAAAAAAAAAAAAAAAAAAAAAAACACATCATAGTAAAATTAATACCTTCTCAGCTTCGCATCGAAGCTAAAACATTAAACTAATGTTTAACATATCTAACATAAAATATACTCTTAGAAATATAAGTATTTTACATTATAATTTTCAACAAATAACTTTAACACATTTTTAAAAACAAATAAGATGATAACTTATAACTTATTTAGAATAGGAACTTAATTTCCAAATTTATCAAATCTAATATCACATGTTTTACATAACATAATAACATGAGATTATTAAAATTTATATTCTTTTGAGTAATTTTGTTGATGTAAGATCAAGTGTACTATTATTTTTATTATTATTTTTTTCTTTTCTCATTTTATTTAATTGTTAAGCTATAATAATACTTTGTATTGAAAGCTAATAAAAAAAAAAAAAAAAAATTCATAATTTTTTATTACAGAGATATAAATTAATAAATAACCAAGTATTTTCTTGTATTTTTTCAAATACAATTANTAAATAACCAAGTATTTTCTTGTATTTTTGAATTAGTAAAATTTTTTCAAATACAATTAACTGAATATGATTTATAATTACAAACTTGAAATGGTATTTCATCAAATTGAAAGTAAAACAATAGAATTATTCAATAAAATATTTTAATACATGTAATATGAAAAGTGGACAATTTAATTACTCATTCAACTTTTAACTTAATCGATAATACAAAACATAATATTAGAAAATTATTAAATAAAGACGACAATTATTAGTTTGTCATAAAATAAAACCAGTTCTGTTTTTAGAGAATTATCAAATTCCTTTAAATATTGATGATTCAGTTTTGTTGTATACATTTTTTTATTTCTTTAAATAACTCTATAGAAATAATGGATGTTAAACTCAATAACATCCATAATAAATGTGAAAAAAAATTCTATGATTTTAAATTGAATTGAAGTAAACTTCAGAATAGTAAATTCCAACTCCTAACATGTAAAATAAATTATTATTTATTTAAATAAAGTGATTGGAGGTTGAACATTTATAAATGTAAATCAAAACAAAAATTGAATTGTAGAATAATTATAATTAAAAAGATATGTTGAAAACTATTATGGAGTAATACTATATTTATATTGTATTATCAGTTAAAATTCAAAAATTAGTAATGAAAAATTTATTACAAGTGTTATAGAAGAAAAATTAATACATAAAAAAAAAAGTTGAACAGAATTTTTTTTATTACTAAAAAATTTAAAAAAATTAAGCTGATCCATTTACTTATCTTAACAATATTTAACATTCTAAATTAATATGGTAATCATTATATTTTTTATACCTTGCATATTTTAGGTATATTTGTACATTATTACCATTGATAAATAAAATATTTATTATTCAAAAAATATAATATATAAAATATGTTTAGTTCATTCTTCTTAATTCGTATTAATTTTGTTTCTAAACTACCATAATAATTTTCTATTTTAAAAGACATTTTTTCATATTATTGTGTTTTTTTATTAATGGTTCATATGTGAATATTTAGAATTAGTTCTTGGATTCTAAAGTTTTATTTTTATTTTGAATTCAATACTTCAAAAAACATGCTCAACTTGATATTTTCTTTACAATAAATAACAAATTATACTTAAATTAAGTTATATTTTAATGCTGATTTTTTCAAGAGTGCTTTCTTAATAATTGATATCAGTTTTAGAGAATGTATCAATTTTTTAAAATAACTATTGGTTTTTATTTTCATTTTTCATTTTAAATATAAGTGTAAAATGATGAGTAATTATTTAATCATAAAAATTGTTTTCTGTTATTAAAGTCAAAGTGATTTTGGCTTCATACAAAGCATTTAGTGTTGTTTAAAATTCAGTGAAACATCTAAAAAAACACATCTCGTTGGGGTTCCATTAAGTTCATAAATGCATTATAAACTGATTTATAAAAATATACCAGTTGAAAACTGGTAAAAATAAATTGATAAAAACTCAGAGACACTATCACAGTGTTGTTAACCTAATAAATTGACAGCTAAAAAATAATAATTCCTCAAGTTTATTGTAAGAAATGTCTATAACATGTTCATGAGTTACTAACCATTTTAAATTTGGTCAGTTCTTATAATTTTTAAGAAAGTATTGTTTATTGTATAAAATTATTTTAATATGTATCAATTTACTAGAAAATTATTACATATTGAAATCATAAAATATAAAACTACATGATAACAATATAAAATTATCATTTTATATGCGTTAAAATAGACAATATATATTTTATAACAAGATTCAATTGTCTTAAAGTTATTAAATCAAAAATTAAATCTCCAGAAAAATAAAATATAATTTTAAATTAATATTTTATCATTAATAGTATTTAACCATTAATAAAAACGAACATACAACTTTAGGCAAATTTGAGATCATAGTTTTTAAACAATTACAATTTTAAAAGAGAAAACACGAGCAAAATTGTTCATCTACCACCAACATAAATCAGGTGGGAAAGAAAGTATGCCCCCCCTGAACTATGTTAGTGGTAGCGTGGACACTATTTAGACATTGGGTGATGGAACGATATCTGGCCGCACCGACGTTACGTAACGCGCTTCCAAGAACAGCGCCCCATCTCGCCTATCCCGAAAAACGCGTTACGAACACCGCTGCGACGAGATTCGAACCACCTACCAGAAAACTTAGAAATCGGTATTTTACCCAATGCCGCTAGTGCCCACGGTGAACTCATGAAGCAAAAATGTACTTATTTAAAAGACACAGATTGAAGAGTTATATGACTTGTTATCAATAACATTATAATAGATGTCATACAAAAGCTCTTATCTTTTTTTTAAAAGAAAAATCAATGACATAACCTCATCTAATAATAAATGCTAGGTTTAACTTATTCTGTACAGGGCCGGATTTGACGGAGGGTTTTAAGGGCACTTGCCCCGGGCAACAGATGTTTGGGGGCATCCGGATGCCGAATACTATAAAAAAATTTTTTTTTAATTTTTCAACCCTCGGCTTATGAAAAAATCAACTTTAAAAAATAAATATTGTTTTGTATTTATATAATTTGGGGTGCAAAATTGATACCGACATACGTCACATGATAACAGAACGACATTGGGGCATACAGCAAACACAATATAATACTTTAGTACAGTGGTTCTCAATCTTTTTAGGACCACGACCCAAATTTTTTTCCGAAAATCGATCGCGACCCCCTTAGTTTTACATTAACAAAATCAAAAAAGTAATTTCAATAAACAAATTTTTTCTATTTTATTAACTATAAAATAACTACTTCTTTATAATAAAAAAAAATAATAATAATACTAATATATAATAAATTTATAATAATTATAATACTTAATTAATAATTAGGCGAATGTGATGGATGCGCTTGTTTCCTGCAATCTTTGATAACAGCACCAACATCGACGTCAATTGTAGTTATTTTTAAACGCAAGGAGTGCGATAGTTGGAGTTTATTTCTGAGTTTGTTTTTTATTCCCACCATTGCCGAAAATCCAACTTCGCACAAGTATGAAGATGAAAAAGGTAGTAATACCTTTAAAGCCTCAGTTGAAAGAGTTGGGTAAGTTTGTTGAGCTGACAGCCAAAACTCAATCAAATGATTGCGGCTATATTTAAGTTTTAATGATGCATCTTCAGACAAATCAATGAGTTCTTCTTCAGCTTTTGTTGAGATTCCTGTGAGTGTGGCGTCCTGAAACGGATTCACAACCCAGTTTTTTTTTTGGTATTTTTCTATTTCTTCAAAGAAGTATAATTTAAAGTTATCTTTCAATGAAATTAAATGCAAAGTGATTTGGTTAATTATGTCATCGGGAACTTTTATATTATTTTCGGTTATGAAAGTTTGAAATGTTTCAAAACAATCATAATTTTGCTTTTCAATGTTATTTTGCCATAATGTAAGTTTTTTTATGAAACCTCTAATTTTTTCATGGACCGCAAATATATCGGCTCTTTCTGTTCCTTGTAAATATAAATTTAGTTCGTTCAGTTTCGAAAATATGTCGGCTAAATACGTGAGCTTCAAAATGAAATCTTCATTGTGTAACGATTTTGCCAGATCAGTTTTTTCTTTAAGAAACAGTGCAACTTCTTCACGGAGTTCCACAAGTCTTGTTAGTACTTTTCCTCTTGAAAGCCAACGTACATCAGTGTGCAAAAGAAGAGATTTATGAGAACTTCCCATCTCTTCACACAACCTTTCAAATAATCGTGATTGCAATGGCCTTGTCTTAATGAAATTGACTATTTTCACAGAAGTGTTCAACACGATTTTCAAGTTATCCGGAAGATTTTTCGATACTAAAACTTCCCTGTGAATGTTGCAGTGAGTCCATGATGCATTCGGACTAACTTCAAGCATTCGAGTTACAACACTACTATTTTTACCACACATAGCTCTAGCACCGTCTGTACATAATCCGATACATTTTACCCAATCAAGACCTTTTTTATTGATATAAGTATTGAGGGTATTGAATATTTCCTCACTAGTACCACGTATAATTGGTTCACAAAATAACATATCTTCATGTGGTCCGTTGTTCCATATATAACGAATGAATACAAGCAGCTGACATAAACCTTGAACATCGGTAGATTCATCTAGTTGTAGTGAGAAAAATCTACTTTTACTGACTCTTTCAATCAGCCGATTTTCTGTCCATTGAGACATGTCATTAATTCTACGTGTAACTGTATCATTTGATAGTGGTATCATTTCGACGTCTTTTGAGAACTTGTCACCAAACATTACTCCAACTGTATCTTTTATTGCTGGCAATACTAAATTCTCTCCGATAGTATGTGGTTTGCCAGCTTTTGCGATTCGTAAACTTATCAGGTACGAAGCGTGCATAGCTTTTTCATTGAACTTGGTGAACTGTGTAATTTTTGTTTTGGATGTGTTCAGTTCTTTCAACTTTGTTTCGAAATAAGAGAGTGGTTTATCTATCAGATCAGGATGCTTAGTCTTAATATGCCGACGTAATTTATTCGGACGCATACTCTCGTTTGCAAGTACTTCAAAACAAATTACACACTGTGGTCGTTGTTCATCATTATCTTCTTTCCAAGAAAAACCAATTTTTAGGTACTCTGAATCATACTTTCTTGTCTTTTTTTTTCGTTTTAAAATCGAAGTTGAAGGTTCACTTTCATCAGTTTCAACTTCTCGCTTATTTACCAACCATTTATACATCATATAATTTTTGTAAATAATCTGTCTCAGAAATAGCGCGCACAATAACACCAAGCAATCGATCGCACCAAAACGAACGCACGCGGTACAACACACTCATACACGTTCACGACACATAAACTAAAATTACAAGCCGGCGATGATACAGCGTAACGACTAACGGCTAACTGAAATTTTATAGACAACAGTTGTCTATAAAATTTACCGAGTACTGTCTTTATCGTCATATTTTATCGAAATATTTCTGCGATAACGACGTACCAAAAATACCCGTCCTTATAGTTCTTATATTACTTTATACTTCTATTATAGTTCTATAGTAGTATAGTCTATACAATTAAAAAAAAATAAATTTCTTACAATCTGTATAGTTAAAAAAACTTCTCGCGACCCCCCAAAAATTGACTCACGACCCCCCAAGGGGTCGCGACCCACAGTTTGAGAAACGCTGCTTTAGTATATTGGTACAAACGTTCGAGTGATTATGTCATTTTTTATTAAACAGCGTGGTGGTAGTACCCGTGTTTGATAAGACGTGACTTTGACTTCTACGAATCTCGATACCATATTATAATAGCGATTAGTGCAGGCTAGAGATGGGAATTATGGTTCACCTAAGTGATCCGATTCATTCGAATCAGGTCAACTAGAAGATCCGGTTCAAAGACCCGTTCGCGATCTAAAAGATATTTTGAGTCAATGGAACATTCAGTATGGTTTTGATTCTTTTGCGGTTCTCGATTCGCGAATCGCATGTATGATTCGCGATTCGGATTAGGGATGTGTCGTATAAACAAATGACATATGAATATGTTATCATGTTATCATTGATATTTGGTAAGCGATCAAATCGGTACAGTGTGATTTATACGGGAAAAAATTAGTTTTTGGGGGATCCGGATCACTACGGTTCGGCGATCTGAATCATTTCGTTCACTATTTTGACCCGTTCAATTCGATCCGTTCGTTCGCGAACGACACATCTCTAGTGCAGGCCGTCCGTCGTTGTGTTATTTTGTTTTCACGTATCTTGGTTATCCTTTTTATTATAAACAAACTTGAAATAAACACGTTTTAGGTAGATAGTTATAAAGTGCAAGTTTGGAAATTTTAAAACTTTTTTCCTTAACTACTTCGATAATGAGTATTTTTTTATTTTACTGTTAAGGGCCTCAAAAAAAAAATTTGCCCCGGGCATCCAAAAGTCTAAATCCGGCCCTGATTCTGTACTAATATATTCTATTATTTTCATTCATTTCATTCGTTTTGATGTTTACTTAACTAACTAAGTTAAACAGAAACTATTTTATAATAAGTTTATTTCAACAACTTTTATATTTCTTGTATTATAAGTTTTAACCAAACTACAAAAATACAATTTCTACATAATGAAATGTTATGTTTTTGATAAAATACACTGAAATCCATTCTAATATTAATAAGCAAGTACTCTTAAAAATGTTAATTTATGTCAAAAAAATCCTTTTTATAAGAAAATGAAATATAATTGTTATAATGCAAAGAAGAAATAAAGATTTACAAGCAATTTTTTGATATATTCAATTTAAGTATTGGTTGGTGCATACTGAAGTTATACTAGAAATATTTTAACTTCAATTGCTTATGACATTGAAATTCAACAATGAAATACTGTGATAATAAACTAATAATGATTAGCTCAAAACATGTATCTAATCTACTTATTACTCAATTGATGTTTCCAAAACTAATTTATCAAAATAACCAAGCAAATAAGTTTGAATATTATAAAATATAGTAAAGATTATAAGTTAAATTCTGAATATTTCATTATACAAATTATTAAAAAAATTAGTCTGACTACATTTTTATTTATCATAATATTTTGTTGTTTTATTAAAACAATTTTATTCAGTTTAAAAAATTATTTAAAAAAAAATTACACGTATAGTAACCATAACAATTAATATAACATTCATTTTTTATTTTGATATACATTTAGAAATACTTAACCAAAAATAGTTATTAAATTTTCATATTATAAATTGGAGTTTACCCCATCACTTCAATTTAAAATATGTCAATTTACATTTAATTAATTTAGTTTGTTTTGTTGATATTATTATTGAAAAAAATGAATTTTTGACCGTAAATACATTTATTATAATATGTCTCTTTTAAAGAGAATTTGTTTTTTATTTTGAATGTAATTATGTAAAAACTAAATATTTAATTTAATTAATTTAACCATATTTTTATAATATATCTGTATTTAATTAATTCATTGAAACAATTTTTCTAATAAATTAATAATAGAATAATAAATTTTTATTCATTAGAAAATTAAAATTATATGTATTATTATTTTGAGTATGAAATATACAAATAAAATGTTTTCTATTTTGTATTATTATATATGTCAGTTATAAAATGTTTACAATTAATTATTAATAAATATATTTTATGTTTTATGTTTTATTAATTGACTTTTGATATGATTTATTTATTAATCTAACAAATGAATTATGTAATTTAAATAAATATTCTTTTTGAATTTTTTCTATTTTATCTTTCAATATTTGTTCATATGTATTTAAAAAATAATGTGTTATTTTGGGTTTTTTTGGGTTTTTTTAACTCCAATAAGCAACAGATTTTTTATAACATATATTTGAAAAACATTGGTAAATTTATGCTTGATATTTGTAATTATTATTATGAATAAAAATATCAATTAAAAAAAAATTTCTTTAAATCCTCTTCAACTAAGTTTTATTATATTAAAGGATGATAATCATTGTTCATTGTATAAGGTTAGTAACTTTTTAAATATATTTTAAAATATCATCAATATATTAACAGGCTATTTATTTCAATTGTATATTTTCTTAAATATCTTACTGACTAATTCTGTTTCCATAGAAATACTGTTTTCATATTATGCAATTAAAAATGGCGAGAAATTTGTTTATTTCTTAAATTGATGAATTGTGCATTCTACTTAAAATATAAGTGAGTAAACCCAATGTAATATAATAAGACATACAAGCAACTGGACGATGTTCTATCACAACAGAATAGTAGTTGAATTATTAAGTAGTGAATTATCCAATAGAGCTTATGGTACAGTGAAATTATCATAATATTTATCTGACTAGTTTCATATACATGCTGATTTTTTATGGATTTATCTTAGAAATACGTATTTAAAATTAATATATGCTATGCGCAACAGAAAAATTAAAGCGCACGTCCTATAATTAAAACTATTTTAGTGAATAATTAGAAACAATGTATACATTATTTAAAAATTAATCATCAAAACAAAAATCAATCTGTGAAAAATAAAAGAGTACAAAATGTTGCTTATAGAGCAATAAGATTCTATAGGTAAATCTATTTAGTTTTTAATAGATAGAACTTTAAAAAAAAATTAAATAAATATTGCAAGCTTAGTAACTTTAAAAGTAATAATATCAACATTCTAAGTCAAGTACTAAATTAATTACATAATGAATTATTACGTAGAAAAGTAGTGGTTAATCTAGTAACATATGTCCGGTGTAAGGAGGAGTATGTGATATTTTTCCTAACACGACAACCTCATAATATAATGTTTGTTAAAAAAAAAAATTAAACCACATGAATTAAAAACTTCACATAAAAAAAGTAGTACAACATGACAATAGTACAATAGTTATTATAAATAATAATTTCTCAAATTGATTAATTTTTACAAAAAATTATAAAGAATTAAAAAATTAAAAAGTCAATTTGAAAATAGAACCTTTACATTTTCATGCCGCAAAATGATAAAGACGCGTTAAAATCATTTTGACGAATAACGACGAACAATGGTTATGATTGACTAAAATATTTAATTTGATAACACACATGTTTTTCAACAACTATCTACTTTTACTTGTAAACGTGAAAAAAATGCAATCTTAGATCATATTTTTATTGATATTTAATAATTCCATTGATAAGGTACAATATCAATTTAACAATATTTATTGATCGTTTCATGCTCAAATACGATCATTAAGATAAACCAAGCAACAATAATCAGGCAATTTATGATTATTGCGTCTACGGAATTACACATTGATTAGTTTTTACTGTGGCAAAATGAGCTACCAAACTCAAAATTGATGCTTTTAAACAACAAAATCTCAAAAATGACTTGTCCAATTTTAAAATTTTAAAAGTATTTTTGTTATAAATAAAATTTCCTAACTGAAAATTTAAAAAAAAGTAATGGTTTCCATTTAAATTTCTTAAGTTAGGGTAGATTTCTACCCTTTTTCATTAGGGTTGAACTTTAATTTTAACCGTAAAAGATGCATTTAATTATTCAAATAGCCTCTAAAAAAAAAATTGTAAAAAAATCAATAGCGGCTCTAAAAAATCGGTATTTCCGAACTTATTAAACACCTGTATAATATCCACGAGTTCGTTATACTCATATTTAAAAAATGAAAAAATATGCGCAAGTACCACCGTTTATTTTTGAAACCATGAGGGTAATGTGCCACCATACTGTCCATCATATCTACCCCACCCATGGAACTTATTATATTCTTCAATGGCAAGGGGTCGCGGTAATATAATTCTAGATTTTGATGATCTATCATACCTTGATAACTTCACCTTCAGGAGTTGATCCATTTTAAGTACATAATATAAGTACATACATAATAAAAATTAGCAAAGTAGAAATTATAAAATGAATAAATTTGTATTTTAGTATACACTTTATAGTTTTCAGTTTGCATCATGTCTCATACGGGGACATAGGAATTATCAAAGTATGCACACAGCCTCGTATGAGGACATCACATAAATTCCGTTTTTTACCTCAGAAAAATTAAATTTAGATTCTTCGTTGGAATTATCTTTTTATAATTTTTTTATATTATTTTTAAGTATATTGCAAATAATCATTAAGTTTACTTACGATTTGGTGGATTTACAGCAAAAACCAAATGACCAAATGCTATAATAATCGCACTCGCTGACCGTTTATTATTTTTCGGTTGTTATAGTAATAAATAATTCTAATAACAACTAAAACTATGTTAGAAACGATTTTATAGGAGTTTGTAAATAATAATAACACTTTACTGAAAATATAATGATACTCCCTAATAATATAAAATTGGTATTAAACATGTGTCCTCATATGGGACTGTATGCAAGAAGAGGTTAATATAAGTGAGTCAAAATTGTCATTTAATACACCTCATGTGAGTTGTATATTACATGTAATAGTATTTTTAATATTATTAATATTTAATTTAATTTTAATATTAATTGATAATAATAATTCTAGAAGAATAAAGTTTTTCTAAAATTTTATTATTTAAATCACTAATTTATTGAAGGGTGCAATGGAATAACGGCAATAGTCCATTTTTGAACATTTTTATACATTTCTATCCTTTTATTAATAAAAAAAAAAAATAGACTTTAAAATAGTGCTTTATTGTTAGCAAAATGAAACCTTTTTTACTAAATGGATTTCACTAACATTTTACTTCATACTGCTAATAATATATCATTTGAAAAAATCGAAAAATTAAATAAGGTCATTCTTCCCCTTCAATTGGTTTAAAATTTTTTCGAATCAGATATTAAGGGTATTTTATTTTTATTTTTCTACTAAATATATATAAGAAATTGTGTATTTATTATATATAAAATATTTAAGTCAAAAAATTAATCGATAAAAACTCGAATTATAAAAACAAAATCATTATCACAGTAATAATACAATTTCATTGCCATATTAATCTGCTATTTTTAAATTTATCATCTTTTTTTATCGACCAACTGAACTTCATAGCTGTAGGTCCTTAAACCCATATTTAACTAAACTTATTTTTAATAAGTTATTTTTATATTTAATTTTCCTTTTCTGATAAATGTTTTTATTTAAAAACAGATATAATTTTAGTTAAAACTTTTCTTAATATTATACAAATTTTTTTGTGAATTTATTTAATATTAATGAGTTTTAAACCGCTGTATAAGCATAACGTTTATTTAGTAGATGAATTGGGTAAACAAATTACTAAATGTTCAAATATTTAATTAGAATTTCAAACTCTATAAACGAAACAATAAAAGCCGTTTTCTTTGAAAATATAAATTTATTATTTGATTTAGATAAATATTAACTTAATTTTCATGTAACTATAATGAAAAATTTAACAGCTACATTTGAACACTAGAATTTAAAAACCGCTGTAATCACATTGTATGAATATTCCGTAGAATTATCTTAAATTTATTTCAAATCAAGTTGTTTTAAATTCTTAAAAGGGTTTTTTCTGGAAGCATAGTACTATACTACGTGAAAAAGGATGACTAGAAACATCTACGACAATGCCAGAGCTGTGACAATCTTATGTACAATTGTTGGAATATCTAGTCTAAAAAACGTTTTTTCGGGTAGAATTATGTTCAAATGGGACAAACAGTGCTTATGGCCAATAGTAAAACATTTATACATTTTTATTCGTAACTATAATAATTTATATTTTTATTTATTTCTATCAGTTTTTGTTTGGAATTCAGTTTTATAGTATGCTATTGATATCACTGACCAATAGAACACCAATGGCTTGGTTTTGGTTTTGGTTTTATATGTTTAAAGAAGTATGTCGCATAATTACCACTATTTATTCTGATCAGCAATTACCTGCTATAATTGAAAGTATTTATAAATTTGATTTAGAACATAATAATTCACCATTAAAATACAAAAAACCAAAATACTTGATACTATATATAATCATGTCTATAATTATACTTTTATGTTCAATTATTAAGTTAAAATACGCAGGGTTAAACATTAGAAACATAGGAATAGTACTAGTAAAGTGAGTACATTTTTTTATTTCATATTGTTTTTATCTAAAAAAAATTTGTTGTAGTTATATTACATTCAAAATCCCCTTGATGTATCTATTTTGTTGTGACGAAGTGTATTCGCGATTCAAATCATTAGAGAGACAATGGCGAATTGAGGTATCTCAAATTATTAAATCTGATTCAAGGGAAGTCACTTTTCAAAAGTTGGAATCAGAAAGATTAGCTCATGCAATGCTTTGTGATATTATTGATAACATACGCATGACATTTGGGTATCAAATTGCTTCACACATGTTGTTTATTTTTCTCGAACATCTGTTACGATTTTACTTTCACGCTTACGTATTACCTGTATTCTTTGCAAATCATCCTCAAATTTCAACTACTATTATGGATGGATTGGAGCCATATTTATTTTTAGTAAATACGTGGACTGGAATTTACTTGATAGCATACATGACTGACATACTAACTGAATCAGTAATTTTTAATTATATAGTTTTTATTATTAAATTTAATTAAACACTTTATTTTAAATTATCTTCAATGTAATTTTATATTAAAATTATAATATTAAATATAAATTATATTTAGTTTAATAATTTTTTCTATCATACTAGACATTGATAGTCATAAATATCAATATCATTATAGCCAGGAGTCATGAATTCAAATACTAACAAAATGTCTATTATTTCCCGTAAATGAGGAAAATACCCAAAAATAAAATATTACGAATTTTGAAATCAGTAAATTTTGAATATTATTTTAAATTTTAAAATAATATTATTTAAATTTAATGTTATGAATTTTTAATATAACTTAATTAGTTTATAAGACATAAATTTTTATATTTTCAAATTTTTTAGTTTATATACATGTATAATACACAAGGGATTACAAATTAAGGTAGCTAATTGGTTTTTTATGACATTGATATTCACAGGTACACAGCAATTCTTATCAATGATAATAAGACACGTTGTAGTGAGTTTATAAATACACTGTCTGACAATACAGAAGATATCTATTGATAGTCGTAATTAACAATAAACACTCCGTGTCTTTGACAGCGATGTCATAAAAAACCAATTAGCTACCTGTATTTGTAATCCCTTGTGTATTATACATGTATATTAACTAAAAAATTTGAAACTTTGAATGTTTGAATCTAATAAACGAATAAAGTTATATTAAAAATTTAAATGTATTTTACTATTAAATCAAAAACTTAAACATTTTATTTAATTTAAAATATGTGTTCCCATTTAAAAAAACAAAGTTGACACCTTAACAAGGCATAAGGGATGAAAGTAAAAAGTATTACATAGTTAATAATCCATAGTTAATATATACATAGTTAATAATGTGTAACTAAAGATAACCAAAAAAAAAAAATGTTTTAATTATACTTATTTTGTAAGTAATTGAGTTGGTTATGATAAAAAAGTCACTCTGTATATTTTTAATTATTCCCAAGAAAAAATAGATATTCAATATTGAATTATTAATTCATTAATCTCTCCTTGATATAGCATTATTTAGCTTGCAAAATGTTGTATTTATCTTGTAAGGAAAAAAAAAATTACAAAGCTTATTATAAATTAAATTCAATCTAATCTAAATTTAATTATTTGTTGTATAATTAACATTTCTTATGCAAAATTATTACATATGTGCATCAAAACTATACCCAAAATCTCTAAATTTTATGTTAGTTCAATCTCAAATATTGTATAATTATTTTATTTTTATAACAGAGCAGATCTATAGTGACTGATCTACGAAGTATACCATTATGGAAATTACCAAATAATTGTTCCAAACAGGTATTTAAATTTCATTTATCATTAAAAAATAAAATATAAGAATTAAATAATTTAAATATTACATGTAATAAATACAACTTGAACTTACATATAATACAGGTAGATATGTTTTTGACACAAGTGCAAAACTCAAATACAGAGATTATGGCATCTGGACTTTTCGTTGTAAATAGAAGTCTTTTATCCTCTGTAAGTTAAAAATATAATACTATTTAACATGGCACAATATATTATATTAGATAGTTATACATTGTTCGCGTATCATGCTTGAAATTAAAGAAGTTTTAAATAATAAAATTCACAATTATGATTTTTTATATAACCAACACACAATTACTCTTTGCACAGGTTATCCGTCCACCAGGTATCAAACACTATTCTTTAGGCCTTCTTTTCTCTAACTACTTTATTTCCTCTCACCTGTTATTCTTGCGTACATCCAAGATGGGACTACCTAAGTTTTGTTCAGGTTTCTTATACTTTTTGACAAAATTTTACATCGACTGTTGACCTGACCAACCTTATTAATCGCAGAGGGACCATGGAAGTATTCTTCTACTTTATTCACAGGAATTAACTAACATATAATTAGTAAAAACAATAAACAATTTTTTTTTTATTTTTAAAAAATATGTTACTATAGTAATTGAAATGATAAATGCAGAATTTTTTTAATCTTTAATATCTTGCTGTGAATAAAAAAAATATTTAATATCTTATTTATAATAGATGGATAAATATATTAGCTTATATATATATAAAATATTAACCAGAAAAATCCAATGTCATTCCCCAGAGTAGTACAGAGTACAGAATAACGGCGTGTACATTGTAAAAAATATTACTTTAAAAATATTTCTTTAAGTACAAATCTTAGGAAGTTGATTAATAGCTGAATATAAATATTGTTTTGCTAGATACTTAAAATTATTTTAAATTTTAAATATGTTGTAATTTTTAACAATTATAAAAATAATAAATTTTTATCATAATTTTTTCTTTTTTATCACGTTCTCCTAAAACTGGAAAACAGATTTTAATGTTTAAGGCCTTGTTAGAATCACATTGGCTAATAAAATTTCATAGCACATCCATGATAATAATAAATTAATGATAAATAACATTCAATCAAAATATTCAATGAATATCGAAGATCCTATCATTTTAGCCTCTCCTTGTGAGAAGGACTTTCTTATTCATATTAAAATATATTACTATATGGTTTATTATTGTGTCTGTCGTTAATTTTTCTCAGCTCTCTCTTGACCAATTTTAATGACCAATACGTTAAAAGAACATGATTTTAATCTTGTGAACTTACGATAATATAATCCCAAAATATTAGAAAAAATCCTTTAATTTTTTAGATTAATATGTGATCAGAAACTATTAAAATTAAACATTATCTACAGATTTGCATCGAAGCGTTCTTATGATAGTGATTTTAATCACTGTCAGATATCATCTATAATTGTACCAACTATGCCACATTCACATCATGCCGCGACCTGACTATTCTACCGTTTTTATAATATAGTTATTTTTATGTATTTAATTGGGTATTAGTTTGGTTTTTTATTAAATTCAAAATTAAGGTTTCAATCAAAATTCAGTCCACAAATATGCAAAAGTCTCTAACAGTCCTTTTCAATCAGATGTCAAATCTCTTATACACTATTTTAAAGATTTTATGTGTTATAGTTATGATAAAAATATATTATTTTTGTCTTACAATTGTTGGTAATATTGTACTTGTCATTTTAATAATTTCAGGTAATTATGTCATTGGCAACATACATCATAGTAATAGTACAATTGTCACCTGATCTAAATCGCGTTTTTATTGACTCTAGTATGTAGCTTCTTTAAGTTAATTACTGAGTAATAGTGAATAATTATGTAATTTATTAGTAATTATATACTCGAATTTTGATTTGAATTAAACCAAGAGTGTTTTGTTATAATATCGTTAGTAAAATATTTAGTTAACTTAGTTAAAAAAGCCAACTCGATATGTGTAATGTATCCCTCTTTTCTAAAGTGTACTATTAATAACTAAAAAATGTTGATTTCATGTAAGAAAATAATCATCTATGATTTAAAATTTTGTTTTAGTTTTAGTTTTGATGTGTATCTAAGAAATTATTGGTTTTATAACGGCATGTGTTTTTTTTTACGTTTTTCCATGAAAATTTTCAGCTCTTATTGGACCGACTTTAACTATAAATATTTCAAATGAACACGTAATTTAAATTAACTTATCAACTACAAAAATTTGAAAATCCCTCTCATTTTTAGAAGTATAAAAAAATATCTCAATATTACGCTAACCTAAAAAATGGCATTTTCAAAATAACTATATGCGTTCAAAAATTTATTTAACTGATTTTTAAAACACTGATCCGAATAGGATTTTATTATAGTATACAAAAAACAATAAGCTTACTCTTTGTATGCTACTTCAAAAAATCCGATGATAAACCTAAATACAGGACATATTTGAAGAGAACCCGCCCACGCATGTATGAAAAATGTTTTTCGTCAATGATTTTTTAAAACGTTTCGAAAGTTCTGATAACTTCTAACATGTATCAAAATAAATCTTTTGAAGTGCACTACATTATTGAAAAAAATTGTTGTCCCGACGATTGTTCTACTATTAGTATGTAAAATCGACCAACAAACCAAAAAAGAATAACGTTATATAGTTACTCAAAAAAAGATTGTATATATAAATGGTAGTTTTCTATGATTAAAAGGATGTATACAATTAATTATTTGTTAGTCTTGTATGAGCATGAGAATAATTGAGTTGCTATATATTTATTGAATAAAATGATATAATATAATTTTCTCTCGGTATATGAGTACGAGGGTTTTATGAGAAAATATAAAATATAAAAAAACAAAATGATGTTTAAAAATTTATTAATATAATAATGATTTATTTGAAATAGAAATTATTGTGATTAATTATCACACATAAATTATCAACAACGCCACTCGTACTAGTAGTTATCTAAGCTTGTGCTAACTGTGAGTCCTGTAAAAAATACCTCGAGTAGTATAAGAACCACAAGTGGGTTCTCTTTGCAGAGAGTCTTTATTAGTATTGACTACACAGGTAACCCACTCAAAGATTTGACTAGGCTGTCTAACTTCGTACAAACGTTTGTGATTTTCTTTATTTATTTAAACAATATTTTATTCTAGAGATCACTTAATTTTTCTGGTTCCCTACTTAATTTATGTACTCATTATACTTAACTATAACCTTATGAATCTTCTGTGAAATATGAATTTACCTTAATGATGTCAGAAGTAAGATTGAAAAATAAATATACTTCAATTTTCTATGTGACATCCTAAGTTTGTCGGGCCTTTTCTTGCACTTATTGATAGTTTATAAAGTGAAGGAGTAGTGAATCGAATTGACAGTTTTTATGCCCTTTTATATTAAACTTAATTCATTTATATGTCCAAGAAGTATCACGACCTTTTACTATTCTCTGTTTATAACTCAATTGTGTTAGTTATTATATATTATTTTACTTAAAAAAGATAATTTGTCACAACTAAAGAATTTATAGTTATTACATTAGCTTTGTATGAATGCATTTTTTTACATATTTCTCGGGATAGTTTAAAATATTGACATGTATAATATATATTTGATTTGGTGACAAACGGACAATAATTAATAGACTATTGAATAATGAGTGGTGTATGTATTATAACAGCTATTTTTAAATAAGCAAGTAGTTTAATAAACATTTAATATTAGAGTAAAATCTTAGATCATAGAAATTGTAAAATTATAAATATACAAGTTTGAGTAATAAACATAAGATAAGTTTACACCTTACTTTATTACTATGAACACTTAGGAAAACTCTATAAAAAATTTAATTAAATTAATTTTTCGATTTTAATTATTTAATGCTTAAATTAAAAAAAAAATACACTCCAGGAATTTTAATACTATTATATTTAAATAATGACAATTATGGTAAATTTTTCATGTTATAGACTATTTTTAGAATTGTAGATGAGAAGTAAATTGGAATTTTTGTATTTAATGTAGTTTTTAACTAACACACTATTTTTACCAAATTGCTAGTGATAAAATTAGTTATTTACTCTAGAATGAAATTCTATGGAATGTCAACAATATTAACAATGTTCAAAAGAAATGTATTATTTTATATAAAAAAATATTAGCGATGAAATTTGGATATTAATGAAATTACATTGAAAGAATAAGGGTTTTCTAATTTGTTTGCTTTTAATCATGTAACATTATTAATGATATTTACTATTGTTTCTATTTGGCTATGTTCAATATTTATTTCTTGTCATATCATTTATGTATAAATTTGTACTATGTTCAAACTTGGTTAAATAATTTCTTTTGAAAGTTTACCATTTAACACAGAAAATTAAATTAAATTTACCTCTAAAATTAACAATACTCTAAAAATATATTATTTTTTTATTTTAAACAAGAAATAAGTTGTATGCTGCATGATAAAATGTCAAACAAAATCTATGACAATGTTAAAAGTTTATTGATTTTGAGTAAAATTTTTGGAATGACGAGTCTTACAATAGTTGAAAACAAAATAAAGTTTAATTGGGATATCAGTTGCTTATGGCCAATAGTATGTTAAATTTTTTTATTCAAATTATCTTTATTTTTTTTTTTATTGCTTTAAAATAAACTGATCTCTCGTTCGGCAAATGAAGCTGCCCGTGACCGAGTTTCAAACCCGAGGCAATGTGCGTCAAAAACTGCCGCATTACAGACTCGGCAACATCGTCCCTTAAATTTTTCTTTAAAAATGACCAACACATTTTTTTTATTGATTCCAGTTATTATTTTTAATTCTAAGCTATGGTTCATTATCAATTGCATTGCAATTTCGGACAACGATTTCATGGTGCTGGGCACTTTTTGGTATACTCAGAGAATTTTTTCGTTTAATTACCGTATTTTACTCTGATTATCAAATACCATCATTACTTGAAAATATTTATAAATTTGACTTGACCCATAATTCATCAAAAATAAAACGAAAAATACCAATATACTCGATTACATATGTTGTATTGACATTCATTTTAAACTTATGCGCAATTATTGAATTCAAAAACAATGGATTTACTAAAAGATACATATGTAAAATATTAATGAAGTGAGTAAACTCATGAATTAAAATTGCTTTATTTTAACTTTTTTTTTTATTGTAGTTATGTGACTCCAAAAATTCCTTTGATGTATTTTTTCTTTTGTGATGAATTGTGTTTACGATTTAAATCACTGAAAATACAATGGCAACTCAAAGTATCTCATTTGACAAGGTCAAGTTCTAGTAAAGTTGCTTGCCAAATAATGGAATATGAACGATTAGCTCACGCCAAGCTTTGTGACGTTGTGGACGATACACAAAAAGCTTTTGGATACTTAATTACTACATTTTTATTATTTATTATAATTGAACATTTGACTCGTTTTTACCTTTATATCTATGTGATGCCTGCATTTTTAGCTGCTCATCCTGAAGAAACACATAGTTTTGTTGATATGCTTGAACCATACTTATTTTTGATAAATGCTTGGACCGGTATTTACTTGACTGCTTATATGTCAGATGTTTTGACTGAATCGGTAATTCAACATTTTTACAATAGGTTTAAATTTATAAAGTTTTATTATTATATTATTATTATTATCAATTTAAATTTATTTATAGGCTTCAAATAATAGTTCTTTAGCCTACTAAAATTTACATTATGTTAGATCAATAGATACAAATAATAACGAATACAAAAAAAAATAGAAAAAAAAGGTTACGAATATTGAGTGAACACATAATTGATTTCAAAGTATTTATATTACATGGATTTAATTGTATCGTGTGTTTGGAATAGTTAGTTTGATTTAAATTAATGACTAAATTTAAAGTACAATGGTCTTCAGGAAATTAATAATTTGTATTTCTTGTTGGGGTGCTATGGCATTTTTGAGTGAACTTGTCCTGATGTTTGAAGTTTATCTGGCTTGTTGGTATTCGAGGTTGTTCGAGAAAGATATGGATTATTGAGAGTTTGCATTGACATGTATCACAAATAGTTTTGGGTTCATCAGACATAAGATAATAGTCTAGTATAGCTGATACATAATCTGGTTATTATATTATTATTAGTTAATTATGTGATTTTGATTGAAGACCTATTTATATTCATATATTTGACAACCAAATTCCTTTTTGTACAATAAAATTAAATTGAGGCATCTAAAAAGTCATAATGGTTAAATGACTTTTATTGTAAATTTGTTATTTGCAGAACAATGAAATATATCATTTTTAAGACCTTTAATTTTAAAAGAATATTACAAAGAAAACATGAGTATCTAGATTTATATTTTATGCTGTAACTACTTAAACGCATTAAACGTTAAGTATATTTATTATACAAATATGTTTTTATTTCAGAGTAAATCTATAATTAGTGATTTAAGGAATATACAATTGTGGAAATCACCTAAGGGTTGTTTCGAACAGGTAATTAAATATATGAAACAAAAATATATGTTTCTATAAGCTAAATAACAAATTTTAAATGTTCACCAAAAATATATGTAATATAGAAGTTTTACAAACTAAAAATTTAAGCAAAACCAAAGTACAAATCCCAATTCAAAAAATTGTAAGTCTTCTTCTTTTTCCTCGCCTTAATCTCAACTACTTGGAGTCGGCCAAAAAAATTAAAAAATTTTAAGTAAACAATCAAAATAGAAAATCATGAATAGAGTTTTATCAAAGAATTTTACAGTTTTAATTAATTTAAGTAATTACTACAGCATATCATACAATTATTTTTTTTTCTGATTTTGTTGTGTCTGAAATAGATTGATTTATTTATGACTCAAGTACAAAACTCAAGTACAGATATTACGCCTTTAGGACTTTTTGTTGTAAACAAAACACTTATATCATCAGTAAGTAAAAAATAAAATTATAGACTATGTGTATTCATGATTGACAAGAGGGAAGTAGAAACTTGATTATATAGCACTGATTTGTCAACTTTTTTTATACGCCACAAAAAAAAAACGTTGTTATATATAGAACGATATAAAGGATATTAGCGCTATAGGCTTCTAAATTTTATGTTATACTATTAAGTAAAATTTTTATAAAAGTTGAGGTTTTTTTTTTGCCAAAGCCATATAAATTATAGATAACTATTATCATTTCTTTAGGAAACAAATAATCAAGGTTCTATTAAACTAAAACTTGTCAGTAGTTGATGTAAATCTTACAACATTTTCAGATGTTTATGTCATTGGCAACATATATTATAGTACTAATTCAGTTATCGCCTGAACTGGAACTTTATCAATTAAAACCTAAAATTTGAGAGTATAATAATTAAAATTATGTCACTTAAAATCAGCATTCATGGAAAATATATTTTACAAAAAATAATGAACGTTTTATGTAAAAATAATAAAATAATAAACGGTGATTTTTTACACTAGAAAAAAGTTTTTTTGTTTAGCTTCAGGAATTGTTTTCATAAACACGTTGTTTCGCTTATCATAAACCACTTAATTAATCAAAAAAATAATATTAATAACTTTTTTATTGATTTCTTTTATTTCAATGTGTCTCTCAATTTATCTATCATGTATGATTGATAAATAATATTAAAATATAAAATACACATGAAGTATTTTTTATGTCCATTTCTTATACCTAATAGATATTTAAAATTAAATTTTAAAATAGCAATTCTCATAATTATCTATCTTGTTTATTAGATAATGATATAATTAAGAAAATAACTGGTCGTTAACATCATTTAAACTAATATTTCGGAAGTTATTGACATGTTTATACTTAAGCAGAAGAAAGAGTAAGGCCGGAAAATGTCTAGTTATAAAAATGGTAGCAAAGAGGTCGTACTAAGTTAACAAAAGTACAGATGATATCTGACAGTGATTACAATCGCCATCATAAGAAACACTTCGATGTAATTCTGTAGATAATGTTTAATTTTAAGAATTTGGTGCATTATTCCAAATGCAGAATGAACCTTATTTCCTTACTTATATCCAGGGTAGAAATGTATCATGATACTTAGTATCATGATTTATAAGTGTTATATATGAATAAATATTTATTATAGCAATAAAATATAATATGAAGTTGATATTTAATAATTTAGTTTTGTAAATTTTACGGAGAAATTATAAAAAATTATAAAGTAGTTATTACTTTTATGGCAAACGTGTATAAAAATTGAAGGCCTTGATGCAATACATACAAAAAAAAATAGTTTGTTACTTATGAATATATTTACTTTTAGTGTAATATAGTTTTCTTAACCTATTTTTGAGCCGATTTCAAATCTTCAAAATTAAATTTTTTCTGTCATCTAATTTTTGAGATTATTACTAATTTGTAAGAAACAAGTAAATACTTATAATAAATTTGTCCAGTAAGAGCGGAGAATTTTTATGCACAGATTTAAAAAAAACGTACAGTATCACAAAACCAATACCTTTTTAATTACGCATAGAAACTAATAAAAACAATCAAAAAGTTAAAAAATATATTCAATTAAGAGCATTATAAAAAAAAACCCAGCACAGTGGGGTCGCGGCATAGTGGGGATGTTGCATAGTTGGGTCCAGTATAGATTTAATCTGACAGTGATTAAAATCACTATCATAAGAAACGCTTCGATGCAAATCAGTAGATAGTGTTTAATTCTAAGAAATTGGTGGATAATTACAAAAGCTACATTATCTGCTAGTTTCTTATTAATACCCTGATTAAGATAAAGTATGTCGAATGAAAAAGGGATTATTAAAAAATATTATTTCTCATAAAAAAATTGTGTTGATTCGTACACTTTTCAATGAGTTATAGCATTATAAAGTTAAAAATGTAACCAACCCAACCCAACATCAACTCCTATTTCCTTAATTATATCCAGATTAGTAATTATTTTAATTATATATTATATAATTTTTATAATTAATTATTTTCAAATTATTATTGATTTTTAATATGTTAAAAGTAATCATTTTGAACCTACTTCTTTTTGTTCTTTAAAGTGAAAGTTTTAATAAAAAAAAAATGAATTTATTACCATAACTTTTAACTCAACTTGCAAGTTTGAAATAAATATTATTAAATAGAAAAAAATGAAATTGGTAGATTATTTCAAAAACAACAATAACACTTATTCCCTTAATTTTACCCCGATTTATAACTATAATATATGAATACATAATAATTACAGTAATTAAATTGAGTATGAAAGTGGTATTCAATAATATAATATTGTAATTTTTACGGAGATATTATAAAAATAAAAAGGAGTTGTATATTCATATACTTTTAATGCGTATACAAATTTAAAGGAATTTATGCAATACTTTTTAATAAAAAAATTTTGTTACTTATGAATAAATACACTAAACAAAAGGAACTTTCATCAGAAAAAAAATATACTTTTCTAAATAAACTTTTCGTGATGTTTTCAAATGTGCAATTAAACTTTTTCTATTACTTCTAAGTTTTAATATTATTACTTATTATTAAAAAATAAGTATTTACATATAAAAAAAAATAATTAAGAACAAAAAAAATTGTATTAAATTAATACTGATTTTGATTTTTAATATGTTAAAGGTAATCATTTTGAACCTATTTTTTATTGTCTTTTAAAGTGAAAGTTTTAATGAAAAATACCTTCTCAGCTTCGCATCGAAGCTAAAAAATGAATTTGTTACCATAACTTATAGTTCAACTTGCAAGTTTGAAATTGACATTATTAAATTGAAAAAAATGAAATTTTTAAGATTAATATGCAATCTGGAAATTTTATAATTACTAATTACAGTACATTTGTCAGAAAAATTCGATTTTTTTACATTTTTATCGTAATAGATAACTGAAATAGAAAGAATAGTAATCATATCCTAATAACTTTTGGTGTTTAAAAAAATTCTGCAATTGAAATATTCAGAACTTAATTAATTTTAATAATTTACTTTAATTAAATGAACCAATCAAACCAAAGTAGTTAAAAAGATTTACTCAATTGAGCATATTATCAAAAATATAATTATAATTGTAAAACTCCATCGTTAACTTCAGGTGAAACTAAAAATCATTTTTTTTTTAAATTTATGATTTATATAGCAAAATATTACTAAAAAATTTGGCATATTATAGACTGGTAGTAGCACACAGAAATAGAGTTAAAAAATTAATAAATTATAAAGTAAAATTATTTACTTTTGTAGTTGAATACTTTTATCATATCAAATTTAATTCGACAATAAATAATTTAAGAATATTAAAAATTAATGATTTTAATTGTTTGTATGGACAAATCTAGTTAAGCTACTTTTTATTTGAATAAGGAATATTTTTTTGATTTTTAAGAGTAATAACTTAAACTAATCATTAACTTAAATATCATAAACTTAAATGAATCATTTGACGTATCGTTGAAAAAAGTAGGTCTAGTGAGGGTTGGCAAAATAAATCGTAGCCAGAAAAAGAACCACATAGTAAAATAATATTAACATGAATATCAATTTCTTCTCACGAGGGGAGACTATAGTGATAAGATCCTTTATATTTATTGAAATTATTGAATCTAAATGAGATAAATATCAAATGATTTGAAAATTCTATTCTAACTCAAAAAAAAAATGCAAAATTTTAGAAGCCACAAACGGATTTGAACCTCGTACCCTAGGCGTTAAAGATCAAGGTGTTACCCATTCGGCAACTATTCGTTGATTTTTGTTGCATGATAAAATTGGCTATTTAAGCTAACTCAAATTTAAAAATTACTTTTTCGACTTTAAAAAAGTAAAAAATGTTAATAAGTATAATATCATATGTCTTATGAACTTTATTCTATGTCAATGAAATTATATAATATTCATGAAAGTCAGTTTATTCCCCTAATAAAATATTTTAAAATAAAATAAAATACAAAACCTAGAATTTTAATAAAAAATAGCATATTTTTAAATACGGTAGCCTTTTGCGCATAGAAGATAGGTCGTCGGGACAAATTTTTTTTTTTCATTTAGTAGTACATAAAATAAGCTTTAATTTGATATATGTTTAAAGGACGCAGTATTTCCGGAACATTTTCAAAAATTAAGTTGAAAAAGTTAGTTTTTGTAAAAAAGTTGCTATTTTAAATCCCCCCTGTGAGCAGAATAAGTGTTAGATTTTCAAAAAAAAATGATATCAAATGAAAGAAAATTACCTAAGGTTTCAATATAAAGAAATATTATTTTGATTAGTTAATATTTGAAAAAGTTATGGCAGTTTTAAGTACAAAAAACATCGTTATAAAAGGTGATTTTTATCGCAAATATTACATTTTTTTTATAATTTCGACAGCCATTTGCACATAGAAGATAAGGTGTCGGGACAAATTTTTTTTTTTCATTTTATAGTACATAAAAAAAGCTTTAATTTGATATATGTTTAAAGGACGCAGTATTTCCGGAACATTTTCAAAAGTTCAGTTGAAAAAGTTCTATTTTTTATACAATGTTTCAAAGTTTGAACCCCCCCTATATAAGGGGAAATTGTCTAATTTTAATAAAAAGTATGTCAAATGGAAGATGTACTTATAATGTATTTAGAAAAAAAAAAATTGTGCTGATACATGCATTTTTCGAAAAGTTATAGCATTTTTAAGTTGAAAATTAAAAATTGAAAATCGAAAATTTTAACACAAAAATAGTGTTTTTTTAACTACGGCAACCGTTTACATGCAGAAGATAAAGTGTCGGGACAAATTTTTTTTTTTCATTTTATAGTACATAAAATAAGCTTTAATTTGATATATGTTTAAAGGACGCAGTATTTCCGGAACATTTTCAAAAATTAAGTTGAAAAAGTTAGTTTTTGTAAAAAAGTTGCAATTTTAAATCCCCCCCCATGAGCAGGTTAAGTGTTAAATTTTCAAAAAAATTATATCAAATGAAAGGAAAATATCTAAGGTTTTAGTTTAAAAAAAAATTATGTTGATTTGTTGATTTTTGAAAAAGTTATGGAAGTTTTAAGAAAAAAAAGTGAAAAAAATGACAAAATTTGTCGATTTTTAAATTTGTAATTTTTTTGGATATTTCCCCCATTTGCGGGGAACGAGGGAAAATTTTTAAATTTTTAAGGGTAATGTCTTCAACTAGATACAATTTGTGATCTTTTGACGTATTGTTAAAAGAAATCGGTCCAGTGAGAGCTGAGAAAAAGTAGTGACAGACACAAAAAAAAAAATAAATAAATAAAAAAAAAAATAAACACATCATGGTAAAATTAATACCTTCTCAGCTTCGCATCGAAGCTAATATTATAATTGTAAAATCAATTGTTAAAATCAGGTGAAACCCAAAATAATTTTGTTTAATGACTTATACAGTAACAGTTTACCAAAAAATTGGCATTATTATAGAATGGTAGTAGAACCCACAATAAAGTTAAAAAATGAATAAATAACAAAGTAAAATTATTTTACTTTGCAGTTGAATAATGTAAATAACATATTATATGGATAATATGTTATTTACATATTTTGATATGTAAATGATTTCCATTTTGTTTTGTGTGTATTATCTTTAACTAAACAATGGTTGTGATCATTTGACACATTGTTAAAAAAAATTGGTCAATGAGAACTGAGAAAAATTAATCACAGACACAAAAAAAAACATGTAGTAAAATATTTTAATATGAATAAGAAATTCCTTTCCACAAAGAGAGACTTTAGTGGTGGGATCTTTGATATTCATTGAAGTTATACAATCTAAATGAGATTAAAGTCAAATGAACTTTGAATTTTATTTCCACCTTGAAAAGAATTGAGAAAAAAATGCAAAAAAGTTGTTTTGATTAGTGGGGTTCGTACTTCGTACCTCGAGCGTAGAAGATTATAATATATTTAACGCAATCACCATAATTATATTATCGGCTTGGTTTATTTACAGTTTCTATATCGGCTTATAGCTGATAACATCGATGTCAATTATCTATTGTTATATTTGTCGTGTTGTTGTTGATAACAACTGTCAGTTGTTTTCTTCTAATTTTTGTTTTGTTATTGTTTACGGCATTCTTGGCATTTCTATACAGGTAATTTTGTAATAAGTAAAATCAAGTTTTTTTACTCATTAAATTATTTTCTTTATTACTTAATAACCTATTAAAATTTATTAAACTAGTTAAATTAAAAAATTATCTAGAAAAATAATTAACCAGTTAAGTTAAAAAGTTTAAAAAAATTCATTTTTAATTTAACTTAAACTTCTTAGCTAGTTAATGCCCACCTTAAATGAACACTTTCTTTAAGAAATTCAATGAAAACATAAGGGTATCAACTATCCCTCCTTTCTATGTATGTGTTTATTTGAAAAAATAAAATTAACACTCTTTATAAGATATGAGGAATGAACATAAATTTTTTTTATGATTGATAAATGAGATATATATATATAAAACTAATAAAAACCAAAAAAAAAATTATACATCTTAAGAGAAATTTGTTTTAACTATTTTAATAACTGTACATTTCTCGACATTACTATTCCTTCTGCTAAAATATCAACATATCAAAATATCAATAACTTCCATAATACTGGTTCAAATGTTGTTCATAACTAGTTATTTTCGTCATTAGATCATTATCAATTAAATAAGCTAGTTAATTATGTATATTGCAATTTGAAAAATAAAAGTTGAGATCTCTATAACGTATTCTGAGTCAGTATTTACCGATAAATATAATGTTCTCTACTAATAGAGAACATAAATATTCTTCTAAGCTATTAAAAGCTCTTACACGTTTTTATTATATCACTTCTATATTTTGTATTGTTTATATTTCAATCCATAAGTGATTAAAGGTGGTGATCGATTTTTTAGTAACTTAGTGGAAGTCTAATTCCTCCAAGTTATAGTGTATTGTAGAGTATCTCTAGATCGTTATATTACTTCATATAAGTTATTTCATATATTGAATATCAAAAAAGTTCCGTAGCTTTTAATATTTAGTTGAAAAGTAGAATTTCTAAATGTACAATTTCAAAAATGTGACTTAACATCATTATACACTGCTCTCTTCAATTAAAAACTAATTCATTTTACTTTTACAATACTTATCTGACAGTTTTAGTTTTCAATCCATTAATTAAAAAAATATATTTTTATAAAATAAAAATTAACTATTTGGTTTATGTAATACAAATATAACATTTCACATCAGCCTCGAAATTCATTATTACTTTATAAATATTTAAAAACACTTCTATGAAGATCTATTCAAGTAAAATAAACTCTTATAAGTAAATTTACATGACAAATAAATATTTTTGATGATATTATAATAAAATATTATAAATTATAACTTAACACGAAAAGAATTCCTTCTAATTGTCCTTCAAATACAATGTAGTTCGAAGTCTCAACGTATTGTGTTACATATAATCTATGTACTTTCGATTTGAAATAATTTAATCTAAATATTTAATTCACCCAGGAAATTAAACTTACGAATTGAACTGCTGCCTGAAAGATTGAATTATCTCGATCAATCAATAATTTTGCATAAATTCTTTCCCTTATGCGGTAATACATTTCAATGAATTTTAGGGCGTATCCACTAACCTTGTGCACATTGCAAGGTAACCAGGACATTGGTCATGGTGGTTTATTTTATAAATAAGACAACCACTGTTAAAATCCACGCAGTTCAATTTCAATAGTTATTTTAACAATACAAGACAAGTATATTGAAGAAAACATGAAACAATTTGTCGTAAGAACTCTTATTGATTTTTAATGGTAGCTTAATAGTATTAATGTGATTTAGATTCTGTTAATTTTACATTTAATATAAAACTTAAAAATATTTTCATTTGGAGTGTCATTAATTTTTTTTAACTTTATATTAATAAAAGTTATCTAAAAATTTAGTTATAATTTAATTAAAACTAATCATTTTGCATTTTAAATTACCATAAATATTACTTATGGTAATTTTATGTCATGTTTAATTTGTTTTCACTCAAATAATTATATAGGTATTGGAAGAATATAAATGAATAAAATAGAAATTTTTGTTTGTAAAAAATTAATATTCAAAAAATAATGTGACAAACTACTTTTTTTTAAAGTTATGATTTAATTATATGCGAATATTAACCATAGAGAAGTAAATAATGTTCTAGTAGAAGCAAAATAATCTAAATATTGGCTTAAAAAATGTGTAAGCAATTATATTTAATATCTTCTTGATACAAGTGTTTCGAAAAGTGTCAACTACTAATTCTTTTGTGTCTGGTAAGTCAGTAATAATTAGCGTATGGGATTGTCCTTGGATATTTAGTGCTAATGTAAAAAGAGTATATATGTTTGCCTTCTTTTTAATTTTAATTTCTTGATCTATTAAAACTCAATTATATCATTACCAAATTATGACGGTTTTATTGCCCTAAGAATCAGATATTTCAATTTCAAGTAAATTAAGACCACTAATATGTTTATATGAAATATTTTATTAAAAAATTAATTTGATAGCTCTATTGCTGCACTGAATATTAATATGTTTTTGTTACTTACATGTTTTACACAAAAATATTTAGTAATGTTCATGTTTACCAATGTCATTTTGTTTAAAATTTAAATCTATTTTGTTTTTTTAATGACAAAATGGATTTGGAATTTCATTCAGATTTTATGACATCAACCAAATACATTAAAAAATTAATATGCATTTAAAGATTACGAAAAAAAAACACCTAGCAATATATCTAATATTTTATAAATACTTATTGTAAATATTAACATACTAATTATAACGTAATCAATTAGCTACTTTTATTATTCATTAAAATCCAATTTAAAGAACGAAAATCGTGTTTTCATCAAACAATAATAAATTACTTAATTAAATTTGAATCGTTTTTTTTTTATGTACAATTTTAAAGTAAAAAATTCATACTATCATTTAATTTAATACAATTTTTAATTTTTAAATGTAATAATATTTAAAAGTCTGAATGTATACTCCAAGCACATTTAAGAAGTTCAATCAATTTAAATTTTAAAATGACGATTATTTTTAATTAAGTGAACATTGTAAGTACATTTATAACACTTTTTTAACGAATAAAACATGAATTTCAATTACATTTCGTAAAGTAATATTTGTATCTTATGATTTTTCATTTATTTCAATTTATACATAAGTAGGCAAACAAAGATTTTGCTTGTATACTTTAAATAATCACACAAAGAATAATTTCATGATTTTAATATACTCATTATGTTAAAAGGTATTAAGTGTCTTGCTGTCGTTAAGTTCCTTAGTGTTGGTCACCAGTCATCCAGATGCCGCAATTCTAACCGATTCTAGATACCAATCTAATGACGGAGCATTTGGTGCAGCTTATTCACAAGCCGATGGCAGTGAATTTAAGGAAGAATCAGATGCCGAAGGCAACAGACGTGGATCTTACAGCTATATAGACCCTAGCGGACAGAGGCGAACTGTCACCTACACAGCCGGAAAAGACGGGTTCAAGGCTACAGGCGATCATTTGCCTGTTGCTCCAACCACCGTTCCTACCGCTCCCACAACTCCAACGCCAAAAGCACAATGGGAAGACGAATGGTAAAAATAATTCTTAATTTAAAAATAAATATTAAAATTTAATTTTTATATTAAAAATAAAACTATAATTATTATAAAGGCAACTGATTAGATGATGTCTTACCTAATAAACTATTTTTTTTTAGACAATTAACTAAACTATTCAAATACTTATTTATGTTAGGCGATATTAATGCGAAAATGAATAGAATAATTTTCAGTTATAATAGTGTTGTGGCTAATTATTTTTTAGATTTTTTCGCTTGAATAAAATTCTAACGCTCTTATATAGAAATAAAGACTTTTTACTCGAAATAATTTTGTATCTTTTGTGTATTTGTAATTTAAAGGAGTCAACCTATTGCTTCACTACAATGGAATACAATTCCTAAGTATAATGGTAACCAATTCCGTAGCTTGTGGAATGGAGCATTGGCTTCTGGACTTTACGAAGGTCAATGGAATCAATGGGAATCGATTTCGACTACGCCTAAAAATGACCAATGGAATCAGTGGAACCATTGGAATTCAGTTCCTACAGCTAAACAGATTCAGTGGAACTCTGTCCCTACACCAAAACAGATCCAATGGAATTCAGCCTCTGTTTCAACAGTACAACCAACATCATATACTGTGAGTGATGCATCCGCACAATTTAAACTTAACAGATCTCCTGATGGCTACAGCTTCTCACTTGTCCAGAGCTGATCAACTCAGAGTTAGAAAATAAAAAAAAATGTTTTTAAAAAAACGAAAGTGCCACATTGTTTTTCAGTCGATTTGTTTTAATGTTTTATTAAAAGCTAGTCCATATAAAAAAAAACATGATTTATTATTACTACAATGGTTATTTGCTACTTTAATATTTGAACTTTAATTAATAATTGGCCATCAATAAAGTGGGTCCAGCGATATATTTGACGGTGAAAGATCTACCTTCAGGGTCTGAGTACAAGTATTGTCCTTGAACTACACTATCGGGTTTCACTGATTGATGTACATTTTGGTGAGATACAACTGGAATATGAGGTACTCCAGATTCACTACGGAACAATGGCGAGAGTACTTGTTGTACTTGTGGAACGACAGGTACAGATTCACTGTTATCATCTCCGTTGCCTTCTTTTTCCCAAAGTTCTGGGTGATATTGTCCATCATTTTCGAGAATTTCGTTGGGTGCGCAACTTGATAAAGCTACAGCGCTCAATAAGAACATAGCTACTACAACCTGTAAAAATTAAAATTTAGTTAAAAATTATAAGACAAATTGTATTATTCTAAGGTTCAAAAATCAATCAACCTGAACAATTTATTAGATATATATATACACTTACGTTAGAGTATTTCATTTTGTCGATTGTGTTTGGTTTGTTAGAATAAGCCGTTTTGACGAATGGACAGTGAGTTGTACTTCTTGTATTTTTGTCGACTCTTTTATATTAAAACGGACGCGAAAGAGCTAAGCGATGAGGTCTTTCAATGTCAACCAGTCTACATTCGAGCGGGGGTTCGTGTGTACCTACGCCTACGCTGGGCGTAACCTCAGTTAAACCTAATAATAACATAAACACTAGTTATACTTTAGACAATATAAAAATATCAATGACCTGCTCAATATACGTAATAATACGAATAAAATACTGCAAACTATATATCTTCTTAATTACGAAAGAGCTACCTGTTAAATACATAAAAGAATTAATGATCATAATTTATCTCTTAAAATAATAAATTCATACTATTGTTAATTCTCATATTTGAAAAATAATTTTTTTTTTTTATTCACCGCGTTATACGATTTTAAAAGTTAAGTTCTGATAACGAACGAAAATGTTTATTTTATTTTAAGCGTGGACACAAATCTTGTAGAAAAACAAGAAATCGTTTAATCACTTTAATTAGTAGGATAGATATGCAGAAATAATTTAAAATTTAATTTTATAACTCATGAAATATTATCAATTAAATCATATAATTCTAGTTATATACAGAGTGATTTTTTTAACACTAGTCACTCATTTTTCTATAATAATAATTTTTTTACGATTTTTTTTTTTTTGGCTTTTGGTAAGTATAAGGAAACAAGTATCAGGTTGTCAACTATATATTTTTAAAAGTTAACGTACACTTTTAACAAAGTCATAAAATATAATATTATATAATTAAGATAATGACTGGTTAACAACAAATTTTGGATTAGTATTTCAGTAGTTATTAAAAATTTAAACATTTTTCGGTCTCAGTCTTTCTCTCGCCTGGATATAAAAATGTTGACACTTTTGTAATACTGGTCCAAAAGTCGTTACCGATGATTTATTTTATTAATTACATCATTGTCTATTTTATAAACTAGTTAAATATGTATGCCAACATTAAAAAAAATAAAGCTGACACTCTTATAAGACATAAGGATGAACATAAAAAATATTTTATAATAGATAAATATATATATATAACTACCAAATACCAAAAAAAAATTGTTATTTTAAGAGAAATTGAGTAGCTAGTATTTAAAAAGTCACCCTTAATATTGTAGTTAAAAAAAACAATAAAATGTTACATTAAATAAACATTTTAGTAACAATTATGCTCATTTTTAGATGATTTTAAATAGCTTTATAAAGTACTTTATCATTTAAAATACTAATTTTTAAAATAATTAAAAATGTTTATTTGCATTATTAACTCCCAAAATAAATCAATAACATATTGTCGATATATAAGTATGTATACATTTCTATTGGATAATAGAATTATGAATCAAAATTTTGATTTAATCAGAAAAAAAATAGAAATATAACTAAATTTTATTTCTTGCATATTCTCTATATGATATATATAATATGAGATATTCAATATAGTTCTAAAAGTTGTAAATGGTCTATCACTTTCTTTTTTAAAAGGTAATTGACCGACTGAAGTAACTTTTGAGATACAAACTATCCACTTCGTTCATCTTTATTATTTCTCTAAATCAAACCAAAATCGGAATAAAAGCTAACACTGTCTAATTGATATATTTTATATATTTAGTTAAGAATTAGGATATAATTCCCCAATCATTTTTTCGGAATAATTCATGATTTCAAAATACAACGAAAATGTTATAAATTAATTCTACTTATTTTAAAAACTAAATATATGCTAGGTAAAATGGCTTTTAATTATTTTAGCCTTAATACAGTTAATAACATAATAGACTATGATAAATAATAATATTCATTAATAATTTACATATTCCAAACATTTTTCCTTTTTAACATGAGTGCGAAGATACATAATAGATTGTATTTTTAAGAGATATGAGGAAACAAAAAATATAACAACAACAATTTTTTTTATGATATTAAAGAAATATCTATTTTAGGATAGTAGCCAAATCATTGTTTGAATAATTTCATTTACAACATTAACCTGTTTTAACATAATGAGATTTAGCTTTCCATTTCCAACTATTGACCACTAAATTACATAACACGCAGGGTATTTAGGTACATCTATAATTATTCTGTTTCGCCAAAGAAATGTGTATACCTGTTAAGTACACTCAGTGTATGCGCACAACTTTGAAACATGGTAGGTACACAAAAAAAGTAATAAACACACATTAATAGCAGGATTACTAAGGCGCCTGGAAGGCGCCATTGAGCAATCACTATGGTATGTCTATTATATTTACATGTTTGCATTTATTTATTATATTTTTTTAAAGAGTTTGCGTTTTTAGCAAATATGTTCATCTCAGGAAGTTATAAATAAATATAGTTAAAATAAAGAGTAGGTAATAACGAATTTCGATAGTAGTATTCCTTTTCTAAACTAAAGTTAGTAAACATTTTAGGTCAACTGATATACTAATTTTTTGCCAATAATTGCTATAAAATCTCAGGATATTATTATTTTAAAATTCATTAAGTAATTTTGTTACACATGACAAATATTTAATATTTGTCTCTAAAAATCTGAAAATTCTCCGTGATCTTTATTATTGCACACGGTTCCAAAAATTTTTTCCTCCGAAAATTTCTCAAAATTACTTGTATCTGAAGGTCCACTGTAATTTGGCACACATGGTGCTCTAATTGAACGGTTTAACAGCATGAGCCAATCAATTGTTCTAAACCAACTAAAAATAAAATTATATTATATTATATTAATACACATATTGGAAAAATGTACATAAAGTGTAATAAAGCAATCAAGTAATGGTAATTTTCCAGGACACTGATATTTTAAAACACATTTATTGCATTATTTATCTATACAGTGCTTATGAGTTAAGTACTTTTATCTCATGATACACGAATGAATAAATCTTTTTTGTTCAGTAGTTTCTTTCAAATGTACAAAATAATCAAATCATAACACTAGGAACATTCCTAACATTCCTAATGTTCGTTATAGTTAATTTATTGATGAATTATCAAGATCTTATTTGAATACCCAAAATATTATAGACCATATTAATGTGAAATAGTTCTTATTACGAAAAGGTATTCAAAGTAAATAAAAAGATAATTAGGGGGCCTAATCCTCCGTTAAAAAATACCTATATGTGCCAGTTTTTCTCTCAAATTTCTTATTTTAACTTTTCCAAGTGATAAATTTCATTTATGAAATAACAATGTACCGGTGTTGCTTTATGTCGTCAGTCCCGTTTTTTAAACTGCCGTATCTCTTAGTCAAATCCGTTTGTAACAAGTTTTGTATCAAATCTGTGAGATCAGGCGATATGTTATTAGGTATTTTGTAAAAACCAGCAATGATTTTTTTATACATCCTTCGATCGCTATCCGCGTCAAACGGTAGACTTCCTGTAACCATTTCATAAGTGATAACTCCAAACGACCACCAATCCACCGCTTTGCCATAGCCTTTCAATAAGATAACCTCTGGTGCCAAATACTGTGGTGTTCCGCACATCGTATAAGTCCGTTTAACAACTCGCTTACAAAATCCAAGATCTGTCAGTTTTATATAACCGTTACCATCAATCAATATGTTTTCTGGTTTCAGATCTCTGTACGTTGCCAATTGAGTTAAAGAAAATATAGTAAACATCAATTTCTAACATTTATATTGCATAATAGTGTCATTGAAATAATTGCCAAGCACTTCATGGTACCTGTAAATTATGTCTAACGTGTGTAAATATTCCAAAGCCAACACCATCTGCCCTGAATAAAACTTAGCATTAAATTCGCCCAATGAGCCTTTCTCTCGTAATAAGCTGAACAAATCTCCACCGATCGCGAATGGCATAATAAAATATAAGTTGCAATGGTCTTTGGCAAAATAAAGCATATGCATAATAAACGGATGTCGTATAGCAGCTAAAAACCGTTTTTCATTTAGTACATGCTGTACGTTATTTTTACGTAAAACCTGTTCCTTTTTCATAACCTATACACGAGTAATAAAAATTTATATTTCAGCAATAAGTGTAGAATTACATTTAAATAATATTATTACCAGAGACACCCGCAGAAAAATAACCCAAGGGTTGCATAAATAACTGACAACAGTATAAATCATTGGAACCATTCCCAACATCCTAGGGACGTATTTAAAAGGAGCTAAAGAGGCGTGAGACCTCTCCCAAAATTTATAGGCAACTCAGATTTTGTGCTAAAAATACTTTTAAAAGGATTATAAGTAAAAAAATGTATTGTGAATTTTTTTTATAGCTTTTATTAAAATATAAATAGTATTTTAAAATTCTATTTGTATTATATAAAATAATGGTTCATCCATCTCCCCGAAAAAATGACTAAATATGAGCCTGCTAATTATGTCCTATATTAATCTATATCTCTATACAATAACGACTTCCATACTAGAAAATTGGCAAATTTATTACTAATATTATTTAATTCTTTTGGAATAAATTTAAACATAAATAGACAATCAATTTTACATCCCCTGTCGACAAAACATACAAATCCATCTATCTCCCCAAAAAAAAACTCTGATTTTTTAAATTCTGTAATTAATTTTAGCCACAGAAATTAATTTACATTGAAAAATACTTAACTGCATATTAATAGATTTGGTTGTTATTATTCTATATTTTTCATTAATATTGACATAAAAAATCCCAGGGATGCAATGGCACCTCTTGCCACCCCTCCGAGTGTCCCTGACTATTAAGAACGATATTATTTCATTATAATGTTAAACATAATCAAATTTTCAAATATCGACGAGTCACAAACGATATATTTTTAATTTTTACAATTATTTACATTACTATTTACTCTGAAAAATACAAAACAACATATTTAGTATCTAATTCTTTCTAAATATAAAAAATATACCAATGAACTATTTCCCCGACTTACTTTCATTGCTAAAAAAGTATTTGGATCAGAATTGTGATTGACTAATAACACTCGACCAAACGCACCTAAACCAATAGTTTTATGTAAAATAAACTCGTCCGCCTTAGTTCTAATCATTTTTTCGTTTTCTAAACGTCTTTCAAAAACTTTTTTGGCACAATTTAAATATTCTTCAATACTTTTTATAGAATTTGGTTTATTTAAACATGTGTCATCTTGGTCCATAATACAAACTAGGTATTTACTAAATATGTTTATAAAAAATGTATAAGTTGCTACAAATGTACAGTTGTACAATATTCAAAATAATAAAATCTATGTACAACTGTATTTATGCCAATATTAAAAATTATACAGTTCAAAAAAAATTGTTTAATTACTATAGAACATGATGTGTATTATTTCAACCAGAAAGAGTGTTTATATTTTTCAAATATTTAAAAATGTGAAACATTGAAAAATTATTGTTTTAGTCAACACTATTATTAAACAGCTTCGCATCGAAGCTAAAAAATATGCAGCATCTACTTATACAAATATGATTTAACTAGTAAATATTGTTATCATTTTTGTGTAATGCAGTAGCAGTAGACAAATTGAAAAGTACAAAATGAAATCCTTGAACTTCGTACAGGGAAATCAGTTATTTCTAAAACGCATTGAATATTTTAATCAGGTGTTATTACAGTAGTATTTTAAAGTTTGTTTTATTGATTAATTCGTTTCATCTGCGTTTCATGACCCACGGGTTAATGATTCAATAGCATAGTTATCAATAATTAACATATGTGTGTTTGAAATCAATTGTCATAAAGCATTTAGTAAATTAAAGATAAATAGATATTAACTTAGTTTATTGGAATAATAAATGACTAGAACAGTAGTAGGGTACGTAATAAACCGAACTTATAATCTTATAGTAATAAAAAAATGTGTTATTTTATTGAATATTAATAAAATATCTTATACTACAACACTAAAAAAATAATGTAAAAATAAATATATCAAATTTATAAATATGTAATTTTTTAATTATATTTACAAATAATTTGCAACTATTAAAAATAATTTAATAAATTAAAAAAACACTTTATATATCTAGTTAATAAAATCAATGCAGTTACTTAAAATGAATGTAAATGAAAAACACACATTTGTAAGAAATTAAAAACAAAACTATTCTCTAATACTCCTTGAATTTAGAATAATTTAAATAAATTATACAACTACATTTCTTCTGAAAATGCTTCTTTCTAAAGCCCACAAAATTAGATTTGCTTTAAATAAAAATATTTTTTGTTAAATTGAAACAAATATTCATATAATATTTGTATTTTTAATGATATTAACTAATTTTTTGAAAATATAATTATTTTTATTTGTAGCACTTCATTATCTTTAAACAATTTCAGTAATTATTATTTAGTATTTAATTGAAAAATAATTTAATCTTTTTTTGGATTCATTGACATTGTATACTTCTACACAGATAGTCTTTCGATTTATCAATGTTTCCGTTTTAATTTATATGAACGGAACGTGGGCATTATCAGTGGTAGTATAACATTGATTCGAGTAAAGCTGTGAATATTGCATTACTTTTTGATTGATAGAATATATCACGTTAGTCGTTCGCTATACGTTCCAAGCGACCCATAAAAAAGTGGACAATTTTTACATACCGGTCAAAAAATGCGGCCAAAATTAATTATATTGTCCTACTTGCTTTTTTGGACCGTCGAAGTTCAACCGGCAACGGCACCCATTTCTCGAGAAGTGACGTGAGTAGATCTTTAGTTAATTATTTGCAATAATACGCAGTAACGAGTTATTAAAAACAAAGGTTAATAGTAATTATAAAAATTTCTCGTTTACTTGAACATACATTTTTTTAAATACTTAACACATTTTTAAAGTTTATTAAATAAATTATTTTATTTTTACATAATTTATAAAAAAATATATGACTTTCGATATAAATAAAGTAATACATTTTATTTACTGCCAAATATTTTTTGATTATAACCCTTTGTATAATTTATACCCACAAGACATGTTAAACAATTCATATAAATAGGTTTAATTGAAATGTATCGTATATTATCAAAGGAGTACCAGTAGCCTGTGTGTTTCTTCTGTTCTTAATGTTATTAATAAGAAAAGAAACAAATATAACTTACAATGTATGATTATTATTGTGTATACCTTAAATTTATTTATAAAATTCTATGTTATCAATAGATACTAGAATCCTTTTTAATTTGAAGTTTAAACGTTAAATAATAATTTAACTTTAGGTATAAACAATAAAATTCTGTAATTATTACAGTACAGTGTTATATTAGATGTATTTTTCTTAAATTTTGTTCAGCCATGAAGACATTCGAAATGCAATTTTTACTCTGGTGCATATGTTCCGTGACAACGTCGCTAAATTAGAGAGACACGAGTATCGTGAACGAGAACTAGGAGAACAGCTAAAAAATGTATTGGCTTCTATAGAAACCCGCCAAAAACAACAAGATTCAAGTGATAATACATTGGAAGCTATAGTTAATGGATTAGTGCCTAGCATCGAGTTACTAAAAAAAGCCTCAGTCGATGATGTAAATAAGTAGTACACTTAAACAGTTTATTTTATTACTGAAGGATTAGATTAAAAAAAGATTACTTTCTTTGCTTTACATTAAAAAAATGTTATGTTCTAAATGATTTATTTTGAACAATATGGCGTGTGGGTATTTTTTTTTAACATTTATATTTAATTCCAATATAGTTCTTCGAACTCTAAAAAACCCACATGTATTCCGCCCAATATTTTTATGCAACTCATGAAATATTAATTGTTATTCTTTTCTTAAAAAACATTTTAACGTAACGACATGGTAATATTGATACTGGACAATAAATATATTACATAAAATTACTCTTTGAGATAAAAATAATATAATAAGATGGTATTAGGAAGAATTGAAACTAATGCAAACACATTTTCAATTTATTACAGTGACCAGATAGTGATTTTTTTTTACTATAAATTGAATAACTATTTTTTTTTATACAGTATTTACTCGTTAGAAATCAGTTATAAGGTTATAATATTATAAAATGAAATATTAACCATCCGAAAAGTCCTTTGTAAACCGGAAATTATCTAATATTTAGGTCGGCGATAAGCTATTAAATGATATAAATTTTTATTTTTAATACCATTGATAAATGTATTTTGGATTTTTTTAATAAAAATAACTTCAGAACGTATTTATGAACTAATAAACAAAATATTTTTTTTCTAATCGGTTTTTAATACATAATAATAATTATACCCAATTAAATCGTCATAAGCACTTAAACCGTGATTGTGTACATATTTTTTATTCTGAATTATTTAAAGAATTTCATAATAATAACTTATAAATTATGTTGAATATTGCCGTGTATTAGTTAATTAGTTCCATCAATAATATTTGAATCAATAGTTTTTAGAGCAAGACAATTTTTTGAAACTCTTGTATTATAAAGCAATTTATAACATTCGATCAATCTAAAATATTATTAAAAACACCTTGAAACTTAAATAAACTTCGTATAAACTGTATTATCAAGTAATAAATGATGTTTAAAATATGTTTTGTCTTCTACAGGCTATCAATAAAGCAAATACACAAGTATTGTTTAATAGCATAGATGAACACGTTATTTCAGGCGCATCTGAGTTAAAAACACTTTTAGAAGCCGAACAAAAATATGCTGGGGAAATACAAAAGTCCTTAGACAATAAATTGATATTATTATCGTCTCAAATCAGTTCACTAGAAGCTCGTCTTAATTCAATTGATCAATCTCCAAAATCTGAAATTACCAACGAAGTTCTCTATGAACTTTTGCAAAAGATGGCCGAAGATTCTTCTTCTAGAAAATTTGAATCATCAAATGCTACGTCATTGTTGGTACAACAAACTAAACACGAACTAATGGAATCCGTCAAATTGATAGCAGATAAGTTAGAAGAAAATGAACGCAAAAGAGAAGCTGCCTCAATTTTATTAAATGGTTCATCAGATTATTCCAAAGCTTTCCAAGATGATGTCCAAAACAGCTTCCGATTAATGTCGAATGAGGTAAAGGTTCTATCTGACGTTGAACGTGTGATGGTACAGACGGCTGACAATGTACAAGACACCAAACGGAGAATCGAGTATAGCACTCATCAGATTTTACTGGAGGTGACTGATGCAATTAATACAAAAACGAAAGAAATTAATGAAACGATCAACTACAGCGTAGAAAGCGCTGTGAAAACCATATTAGAAGCACAATCATTAGGTATGGCCAACTTAAGTTTGAAAATCGAGACGGAAATTAGTCAAGTGTGGAGACAAATCGGTATTATGTATCAAACGCTCACCTCTTCGGCAGATACACTTGCCACGCTTCAGCAACAAACAGATGTATTTGTTAATACTACCATGGAGTCGGTGGGTGGAGTTAATAACAAGGTATCGGCTATAGCAGGTCGCATGTCTGAGGTAGACGACAACCTTAACTATCTACTGGGAAGACTGTCTTTGGTTACTCAAGAATTCAAAGAAATTAAAATTGGATTAGGCGAAGCACTTGAAAATATCAGAATTGGATTACAAACAGTACAAGGCAACAAGACAGTTGACCAAGGACCCGGTCCTAATCCCATCGACGAAGAACCTCTTACCGACAATTTAAATATACTCTCCAATTCAAAATATACCTTAAACTAAATTGTAAATATAGTTCTAATAAGCAAATATATATTTTTAAATAATATAATTTTTTTTAATTTTGTTACGTAATACAAGAAAGTCATCAAATTTTCGCCTTTATTCGAAGAAAATTTTTAATATTAATATAAATTACAACATACCATGGGATATTTTATTTTAAAGTATTTTTGTTTCTTTTTAATTTTAATTTGTAATACTATATGATTATTTATTTATTATTGAAAAAACCACCAATTTTTAATTTAAGTTAAAACTATTAGATCGGAAAAACTTTCTGTACATATAATTTATGGAATAATATTTTAATTTAATTTTAATAATAATTTAACTTAATAATTTGAATGTTAACAATAATAATTAATCGATTTTTCTTGTTAAAACATTTTCTAAATAATTTTCACTCGTTGAATAGTTTCACTTATTGTAATAATTTACAATACAATTTTATGTAACTAAATATATAAAATTGATATTGATTTATAAATAATTAAAATATCATCTATTTTAGTTATTTAATTATCAACGTAATGATGGGCAAGTATCAAAAACAAAATTTTTCACCGAATTATTAAAAAATATAATACATTTTTCAAGAAACCATATTACTGTGAACTATAATATTTTTTTTGCTTGTTTAAATTCTTTAAAAAATGTTCACTGTAATAATTGATTTTTATACTATTATCTTTTAAATAAAATAAATCCCTAAATTAAGAAACATGTAATGACATTTTTAAGGAATATTATTTTAATAATATTTTTAAAAACTTAAGGTAAGGTAGAACCGACCCCAACTAGTTAGGATAATGGCTAAAGTGATGATATTATTATAGTTATAAATTTTTTTACTTAAATTTTAAAATGTATGAAAATTTGTAAAATGTATTAACCAAAACAAAAGCAAGTTGTTTGAAATTAGTCCCACCACAATATCCTCGAGGAAGTAACACATTATAATCACCCGCTAGTCATACACTGTCATTAAATTGGCTCACATTGATATGTGTACTAAAATTTGGAAACCTATATCAATGGTATTCCCAATGTTGCATAATGAACATTAAAAAATAATAATTAAGAATGAGTTATAAAATCAATAGTGATGAAATTGACATATAGAAGTTTGAACATTTTTATATAAATGTTGTAAATGTAATACAAGACCTTCAATGCTTAAAAGTAAAATTAAGTGAAAACTAAGTGACGATCAATTATAAAATAGTAAAATAAAATTTAATTAGAATATATATTCTTAAACGAAAAACGAAAAAATAATAGAACACTACTTATAAATAAATTTTACAAATATAAATACATATTAACAATAAATTAAATTTAAAAACTAATAACACCAATAATTATAAGATATTTAAGTGTATACATTGTAGGAAGAAACGGTGTTGTTATATTAAAAACAATCCCTCGTGATAACGATGCAATTTACCTAGTTTAGTGCATATATATATATTGTAATGCCTTAGTCAGGGGTGGACTGAGGAACCTTGAAAATCATGTGATGACCTAATTTTTTGCTGTATATGTTTGTAGCAGATATACAATATGCTGTATATGTATTATTTAAGGCAGTTACAAAAATATATATAAATAAAANTTGTTTGTAACAATGAGAACAATAGAAACCCGTTTCCTGACTTACTGAACACCCTGTATATAAAATAATTGAAAATATATCTTCAATACTATGAAAAAAATTCTGACTACACCACTTTTTTTAAAAATTATTAAACAAATACTAAAAACATAAGTGATTTAATATACTAAATTGTTCAAACCTTTTCTAATGGTTTTAAGCAATATTTACACCTGGTGTAAAAACAAGAGTGTGCTTTTGATTCTAAAAATTTTGATATACACATAATATATAGAATATTTAATCACATAAAATTTTACGTTTCTGTCTACATACCTTTGGTGACTTTCTTTATCGGAGTTAGTCAGGAGTTCAATGGAACATAGTCACATAAAATATCAGAAAATTATATGTATAGCTTTTAAAAATTATTTTTATTATAATTAGGAATTAAATTTAACTCTAAAAGAAGATTACATTTATAAATACGTCTATGATGAGTTTACAATTTGGAGAAATATATATGAAAAAAAAAATCAGCGAAACATAAATGTCATATGTGTTTATATAATGTTTGTAGTCTCCAATGTCGTATTGAACTTTTTCACGCTCACAGACAATATAATTTTTGCCCTTTAATTCTATTATTTTTGGTATTTATCATAAAATGTCAGTCTATAAAAAAACGCTCTAAAATCTACTAAGCCTATACTTGAACTACATCACCAAACCACTCTAAACTCCAATACTTTTATGAAACACTTGTAATTAATAATTTAAAATAAAATTAATATCATTAAAATTATCACAATTTGTTCTAATACGATAAAAATTGTTTGATTCAAAAAACTTTACAATAATATGTATTTAAATATATATATTTTTATTCATTCAAGCACAAAAAACCTACACTTAAATTTTCTTAAATGGGAACCATTATTTTTAGTTTGATTGCATATTCAAAAAAAATCTTGTTCTTATATTTTATATTTTATCCTATATTTTTATCTATCAACCATTTGAATTTTAAAATTGTTTAACGATTCGGATTTAAAATAGAAATTCATCATTAATTTGGTTTTCATCATATCAAAAGCAACAATAATCTGTTTCAACGGGCCATAAATTATTATTGGTATTAATTCTCATTATTGTAAATAACAAAAACCAGCACAGGGGGGTCGTGGCACAGTGGTGAAGTGGCATAGTTGGATCAAGTATAATGATATCTGAGAGTGATTAAAATCACTAACAAAAAAAAAAACGCTTCGATGCAAATCTTTAGTGTTTAATTTTAAAAAATTGGTGGATTATTCCAAAAGCTACATGATCTGCTATTTTCTTATTAATATCTTGAATGAAAAAGGGATAATTAAAAAATATTATTTCTCATAAAAAAATTGTGTTGATTCATACACTTTTCAATAAGTTATAGCATTATAAAGTTAAAAATGAAAAAAATAAAATCAATAATTTTCTCACGAAAATAGCATTCGGTAGCCGTTTTCACCATGAAAACAAAATAAAGTCCGAAATTTTTTTTTTTTAATATTAAAGTATATTACATAAGCTTTAATTTAAGATATATATAAGTGTCAGTATTTCCGGAACACTTTCAAAAATTAAGTTGAAAAAGTTCTATTTTCTATTTGCATTTTTATGTTTTGAACCCCCTCTGTATTAAGGTAAATGGTCCGATTTAAAAAAAAAAGTATATTGAATGAAAGAAGTATATAAATATTATTTCTTATAAAAAAATTGTATTGATCCATTACATTTTTCAAAAGTTATAACATTTTAAAGTTAAAAATGTAAAATATAAAATCGAGAATTTTAACACAAAAATAGCATACAGTAATCATTTTCACCATGAAGACAAAATAAAGTCCAAAATTTTTTTTTTCCATAATAAATTATATTACATTAGCTTTAATTTAAGATATATATAAAAGTGTCAGTATTTCCGGAACATTTTCTAAAGTTAAGTTGAAAAAGTTAATTTTCTGTGAAAAAGTTGTCATTTTGAATTCTCCCCTGTGGGATGTTAAAGGGTTAAATTTACAAAAAAAACTTACGAAATGATAGGTAATGACATCAAGCATATATAAAAAAAAAAATTATATTGATTTGTTCATTTTTGAAAAAGTTATGTCAGTTTTAAGTAAAAAAAATTTCGAAAATTAGCGATTTTTAAATTTGTAATTTTTTTGGAGGTTTCCCGCATTTACGGTGAACGAGGGAAATTTTTTCAATTTTTGAGGCTAATGTCTTCGACTAGATACGATTTGTGATCTTTAGACGTATCATTGAAAGAAATCTGTTCGGTGAGAGCTGAGAAAAAGTGGTAACAGACACAAAAAAAAAAACACATAGTAAAATTAATACCTTCTCAGCTTCGATGCGAAGCTAATATGACATGAATTGTCAATAAATATTTGTTTATAGGAGATCATGAATAAATAATAAATACTGCATGATCATATGCCAATTATCAATAGAATATTCTTTAAACATCTCTAAACTTTAAGAAGCAATAACAGCAAAAATATTCATTAAATATTATAAAAACAAAATATTTTTATCATATTATTAAACTAATAATAGGGGATTTTTAAAAAAAAATAAAGAGTAGACTTTTAATCCCAAAGGAATGAAAAAAAAAATGTTTAACTAGATATTATTTTAGACTTATTTGAATCAAACGATTTTTAATTTTAAATAGCTTTCAAGAAAATTAGTGTCTTATTTTTAATTGACTACCCTATATAGTAAGTATTTTAAATTTATTTCTATTAAATTATATACTAAGTCGAATAATAATCAATAATATATATAATCAAAAATAAAAAAACATATGGTTTAAAGAAAATTTGTATTTATTTTTTAGTAATTCTATTATTTTAAAGGTAAATAATAGAATGAAAAAATTGCACGACATAATTAATAACAAAAGTTATAATAATAATTTTATAGACATTATTAAGAGAATATAAAAAAAAGGCAATATTTATCAGCCCATCATTGTAGTTTATACTGTTAAAAATTCGTAAATTAATGCATCTTCTTTAATTATACATTATTTTGAAAATTCTGTATAAATAATCAACATATTTTATATTAATAAACAATTAATTTCAATATTACGATAAATTTTTGGAATAATTGAAAAAATATTGTTAAAGATGCTAAATAAAGATTAATAATTGATGTAACTATTAATAACTTAAATATTTTAAATTTCTTTATATTTAACTGTGTGTAACTATTAATTTAACCCAATTCTAATTAGAACATGAAATTTTTTACATCTTGTTCTTGCCTTAATCAAAAAAAAATTATAAATTAAGGTATTACGCTGAAAAGCAGGTACAAAATACAAACATGTCTAAGTGTTAAATTCAGATAATTAAATTAGGTAACTACTAAAAATAAATTACATTAAATATGATAATTTATACATATGACTAAGAATAACTTACATTATTTAAGCATTATTCAACCTTTAGTTCAAGTAATAATAGAAAAATCTGTTATGATTTTCATTGTACTAAGTGTAAAATATTCTTACATAATTTTTATTTCAAATCAATGTCTACATTTGAAATAATATAATTTTTCATTTAATATAAAAATATCGTTCTTATCAAATGTTTAAGAATTATATAAATTTATTTTGTATTTGTTTATTTATTTTTAAAAAGGTTATCATAAACATATTACTTATTTTTTATTAACTTATAACAATTTTTAAACATTTAATGCATTACACTAATGATGTAATTTCATAACAAAATACTATTTGTAAAATTTAATTTTAGGAAATTTGTTTTTTTAATTTTCTAAGAAAAATTTTAAAATTAAGATTAAGATAATAATAAGTAATAGTTAGAATAATAATTTTTAATTGTCAATGTCTGCAATGGATTAAATAAATGATATTAAATAGATTAGTATTATAAAAATAGATTGTAATAAAATTTTAACAATGTCTGTTTCTGAGAAAGTCAATTATAATTATTTTTACAAAATATACGTTAAATGAAAATATCAAACAAAATAATAGATTTATCACAATAAATTTTTTAATAATAAAATAAAACTCTCACATAATTAATATTAGTTTTACCAAGCAAACTTGGTAAAATAATATTAAATCACAAATAAAAATAATATCAAAACTTCTTTATATACATGATATAATTTAGATATCGAAGAAATGTACAAAATTCACATAAAATGTGTCTTTGTCACAAAGACACATTGTCAAAAACATGATCATGATGAACTGTTAAGTGGTTTTGATGCTTCTATATCCTGTTGATTAGTTCCATTCATTTCATTTTCAGGTTTTTCTGTCGAGTTCCATGGTAGTGTTTTAGCAGTACCAAAAATTAAAAATATAGATGCTCCTAGAGTATAAGTTCCAGTCATTATCCAAAAAACAATACGCCATTGAGCGAATGTATTCTAAATAAAATTAATTAAAATACATTTAGTATACAATTTGTAATAAATTTTTTGTATATTAATATTGTTATAATTTTTGACTAACATTATTATTAGTTAGTTTTCCAACTATAAAAGATGACAATGATCCACCAGCAGATGACATAGTATTAGCAATTCCAAATATAGTTCCTAAAATAAAATTTTATACTTTTAAATTACTTCTTCTATTTATAGAAAGTAATTAACTACTAATACATTACCTGAAAAATTTGGTGCAATATCCAAACCATTTCCTAAGTATCCACCTGTAACAGCTCCATTAACTGTCAATGCTAATGTAAATATTATAACAGACCATACTTGACTTTCGCCAAAATTTGATTGTAAAATCATCAATAAACCAGGTGTAAACACACCTAATTATTAAAAAATACATATAATATATCTAATTAAGATATATACAAATAATATATAAACATTAAGAGTATATTACCTATTGTTGTAAATAGTTTCCGAACTGCAGTTTTAGATATTTTCTCAGACTTTAATAGACGGTCAGCCAAATTTCCAGCTACTGCTGCCATTAAATACTTACCCAAATATGGGAAACTCGAAAGCACACCATTCTAAAAAGCAAGACTAGTTATTGATGATAATAATTCAAATTATTTAATACATTAAATAAACTAACTTACATGTTTGATGTCAAGATTAAACATTACTTTCATAAAAGTTGGCAATTGATTAACTATGGTGAAATAACCAAAAACACTACAGCCATGAGTTATTGCAATAGCCCATACTGGTAATGATGTTAATATTTCCACCCAAGGTAGCTTCTTTGGCTAAAATGATAATGATTTATTACTTCATTTAATATTAAAAGTTTATAATCCTGTACATTTTTTATTTTATATGCATAACATTACTCAGGGATATAGGTTATATAAATTCATCTTAAGTAAATTTTAATTAAAAATATACAATTCTTTACAATATACAATTAAGGTTTGCACAAAACATCTCACCATTATAATTATTAAAACTCAAAATAAATGTTAAAAAAAAATTATATATACAAAAATGATTTTGTCACACAGCAAATATCATAATTACACATTTAAAGTACATGAATAGATATTTAGTTGCCAAAAAACATCTAAAGATAATTTTGTTCTTTGCTAGATTATCTATAAAAGTTTATCTAGTGAAGGACAGATAACATTAACTAAAAAAAAATAGTGATTGAATTCATGAAAAAACTGAACTAAGAAACATTTTTTTTTTTTAAATATACCTACACAGAAGGTTATATACTATCAAAATAACTTATTGTTACAATAAAATAAAAATTGTATTTCGCCTATGAGTAATTTATTATTTAATATTAATACATTTACAATTTATTACCTTAGAACCACTACTTTGGGTGGCTATTTGGGTTTCAATATAATGTTTTTCATATTCACTGATTCTTGGGTGTTCACTCGGTTTTTCAAATACTAAAGTGAACCACAATATTGACCATATGATTCCAACAAGACCTGTGATGTAAAACACGGATTCCCAACCTAATGTGGATATCAAAAAACCACAAACAGGTAGAGTAATTGCAGCACCCAATGAAGAAGCTGAAACCCAAGATAATAAATGTATTAAATACAAATTTTTAATTGCGAGGCCAGATTTTAGGAATGGTTTATTTCCAAAATGTTAACTGTTTTAATTAATATAGTTGAAAATATTTTTTCAGCCCAGTTACTAATTTTGTAAACAAATCAATGACTTTTTTTTAAAAAATCGTTACATTTTCTGGTAAGTATCAAACTCGAAAATTTGTGTGTAGTATTCCTTTAAAAAAATTTAAAGTTCAAGACCTAATTAACTGTAGTCATGAATTGTAAAATGATAAGAAATAATTTAACATGTTATCTTGTAAAGCAATATATAAAAAGTGAGTTAAGAGAAATTAGATTTATTTTAATTTTGACGTGTTTGAAATTCTAGATTTTTATGTTAATTTTCTTAAAGGTAGTTATCCATATACCCCATGAAAATGCATATGCTAATCTATAATAATTAAACTAATATAACGACGGACTCGAAGGAGAGACTACTTAAATAATACTTAGCGATAGTAAAAATATATTTAACAGATCATATTTTATGCCTATTGTTAAATCCTAACATCCCATTATAATAAGTTCGTAGAGGTTTTCTTTATAAAAACGATTAATTTTGTTTTTCATACAATGAATTTAATCATTGGATGTTTTTAATACAAGCACAAAACACAAAGTTTTTATACTTATTTAATATTTAATTTTAGATAAACATACAATTTAGATCAAGGCTACAAAGAAAGTTATCAAATTATCTATTATGACCATACCTAAAAGCATATTTTACACAAATCGTACAATTAATTGCATGCGTGCTAAAAATATTAACAATAATTCATTTATGAATATACACTAAGATAATTAAATGAACAAACGAATAGAAAATTAAACTGTAAAGATTAATGGTGTGAAATATCGAATAGTAATTATTTAACTAATTAACAATAAATATTTGAATATATTGATTTTTTAATTATTGTCGTATAGCTTTAATTATAGACGCATCTAGGATTTTTTTTTGTCATGCTGTGTGGGAGTAAATCCCCATTTCTTATACCACTACTTAAAACATATTATATTGTGATTAAAACAAATTAGAAAGTGTGCATATTATAAGTTGTCATCAGGATGATTAAATCAAGTTATAACAGGATATAAATCCGAATTATACTTGTAAGTTATAGATTTAAAATAACAGTATAAACAAAAATATGTTATACAAAACTGCAATTAGTACATCAGAAGTAGTAATCTCATTCGTGTTGAACTAAGTCAAATAATTATGTTTTATATTATAATCAACAATTCTTATATAAAATAATTAAACAGCAAAAAATTTGTATGAATGCCAAAACTACAAATTATTATAATTTTTTAAGATAAATTTATAAAATAAATTTCAATAAAAAATTTTCTTAACAAAATACAAAAACTTTAACTTTAATCCATTAGTTATTAACAAACAAATCCATAGACAACAAAGAGTAGAAAAGTTAACCATATTAATAAAAACAGTTTGGTAGTCTAAACTGTGTTAAATAAGAGGAAACACTGCTAAAAACCCATTGTTAAATCATTAATGACAATTTAAGTGTTATGAATCGTATTTACCCATCATATTGGCCATGAACTTGCTACGCTCCTTTGGAGGTATCCAATTAGCAGCCAATGGCAATATCGCTGGCCAAGTTACTCCCTATAAATCATAAGAACTAAATAAATTATAGAAACAGTTAATATGACGTCATTAATTATTTCAATAAAATCAATACAAAAATATATATTAGTATTAAGCAAACATGAATTTTTAAAAAGTATTTCTGATTATCTGATTTTAATTTCAAAAAAAAAAAATGAGAATAAGTATAATATTTATTAATTTACCATTTTTATTTAATTTTTTAAAAAATTAATCTAAGAACATAGATGCAATTTCAAAAAACATCTTTATATCTAACTTTCTTTTATTTTAAATTTATCTTTATAATATTATAAAAGTAGTTTTTCTAAAAATTTTGGAAGCTAAGCCTTTTTGAGTCCCCCCAATTTATGTCCATGTCTAAGAACTTTATTTTTACTCACCAAAGTAAAACCTAAAAATATTCTACAAAATATCACTAAATATAAGCCTAATTTTGCTGCCATAGGTGTTAACATGGTGACCATAGACGCCAACAACATAGAATAACCGAACACCGTCCTAGCACCAATCATTTCGGCCACTCGACCTCCAGGCAACTCTGTTAGAACGTACCCCCAGAAGAAACTTCCAAGTATCAAATTTTGTTCATTTGCAGACCAATTGAACTTCTTACCATAAGAAGATTCAGAAGGAATAAAATTGTTTGTGATCTAAAAATACAAATAACGCTTACATTATATTGGAATAATATCTAAATAAATAATTTTACAAAACAATGTCTTAAGTAGATACATTATTTATACAATATCGAAATAAAATAAAGTATAGTCTTAATTAATCAATACTTGCAAAGTAATTTAAAAAAAAAGTGTTACTCTTAATAATAATTATATTCAAAACTTAAATTATTTGCTATTTAAATTTAAAAAAAAAATAATTTTAAATAGTACACATTAAAGAGGATGTTTATATTTTAATTAACTCAACTATTAATTTTAATGTTTAATATTTTTCTCGTTGTTGAAAAAAATATTCTCTATATTTCATGGATTTACTTCAATGTCAAACACATGTTTATGCGTGTATGACATATCCATTTAAATAACAAGGGATTTATAATATTTAATAAAAATATATAAGAATAGTAAATTATTAAGAGGTTTTATAAACTTTTAGTTATGTCCTTGAAAATACTTAAACGTAAAACATAACAATTTTAATGTAACATTCAAAACAACCTAAATCATAACTTAGTACAATTTACATTATCGTGTAACTTCATGCACTAAAATGATTATATACTAATACTTAATCAATTTTTATTAGGTCAACATTCTAATTTTAAGTATCAATTACCTTAAATATACTTATATCAACACTCTATCACGTAGTCAAATGATTCATAGTGATTACTATTTTTTACTACAATTATCTTAATAATAAACGAGACATCAGAAATGTAAATAGAATTCTTGAAATGCGTTGAAAATATTCTATAATAAACTTAACAAGGTAAAATTTACATAATACCTTTTTCATCCATATTTCTTAGTTATAGAATACAATGATACATCATTGTCTGAATGAATAACAATAATTAATTGAACGGTTATACCTTAAATTTTATCAAAAAATATTTAGCCAAAAAATTAAAAACGCCTTTTTTCGGTTAAGATGAAAACAAAATGTTTACTTTTATCATATGTTAAAATTGTTTTACTTGATTAAAAAACAAAGAATAAAAAAATTAAAGCAATTAACTCATAACTCTTTCAATGGATACTAATAAATTTGATTTTTTTTTATTCAATAGAGATTTTTTTAAGGCTGACTATAAAACTTTATACATGTTCTGTTTTAAGCGCGGGATGACGATAACTTACGCAAATTCTGTGAGTTTAAGTCCATTACTATCAATAGATATATTATGAAAAAAAATTATACATTAATTCAGATTAAAAATAAATCTAAATGTTATTAAGTTGAAAAGTAGGCTTTGATTACAAAAAAATTTGTATTTTTTATTTAAAAAAAAATTGATAAAGATTTATCATTAAAATATTAGTTACATAATTTCTACTTTTTTCTAGGTAATTAGTTAGGTAATAGGACCTTTAAACAAAAGTTCCTGTTATAAAATACTATTATTTTTAACGACACTTTAAATCAATTTAGCTTGACTAGATGAAAACTAAAATCATTTTCAAAATCTAAATAATTTTAGAGAGATTTCAAATAATAAGATAATATGTTAATTGTACGTGAATATTATTGATATATTTTCTTGCTAAAATAGTATACAAATCCACTAATATTAATTATAATTAAAGTTTTTTATTTGATAATTATCAAATAAAAAACTCATCTTAATATTAATCAACCAAATTTTAATTTTTACTCAATGGCATACCATTTCAAATACTTCAACTTCAAACAAAATTACAAATAAAAGATATTTTTCCTTTCGGAAATTATTTAATTATGAAAGTAACAATTTTCTTTGTAAAATAAAATGTTACGTCAACTTATTGAAACAATAAGTAAGAAATATTTATTGAAGATCAATTGTTATCATTGTAATCAATAAAGATTTAATCATTTTTCAAAAATAAGCAAGTAGTAAAAATTTTAATTCATAAGTTATTACACAAAGTTTTGAATAAATGAGACACAATTGTGTCACACTTAAGAGTGCATACTTATAAATAAAATATATGGTATAAGTAAATGAAACTTGACATAGATGGAAGTTATGTAATAATCTTGTAGTTAACTTAAAAGTGATACTTTCACAATGTCAAAATAGGTTTTTTATTCTATATTAATCATTACAAACATACAATTTTTATCTCAAAACTATTTTTTAAAATATCAGAAATTTGGAATAATAAAAAATTTTCGTATAATAAAAAAATATTTATTTAAAAAATCATTTTTTTCATATACTACTAGACCAAAAACTTAAAAAGAGTTATAGTTCTTTGTTAATTACTTCTTATCGCATTTATTTGTTATTGAATACTTCATTAAGTAAATAAAAATCACCTTGTTCATCGAAAATTCTGTTTTTTATCCAAATAACTAAATGAACCACCCAGTTATTTTAACCACCCAGTAATTTATTATTCGCTGATTACTCAAGAAGAAACAAAATATTTTATTTATACCTATTTTTTTCAATTAAAATTATACATATATATATATATCTTTAAGCTACACAATTTTTTCTTGAAATACTCGTTTAAAGCGAAAACTAATTTGTAACATTATTTAAATATTATTTTACATTAAATTAGAAAATTTAATTATCTCTTGTAGTATAATACTAAACATAAGTACAAAGATAAAAAAAGTTGTTCCTTATGTTTCAAGTGTTAAAAGTACACAGTATACTATAATATTGAGAATATAATAATAGTGTGAATCACTTATCATAAACCACTTAATTATTGGAAAAATATAAACAATTTTTTATTGGTTCAATACTTTTTTCAATTTATTGATCATAAAGTATTTTTTATGTTCATCTCTTGTACTTTATAAATGTATTACCTTATTTTCTTTAAATGGCAACATACATGATTAACTAGCTTATTTAATAGATAATGATCTAATTAAGAAAATTACTGGTCAATAACAACTTTTGGACCAGTATTTCGGAAGATATAACATTTTATAGTGATGGCTAGAGATAAGTTGCGGTTGCTGTTATTTTTATTACTAGTCATTTCCCGATCGTTTTCATCTTCCCGCATAGGTATTAAAAATGTCAATAACATCCAAAATACTGGTTCAAAAGTTGTTATCGACCAATCATTTTTTTAATTACATTATTATCTAAAAATATTTAATTAATCATGTATGTTTCTACTTAAAAAGATAAAGTTGTCACTTTTATAAGGCGTAAGAGCTGAACATAAAAAATACTTTGATAAAACATGTATCTAGAAATAAACTAAATAAAAAGTGTTCATTATTATTTTTAGATTAATTAAGTGGTTCGTGATAAATACATCACTCTATATTTAAAAATATGTTATTTTTGATTATTTCAATATCTCTTTAAAATTATATTTACTTGAGCAAACATCACACCTATAATAATAATTACTAACTGATGAGGTTTCACTTAATTTAACTTTAAACTTCGATGCGAAGCTGAAAATGTATTAATTTTACTAAGATGTGTTTTTTTTTTTTTTTTGTTTGTGTCTATTACCACTTTTTCTCAGCTCTCGTCGAACCGATTTCTTTCAACGATACGTCAAAATATAAAAAATTGTACCTAGTCGAAGACATTACCCTCAATAATTGAAAAATTTTCTCTCGTTCACCGCTAATTTTCGACATTTTTTCAATTTTTTTATTTAAAACTGTCATAACTTTTATAAAAATTACCAAATCATTGTCAGATATCATTATACTTGACCAAACTATGCCACGTCCCCACTGTGCTGGGTTTTTTGATTTCATGTAACATGAATACATATAGTATACTCATATCTGCAGCTACCTTTAAAATGATTAAACTTAACATTTAATAAAGTGGCATTTAAAATAATAAACATTGTTCCTGTTCAGTGTACTTTCAAGTTTTGTAACTATTTAGATGAAATCATATCAAAATAGATAAGGTTAGATGAATCTGTTCGAGTTATTTATCCCAAGATGTATCATTATCGTGATAGTGTTTCAATGAAACAAAATAAAGCAACTTGTTATTTTTACTGTGAAGGTCACTTGTTGCAATTATCACGATTCTTATATTTGTACGTTTTCTTTTTTGTTTATTCATCCATAATATGATGTATACATTCTTGCCCTAACATAGTTCGTATGCACAAATTTTCTGCTTAAAATTGTTTATGATTCTAATAAGTTCGACAACACACGTTTAATCAATATATACTAAAATTAAATTAAATTTGAATAGCTGTTGTATCAAAAAACATTTATTTAATTTTTCTACAGATTCATGGTTTAAACTACTGTTAACGTTTCTCTTTTATTTGTTAATTTATATTGCTCCATAATGACTTTAGTTCAAAGTATGAATACGATATTACAGTCAATATTCTATTTAATTGAAAATTTTATAATGACCTTGTTATTATTTGAACAAAAATAGTTAAAAGTGCTTCTGTTTATTATAGTTTATTATTATTTCAACGAAAACAATTCAAAGTTCAATGTATTACCAAATTTTACAACTAACAAAAATACTGTTAGCTGTAAAATAACTAACAGAAATAGGCCAACGTGATCAGAAAAACACATTAATAACTTAATAATATATTTACATACACGAAGGATCAACACAACTTTTACAGTGTAGAAAATTAATTTACCGTTCTCAATCATTCAAAGATTACAACAGAACCACAAACCTTATTTTAAAATAATATGTTTATTTTAGTAACTATTATCTTAAGCGAGAAAACATTTGAAATCAACCATATTATTTATTGTGATAAATTATTTTAGACGTTTTACTGATATTTCTAAGCATTTTCAAAATTAAATCGAACAATTACCGATTAAGTATATAATTCTAAACAATCAACGGTTACACAAATAGATTCAATAGAGATCTACATCATAAGTTAATAAAAAAAAAGATGTTTTCGTGCTCTTGGTAAAAGTCCAAAGCAATATTGGTGCCAAAGGAAAAAATAATAACGAAATAATTGACCCAATCGACAATTGACTAAATTCATAATTTGACAGAAAATTCCACAAAAATGTTAAAAAATTGAGCAATCACGGATTCCTGTAAATCTATTTTTTTGAATAGTGAAATAAAAAAATTATGATACTTAAAACTATGCATAGAAGAGTGTCTATTAATCAAAGAGACAATTGACAAAGATTAACGTTAGTTCATAAACTTACGGGGGTGGCATACAAGAGTACATTAATGTTGAGGTCAAAATTAGTGAGAAATTTTAAAATATAAATCATTAATTTTTAATGGACTTACATTTGTTTCGTTGTGCATAACAGGGTATGTCAAATTGGCAGCCGTTTCGTTGGCTGTGGTGGTCTTGTTAGGAATCACCATATCCACAATGGTAATAGTAAAATTAACCCGGAGCATGTAGTTCACCATAAACCCGACCAGAACCATCAAGTTTAGTATTCTGGTGCACGACATTGAACCTAAACGGAACAAATATTACTTAAATTAGTTGATTAGACATTTCTACTTCCGGTTTCATTACATTACTGAGTACTCTTGTATTACGGCTAATATTAACCGAATTTGACATAACAGAGAGTGATCTCATAAAATTTGTTAAATTAAATAATTTAGTAAGTCTTATGCATAACACTTACGGTTCTCTTTTATGACAGGATCCGTCTCAACAGCATCTTGTTTTTTTTCTGACATTTTTATAGTTCAAAGACCTGTAAAAATAATTTAATGTATCCGATCAACAAAAAGTAATTATAATTAATTCGTTAAACTTTAGTCATCTAACGTCGTTATTTAAACAAAAACAGTCATAATTATTGATTAAAATGTACCGTAAACAAAATGGTTCAACTTGATAACCTTAAAAATAACATATGATCTTTACAATATACATACTTAAACGTAACACAATTATAGTAAGTTATAACTAGTAATGATGTAACAAAGTACGTTTTAATGAATGTAGGTAAAACCGGTAAAATTTCCATACGCTTCAAAACTAATAAATATTGGGTTTTTTTTTGAATAATTTATAAACAAATTTTGTATCGATTTACTAATACATGAAAATAGCTTTATTATTATGTATATTTCTTCATGAATGAACGCAAATATGAGCATTAACATCATAACACATCATTTATGGAAGTCTATTTAAAGGAAAAATATTGAACAAATTTTGTTAATCGACAATTATAATTGATAATACAACACTTTTTATGAAACAAAGTAATGCATGAATATCTTTTATTTTATCTACAAAATATAATATGTAAAATTTACGCATTCAAATATTTTGAAAATATTTTTAGGCGTTCGCATTAATTTGGCATCGCATCATGCCCCTAACCGCTTCTCGGGTTTTTGTTAATTTTTTTTCAAATTTTTGTATAATATTTGTTATGGTACACTACGAAAAAGGCGATTGTTAGGAAGTGGAAAGAAGGTGTGGGGATAAAGCCACACACTTTCGTTTAACAAGACTTTTAAGCATATACTCACTAATAAATTTACGACTATATCATCGCCCCTAACTCTAAACAAATTTTATTTGATTTTCTAACAAATTACAAAAATATTAAAATATAAAACCATTAGATAATATGAAGATTGCTGCCACACGAATGCAAATTATATCGAAAGTGATAGCACTTGACCGTGACTATGACAAATAAATTATTTTTAGCAATTAAATATGGCTTCAGTCGAACTTTAATCACGGAGACATTTATTATAATCAGCAAGCAAGTACGCGAAAGGATGGTGAAACAAGCCATTATTCTTTACAACAAAACTAAAAAAAATGATTTATAATAATAGTGTTATAAAGACAAGACTCTATTAACTCAAGTGATACTGTTATACCATGTTCGTGTTACTGAAAAATATTAATCGATAATAGGATAGGTAGATAAAGGTCACGACGAATAATAATACTATATAAATATATTAGCTTTTGAAAGAGTAAACAGATGTGATGTTCTATTAAATTTGTGATGATTTAATTTATAGTAGCAACATGTCAAGTATCAATTCACGCTGAGAGAGTGATTATGGAAATTCCCATGTAAACACAACATCTCACGTGCATGTGAAAAACTTGGAAAAATTTATGCCTCTTACATAATCATTCTATTTATAATTATTCAAGTAAAATCTGTTTGTCGTATGTAAATTATAAAAATATATTTATTATTTTATACATAAACAAAAAAAATAGAATTTTAATGTGCGTATTAATAATTTCATGAAAACCAATCGTACAAACTACATATACATGAGAAATTATTTTACACTTCCAAATTATATCTTTGCCATATATTTATTTCCATCATAAGGAGGTTATATCCTCTATATCTCCCCAAGAGAATGGTCATGATGTATAGTTAAAATCTAAAATTATAATTGTAATAATAATTGAGTAACACAATAGAGTAACTATGTCCACAAATAAAATTAATACAAAAATAATATCTGTAACTCAGAATTAGAGTTAAGTCACATATTGGAAGTTTTTCTGGAAAACACAAAAACAGGAAAATGCAATTTCTTTGAATCGTTACAAAAATTTTAATCGAATAGCATGTTAAATATAATATCGTTGGTGTACATAAACTACAAGGTTAATTTACCATTTGTTATTAATTTTTGTGTGTATTATGCCGAGTTAGGTAGGTTTGTTTAGCTCAAACTTATGTTAGGACTTAAACTCTTAAAACATTTCTAAAATATGGAAGGGGCAATCGTAACAAAATTCTTCTGATATTAAAATTGAATTTCGAATACAAAACACAATAATCTGAAAATCTTAACTTATGGAATTCTAGTCTAGTTCTAAGATGCAGAAATATAAACATAAAATAATTGGCCCCATATATTAAGCAAAATAATTTAATAGTTTTAATATTAAAAATAAATTATTTAATAAAACAAAAAAGTTACAAATTTATGCCTTAACCACGTGGATGTAAAAAATGAACAGTGTGTTGTTGCATTATTTTTTAGCTCTGTCAACTCTCACTGGTAAATTTTTAATGCAAATATTTCGAGTACTGTGATAAAAAAAAGCTAAACGCAAATTTTTGACAACTGTTGAGAGTTCAATTCAGCAAAAATGATTAATAATCAGCATGAAATAATTCGGCAATTATTATGGAATTAAAAACATACGGTATTATTTACCTACTATTATGCGATTATGCAAAAATTCTTAAGTATATTTTTTACAAAATATTTTAATAATTTAGAACATATTTCCTGCAGATTACTTGACATATATAAAATATGCAAAATGTTGCATAGATCGTACTATTGAATTAAAAAAAATTAAAAGATCAATTATGCTCAAAAATATTTAAAAGACTACTTTTTATAAATAGAACCAGACATAAAAATTCAAGTCCAATAACTATGACAAATTTACCAATTGAATAACTTAAAAAATAATAAAATGCACAGGATTTTTCTATGTTCTGCCGTTTTTAAAGGTACATAACACAAATTGTTCTGTATTGATTAGCATTTATAACGAATTTGTGACGTACCTTTTGCTAATATATTCCTAAAAGTTCATAAATCTATTAAATGGTCTAGTTTTAACATTTCCATAAGTTACTAATAAGTTAAGATTACTGACTCTACATCATCTTCACAGTCACTAAATTATTTATTATATTCATAGTTTTAGTTTTAAATTTTGCTTAAAAACTATGCCATATATTATATTTTCTCTATGGTTGTCAATATTTTTAACGGCTTTCTATTATTTCAAAATGTAAATTTAATTAGTTATAATGTTATAAACTAATTTAATTTATAACAGTATTTTAATTCCTTACGCACCATACTTAATAGCTATTATTTTTAGATAAAAATTATTTATAATTTTTATTTTCATTGAAAAATTAACCAAATTATTAATTAAAGTATAATTACAAACTTTATTTATAATGTTTAAATTTAAAAATAATTTATATTAAGTTTTTGAATTCATGTAAGTTATAAAGCGTAAATCAATTATCTTATAAAATTAGAATTTAATACCTTATACAACAAAATTTTTTTTTATTTCTTAAGCGATGTTTTGAATGTATGCAAGTTTGAACAGTAAAATTATAGACAGAATATACTAAGTTATACTACATTAATTTCAATCTGCCATAATATTTTATTGTACTAAAGAATACCGAGTTGAAAGTTAATCCGGTTTTTATACATTCTTTTAAAAAAACACACTCTCAATAAATTCTAGTTACTTTCTCTGGGATTTTTGGTATGATTAATAAAGTTTTCAGACAATAATACGTTAACGAATTAATAATGACCCCTCGAAAGTATTTTGTTTGCAGATTTAAATAATTTTATGTGTAAAATCAATTGTGTCGTATTATAATGACAATAAAAATTAAATACCTTTAATTTAAAGTCTCCAGTTATTTAATTTTATTACTAGCGCTAATACCTGTTGTTTTTAAAGATATCTATAATATATACATATACTGTCTTTATTATGATGTTATAGTAGATAAATTTTGCATAATGGTAAATTTTGGTTCAAATGATTGTAAAAATAACTACTGACTGAATAACTAATTATAATAATCTCTTAAAGACGATATTACAGAAAGATTATTATTTGGGTGGTAACTCAAGCTGTTACATTTCATACTTTTTTACATCATTTTAAAACATAACAGGAAATTGAATCGAAAAACGGGAAAATATGAACTTAAGAAAATTATCGCGTATTTACAATAAGTAACTTTGGATGATTATTTAAATATGCCTCCTATCCTTAAGTATCGGAAAATTAACAAGTAAACAACAAATGTTTTTTTAGCGACGACATGCAACACGCACAATATCGATTCAAATTTTAATCATTAAAATATTATACTTTTGAACTATTATTTACAAACAGAATTACGATAGTAAATAACACTGAAAAACATTATTTGTTGTGATGTATTAATGTGTCATCTTATCAATGAGTTAAATGATTATTCAATTTTATTTAACCAAGAAATCGCGTGTTCTATGTGCAAAAAAAAAACCATCACGGATAGGTGATTTTAAATAGAATTATAACGCCTTTTATTTGAATCTTATAATGAATCAAATTGGTGAACATGTACATTTTTTAATAAATTTAATGAAATATAATAATGTAAACAAACTTATGACAATATGTAGATTATGAGAAGCTGCAAGTCAATTAGATAATACTGTTATCATATAATACTAAACATACATGGCCAACTGCCAGCTTGTATTAGTACTCTACTAGAAAAATAAAATCTCCCATATTTATGAACAGTATGTAATACGAGAACTTGATGCAACCTTCAAATTAAGTACAAGTTTATATTTAAGTAATAACTTATCATTTTCAAATATAGATTAACGGTTTTAATTGGACAAAATTATATTATTTTTATTCGTGATGCAATACTTCGATAAAACGTAAATTAATATACCAATTTTTACTAAAAATTATGTAAAAAAATTTCTATGCCATAGAAATCAAGAATCAAGTATTTCATAACTACTGTGCTATAAGAAAGATAAAAAGTAAAAAATAAAATTACGCGTGTTAATTGAAAAAAAATTCATATAAGTAAAATTATAAGAATAATTGTTATAAAAACGGAACATTAATCAAAAATGCTTCTTTCCAGCAACTTAAAAGATCTATTTACGTCCAAATTTCTTTTTTTTCCACTCGCATAAAATATAATGCTAAAATCATTTAAGACAGGGATTATACTTTTATGAAATAATTGTTAAATTCTTCATTTTAGAAAATTAAAAGCTAGACTATTTTGATTACACGTACAAAACTTGGTGAAAATCACGATATGCTTAGGTACAACGGTATGATAAAGGTGTCAATGAGACGATACCGCTACTGACATTTGCATATGGCGAATAAGTAGCACGAGCTTTATAAAAATATTAAATGCTCTTAGATACAAATATAAATAGGTACAACAAATTATAAAAGTCGATATTAGCAAAGTTATTATTCAAACTCTTATAATTCTTAGATTTTTGAAATTCACCACGCTAGGTATAAATTGAAACGTTCTTCCATCGTTTACGATGCACTATAATAGACAATAATAGTTTTTAATTGAAGAATTAATAGTGATTAACATAATGTTAATTATTAGAAAAATTTCCCAGCAAAATCAATTTGTAAACTCTGAACATACAGTGTGTTGAATTTCTGCCCGATTTTTACACTTGAGTAGTGAGTATAGGAAAAAACTTGAATAATTTTCAAAACTTACCTTGAAAAAAAAGCAATAAAATGTTTTGTATAATATCGAATTCTTGCGATTAAAAATTAAAACGAATTGAACATTTAGTAAAGCAAAATCGTTTAATAAAAAAAAAAAAGTTTCGAACACGGACGCGATTTTCCTTACCAGTAACCGGCGGACTACACACGTGCTCTGCAACGGTTACCAGCGTTGTAAAATAACACGAATTACTTCAGTCAACGAGTGTCTGGTACGGTGGCCGGGCGTAGCGCGACGGTCGACCGGCTGACGATACTACACCGATACGCTGTGTAGATAATTGACGTAGTAATGGCGGCGGGCACACCAGTGTTAAGTGTCCCGAGTCGGTTGTGAAAATCAACGTTAACAGTGTTAACTTAACACTGTAGGGCCTGTTTTATTAGACGTGCCGTAGACTAGTCAAGTCCTCCTACAGGTGCGCGACACTGTCAAACTCAATATTTAATATTCAAAAGTGACGACGTCAGTTCACATACTACATATTTATTAATAATTCGTACTACAGACATGTATGCATACATCAACAAATAACATTACACGAGGGAAATAAAATAATTCTCAGTCTTGAGATCTAACAATGACACGCTTATAAACGTGACAAGTGCAAATAATTTTAATCGTAGTTGAAAAAACCCATTGCAAATATTAAAAAAAGAATGTGTGAAAACTACTTGTGTGCAGACGCTTTATTTGCATGTTATAGGTATTACAATTTCTACCAACATATTTTTCCGAGTAAATAATTCAATCTATATTTAAACAAAAACACATGTGTATGTAAACAATTTTCGATGATAAATTGTCAGTTAAAATTTCATTAAAAAATTAACATCGATAATTTTTAAGTGAAAACTTTTTATTTTTTTCATTCTTACAATCAGTAATAAAATTGCTAATCAATTTTATCTAATAAATATTTCTAATTTTAAAAAAATAACTATTTTAATTACAGCTTATCTTACAATATACGATATATTATATGGACTGCATTATTTTATTAAAATAGTACCATAGATATAAAAAATTTACATGTATTTTATTTCGGAAAAATAATTGCAATTATTTTAATCACCGAAAATTTATATATTTTTTAAGCTAGACTAATTTTAAAAGAATACAAATGAAATATTAATAGTGAGATTAAAATTCTATTTGATAAGTCATGAACTGAAACAAAATTTTATTTTACTTCATTTCATTTCATGTGGAAGAACTTTTACAGTGTGTCAGACCGGCTCTCGACGTGACAACCTTTTCACTCGGTTCGCAATACCCCACCCAGCCCGCCGTGCTAAAACTCGTTGACCAATAGCGTATGCATGAGAATTACAATTAAGGGGTAGGGGGACACGCATCCCCCTTGAAAAATATACGATAATTAAACAATTTAACGTATCATCATACGCTATAGGTGGGCGGCTTCCATTGGGTAGTAAGGAAAAGAGCATGTCCCCTTTGAAAAATCCTCAAAAAGTGGTTCTTTAAGCACATTATGCGCTAGATGTAAACGCTTATGAGCAAGAGGTAAATTTTACCCCCTGGAAAATATGTGATCTCCTATTTATTTTCTTATACCTATAGAATATTTATAGCACTCATTAGGGTACAACAGGGAACACGACCCTTGGAAATATGCCATTCCCTTCTATCACACTGCGCTAAAATTTTATACCTATAGCATTTATAGTGTTGTTGTTTACTTTGGAACAAATTGCCTGTAAATTATTTGTAAATAATAACTGCAACACTAAAATATGAGCGACAGTGATAATTTAAAACATAGTTTGCCTCTTGTAAAGAAAGTAAAATTATAATATGGCATACAATCAAGCAGTGGCGCCAATCCCTATATACATGTATTGCGATGTAATACATGTATAATTTGGGTGGTATATAGAAGAGATATAAGTAATAATAAAGAATATAAGATAATGATCAAAAAAGGCCATAAAAACTTTTTTTTTAAATCAAGAATAATTTAATTATATTTTATAATTAAGGTTTGCCTTTATGTGTATACAATTCATACACTCTCATATAGTTTATATCTGTTCCAACCTGTATTTATAAATACATATATACACATGAATTTGTCAATATTTAATTTATTACAAAAATAATCAAATATACTAAATATGCAAAAATAAGCTTAATAAATATTTATTTATATAGGTGAAAATTTAGTAAATATTTTTTTTTTTTTGAGAATTTCAATAAAATATTCTTAGTTGCAATACTTCCTACATATTTCTACAACACACATTTAAAAATATCTTATAAATATAATAACTAAAAAATATATTTGTTTATCGCAATAAGATGACAAAAAAATTTCTTAAATATTTATTTATATGTATTTTGAGAATACAGAATATTTAACTAAATATATTTTTAAATATTTACTTAAAATATTTTTGAAAATATATTATTGAGAATAAATGTAGAACATTTACCTCAAAATATTTGTATTATATATTATCGAAATAGTTTTTCAAATATTTACTTATTTCATTTATTGTATATTTTAAGGCGATTTTTAAGTTGAAGTTATTATTCAAGCAAATTCCGTTAATTTAAAAAGTAGATATCGTGTAGCGATGTTATTTTTTTTAAGGGACCACTCAAGTCGATTAACAGACTAACTGACTTTTTAACATTTGATTTGGCCTACTATAACTTTATAAAAAGTTTTTTTGGCCGACAGTAATACAAAAAAAAATGTCTTTTTAGTAGACTGAAGTAATTTTAGTGGAGTAATCTACCTTCTTCATCTTCTTTAGTTAGCTCGACGTTGTTGAAGTGGATATCGAGAAATGAATGATGGTTCTTGCAGTTATTTTGAAGGTCTTATAAAGTAACAAATAAAGTTAATTAAATGTAAAGGGAACTAATTGACAAAAATACGAGCTTCAACATTTTATGTGATTATTGTAATAATGACATACAGTTGTAAAGCAATTGAATGAAGTGGTAATAGCGTACAAAAGGTAAAATATGTTGGGTAGTATTATTAAAACATTACGTATATATATCGCGCGGATTAAACTCTATGTATGAAGTGACAATAAATGTATAAAAACATGTCATGTTACTAAAGAAATGCAATTAGAAAAATATAACACGTTAGTAAAAATGTATACAGGTTTATTTGTAATAATTCTTTATTATTTTAAAGATGATACCAAAGATGTATTACAATATATCTAGGAAATGAGATACTTAAACAAACTGCTTTACAATTTGTTGAAATTGTGCCTATGCAAATTGTGTTATGCACAAATAGATGCGTGTGCAAAATATGTAATTTAGAAACGTTAAGATATTTATTTAGAGTAGTATTTTTAATTTAATAAATTGATAAGTATTGTCTTTAATAATCATGTTATCCACTAAATTGAATAACTATAGACAAAGACGATGTTTGTTTTTAATAGTCTAAAACTGTAAAAATAATTTAAAAAAAATATATATTTGATGGTTTAAAAGTTATTAAAGATATCAAAACCTGGCGGAACATATATATAACTTATATATAAGTATATTTTGGAAAAAATTTTGGAGGAGGAAGATACGGTATTGCTTCTTATTAAGCTGTATCAATAGTAACATATAATTAATGTAGTGTATATAGTAAATAAATAATAAATGTGATAAAATATATAATATATATAAGATATTATCTTATATATACGTTTTATTTAAATATATAAGAAAATTTTAATAAGTTATAACGAGAAGTATGGATAATTTAGATAGCTTGTAAGTTTGTCTTAAAATAGGTTATGAGCCAGTAATTATTCATAACTGAAAGGGAGCACAAATTCAGTTTAGAGATAAAAAAAAACACAACATTTCGTTATTTTTCTAATTAATGAAAATATTTGTCATTATTTGTGACATTCATCATGCTATTCAAAAATAAATACATAAAATCGTTTTTATTTGGTAATCATAGCCTACCTTAATTAGTTGAATCATTTGTACTCTTATAAAAATAATATATAAATTATTATTTTGAAAGACCTAAAAAATTATGCAAACACTGAAATTTTCAAAAAAAGTATAACTTGAATTACTAACAAAGAAGTACGCTTTTTCTTAAGTAGTATAGTACTATACATTTTGACAACTTAAATATAATCTTTTATTTAAGTATTAAAATTCCTTGATTATGGTAAAATATAACATTCAGGACACTTTAGGAAGAAAGTACTAATAATTAAATGCAATTTTTAAAAAAATAACATAATTTAAAATATTAAATGATTATTATTTTATGATAAAAAAACATTTACAAAGTATAATTATTTATTTTTCATTGACATTCTTTTTTTTTTATTTATACTACCTCTATTTTTACCTTTTGATTTCATACTTCCTCCAAAAGTACTCTCTTTAGTGTTACCTTTCATTCCTCTTTTTTTCCCTCCAAATCCATACTTTGCATCTTTACCTTTTCTTTTATGTTGTGATCTATAAACATAAAATGAAAATATCAAATAGAGAATTATAATTTAAGGTTAATTATAACTAGATTATTTTAAAAGGATGTTACAAAATGTTTAACTTATAAACTTAAAGTTGATTAAAATCAAACCAAAATATTTGTTTATTAGTTCAATTAGAAATTCAAACTAATTAAATCTAATAGTAGGTCAAAATTATTGGAAAATAACAATAATTAGTAAAATTAAAACATTTGAGTTTTAAGATAATAATTGAGGTGATCACATAGAAAGGAATTTAAACACAGAAACTAAATTTTTTATTTTTGTGCTAGAAAGAATAAAGTGTTTATCTAAACCACATGAATAAGTCATTTTTGTTTTCTACACTATTCATAATTTATCCAGAAATTTGATTAAATTATTTCATTATGTAATAAGAATTTGTACTTATTAGTTTTCCACAAGAATAGAAAGTTGATATTTTGTACTTAGTTTCTTTTTCATGTCAACGTCTCAATTATATAAATGTATAAATACTTAGTATTTATACAATCAATGAAAAATACTTCTTTAAACAAAATTTACCTATACAACTTGTATTTCCCAGAAATAAAAACATAGAATACCAATTGATTTTCTCATGAAATTCAATTACATATTAAGTTAGAATACATAACGAAAATTCTAAGAGTAATTTATTTATGTACAGATTATCAATGGTATTAAATATTATTTATCTCATTGCTTAATTTATTCAAATGTTAACATTCTTACAATTTTAATAACAATCACATTCTTATTCTTATTTTAGAAGAAAATAGTTTCTTATATTCTGAACACTCCTTGTAGAAAAATATTTATTTTCTAGAAAGAACTACAACTACTTTTAGTAAAATTTTGAACTTTGTTTAAAAATGGTAAAAGAAATTTTTTTTTTAACTAATTCAAAAATAGTTATTCTTTAAGTTATTTTGGTTTACCTGGTAAGATTTTTTTTTTCTTTCGAATTTTCTTGCTTTTGATTTTTTTTGCTACCATCAGTTTCTAAAAAATCTAAATCATTTCTTAATCCTTTTCTAAACTTTTTAATATTTTCATTCAAATCTCTTTTTTGTTTGTGTTTTTCTTGGACAGCAGCAACCCGTTTTTCTTTGGCTAACTTCTTTTCTTGTCGTATACGTCTAACCTTTTCTGTCTGTTCAAGTTCAACTTTTCTTTGTAAAAGGGCATGTCGTACTTTCTGCATGTGTTCATCAGATTTGAACATTTCAGCAAAATAATCTTCTGGACGATGTGTTGGTATATTATGCTTATGTAATAATTCAATGCCAGTCATAACTGCAGTTTGAGCATGTCGGTGGAACATAGTTTCACGCTTAAAATCATTTAAAGCTACTTCATCAATTTTGCCTGCTTTTAAAAATTGCTGCTGTTCAGTTAGCTGAAATATAATTTAAATTTTACTACAAAGTGAACAATTTAATAAATAGTAAGGTAACTTTGAAATTAATATGTTAGATAAAAAAAAAAAAACGAACATATCATTAATAACGAAATGTCACATTTAATTTTTATTATTGTCTCATGCAATTAGCAAGATTGTTACATTTTACACTACTTGTTTAAAATACCAAAAAAATCAACATTTAAAATGATCTTATGGGATGTTTTAAATTGTTTATTTATATTTTAAACAGATTTTTTTATTTTTAAAAATGTTTTTTAACAACTCTGGTTGCGTTAAAATTAATATTTTACTTCTTATTCATTATATTTGTCAAACTTAATATGAGTTAAGACATGTATAATTTGTCCATTTTTCAGATTTAGTTTGAACCACTTAATTGATAATTTTAATTGCTCATTATAAAATTAAATGTATTTTAGCACAATATTCAGTTAATAAAAAACTTTTTTCAATTTAGTTTTTCATTCCAATTAAAAGTATATATAAAAAATTTTATTAGCAAAGCATAGCATAAAAGTTATGAAAATTTAAAGTTTCTACTTGAGTACACACATTGTGTTTTTAATAGTGGTTTGTTAAGCTGATAAGTGAGTTTAACAATTTACAGTTTAATAATTTTATTAATTAAAGATTCAATAAAATCTTCTGTTTCATTAAATTTTGAGCAGATTTTTACTGATTTTCTAATGATAAATTTTACATGTTAAACTTTTATTTCAAACTTCAAATTTTTATGGTGTATTAAGCAGATATGTAACTAAAAAATTAAAAAATATTTTTTTTGAAATTAGGTCCCCTAACAGAGATAATACATCTGGAATACGCGTCTTTTTCTAAAATTTCTAAATTTGTAGGCCTCTAAATCCCAAGAAAATTGTTTTAAATATTTGAAATTTAGTTGAAACATAGATTATACACTATACAATACCACATTTGAAAATCACCATAAAATAATAGCTTCTTAATGGTTTTTAGTGAGCTCAAAAACACCAATTTTTACAAAAAAGCTTCATTTTTAGAAAGTCATTAAAGTTTGAAATTTCACATAATTTTTTTTTTATAAACTTTAAGGTTAATTCTAAAATTTTAATTCAATTGAGTTAATATTGAATAATATGTGTGTTTATTAACATTCTGGCTATTTTTAACATTTTTTACATTGAAATGGCGATAAAAATGGAATGGTCATAAAAAAAAAGAAAAAAAAGTTGATTTAATCTGTTTATGGCATCAAGAATAAACCCTAAAAATTCACTTCTGGATGATTTGGCATGGATTGACCCATACGCAACAGTAGGTGGTTTGTTTAATTTTTAACTATTTTATATAGTATAATTTTATTTTATTTAATGATGGATTATATAAATTATTGATAATTTACAGTTTAACCCAAATCCAACTCACTATAAAAGACACTTATTCAATAAATATACTGACCTCCATAGATAGTTCAGGAGCTAGAGGCGCCGTTTCAGCCACAATATCAAGTCTTTCTGACCATGGAAGGCTACTTTGAAATGATTTCAAGGCATCATTTAAACCTCCCTAAAAATATGTTAGTTTTAAGATAAATAAAAATTTATGTACATTTCATTTAGGCTATTTATAAATAAATCAATCAAAATCATTTAGTCAAATTTTTAACTAAATCAAAATAAAATAATAATTTTGTTATTACTTTTTAATAAAAATTTTACTAGAATTGTTGATTTTTGAACTTAATATATAAACTATATGAAATTGATTGATAATTTGCACAGATGAAATAAAAATTATGAATTAATAACTTACAATATTATTAATGAATTCTTTTTTGGGATCAACTGGTATATTTAATCCTGGTTTTAACTTTCCGGCAGCATACAACTCTAATAGCTAAAAATTAATTGTATTAATAAAAAAATTGATACCTCACTTAAAAATGTTTGCATAGAAAAATATTTTCTTTTTTATAATAATCAAATATTATCTCTTTTAAAACATTAATATATATATATATATATTTATAATTTTAGATGAAATGTTTAAGAAAATTATAAATTTTTATTATATATATTCTAAAATTTGACTTTCTAGATTTAACTCATTTAATGAATACACGATTCAAATAACAATAATTTTTATGAGTTAATAAAGTTTGTTTGACATCTTATGAAATAAAAAATAATTTAACAGTAAATTACTTACTTCTTCTTCGGAATCTTGATCTGAAGACATTTCAAAATCATTATTAGTCATTTTAAATAATATTTAATTAATGTTAATAATAAACAATGTAATTATTGAAGTAGTAAAATCTGTAATTTATAAAGTTATTGACTTGAGTAATGATCACTAACACCTTAAAAATATATTTTTAATCGTTTGTATCACGTGCTCAGTATCAGTAGGAGTTATTATCACACACTTCAATTTCTTAGTTCGTGATAATTATTATCAATGAAACGATTTATACTGTTATCATTACACAAGAAATTTATTCTAGTGTTTTCTTTCATATAATTAGACACGTAATATTGTGATGTTGTCACCTTACCATTATTTTAAAAAGTTATTGTAATAAAATACAGACAGCGCATCCGCTTCTAGAGACTAATGAATGGACGATTAATATTTATTTCAAAATTGGTAATCGCCCGAATTACTATTTAAACCCATAAGATCTGGCCATCGACGTCAGTCGATCCAGTGCTTTGCGTCATTCATCAGTCTCAGTACTCAATTGTCGCTGTCCGGCTTATTGCATAAAGTCAAGTCTTTGTTTTTCCTTTTTCACCTACCTACTCTCGTCCTCGAAATTTCAGAGTACTTGTACCTTGCACTTCGTCTGCACCTCATACTCGGCTACCCCTGTTCTTTATTCTCTCCTATACCAAAAGTATTTGTGTCTTGCACTTCGTCTACACTTCATACCTAAGTGTTACCCTTATTCCCTTCCTATAACAACGGCCTTTCGACACCCACAGCTAATGCGGAGTGTCAGCCGAGCACGATAACTGCTGTATGATCACGTGTACGTGAATACCCAGGCAGCAGACTCAACATAATTTTTGTACACACTATGCTACTCTACTCCCTTTCCGTGTGTTTTGTTTAAGGTATTTTTTTGTGTTACGTCAATATTATCAAAAACTATATTAAAATAATAACTTATCTAATGTACTTAAATAAATGGAAAATATAATTTTTTAATTATTAATTAAGGTAATTTTCTAATGGATTACACTTCTCATCAGTTAAATCTTAGGCAGACTTGTATATAAGCAATAGTGGGTATTAACTAGTTAAAAAGTTATTTTTTTTTTAACTTGTCAACTTAACTAGTTAATTATTTTTCTAATTAACTTTTTAACTTAACTAATTTAATTTTCCGATGAAATAACTTAGTTTTTTTAGTTAATTAGTTAAAATAACAGTTAAGCTAAATTCAATATTTCATAAAAAAAATGTATGTCTTTATACACTTTATACGTGGTTAAATAAAAAAAAAATGGAAATTTCTCCCCCATATATTATATTTACATAACAATAATTATAATTTTCATTATTTTTTAAAAAATGTATATGATTTTTAACTGATTTTTTTTAATAGCTAGTTTTAAAGATAAAACAGTACAACAAACACAAAAATAAACAAAACGAATAAAAAATTTTTTTGTTATTATTAATATATTTTTTCCAAGTTTAAAAGGTACGATGAATTGTATAATAGGCTAGGAACAAAGGAAAGCGAAAAAGAAGTCTATAGACTTGCAAAAGTAAGAGAAAAAAGGTCTAAAGATTACCACTATGTAAGGTGTATAAAAAGTGTTGTTAATAGGATTCTATCCTGTGATGATGTAAAAAAGGGTGGAAATAATATTTTGAAAAATTACTGAATGAGGAGTATCTAAAAGTGACATTAAAGTATATCTTGTGAAACGGAGGGCTGGTAGATTTAATTAGTGAGAAAGAGGTATGGGAGACTATGGCATCAATGAAAAAGAATAAAGCATTAGGACCAGATGAAGTGTCAGTACAAGTATGGAAAATATTAGGTGGTGTTGGCATAAGGTGGTTGAAGGATCTTTTAAATAAAATCTTATTAGATGGGAAAATTCCAAATGAATAGAGGAATAGTATTGTGGTGTCGATATTTAAAAGTAAAGGAGACAAACAGGAGTGTTGAAATTATAGAGGCATAAAGCTTATGAGTCATAATTTGAAAATTTGGGAAAATAATAGCTAAGAGAATAAGAAATGAAACATCGGTATCTAAAAACCAGTTTGGATCTATGCCTGGTAAGTCAATAATGGAGTCATTATTTTGTGTGAAGCAACTAATAGAAAATTATAGGGAAAAAAGAAAAAGCTGTGTATGGTATTTATAGATTTGGAGAAAGCGTATGATAGAATACCAAAAGGTGTTAAAATGAGCATTAATAAGAAAAGGAGTCCTGAAAAGGTGCATTAATATAATAGAGGATATGTAAGATGATACTTGTACAAAGGCAAAAAATGTAGGAGTAACAGGTTTTAGTGTAAGAGTAAGAGTGCACCAAGGTTCTACTTTAATCCCTTACTTATTTTCTATAGTGATGGATGAAATTACTAGACAAATACAAGGAGAAGTGCCATGGTATATGTTGTTTGCTGACGATATAGTGTTAATAGGAGAAAATTAATCAAAGGCTAGAGGTGTGGAGATCAGCTCTTGAAGAAAAGGGTTTAAGAATAAGTAGCAGTAAGACAAAATATATAAAGTACAAATTGACAAAAGAGAACACGAGGTAGGTGAAATGAGGAGAGCAGTGACAATAATCAAAGATGTAATAGGAGAGTTGGATTGTTTTAAGTATTTTGGATCAGTTGTGCAAAAGAGCGGCGGTAATGACGAGGATGAAAGACACAGGATTAAGTGAAAGTGGAGAGAAACGTCTGGTGTTTTAAGCGACAAGAGAATTCTAATGCGGCTAAAGGTAAGTTCTATATTGTAGTGAGACCAGCAATGATGTATGGTTCATAGTGTTGGGTGGTTGACAAGAAAGTAGAGCAGAGAGTGTAGCAGAGATGAGAATGTTTAGATGGTTGAGTGAGGTGACTAGAGAAGATTGGATAAGGAACAAACATATAAGAGAGAGTATAGGTGTAGCGTCAATTGTGGATAAGATAAGAAAATATAGACTTAGATGGTTTAGTCATGTTATGAGGAGAGACGAATCGGAAGCTGTAAGAACAGTTATAGAAATGAATGTTGAAGGAAGACCAAAAAAGAGAGGGAAAGATGTTATTGAATGTGATATGGGAACGACTGATGTAAATGTAGATGATGTGGGAGATCGTGTCAAGTGGAAGTTTAGGATAAAGGTGACCAACCCAAAGTAGTTTGGATTAAGGCGTGGAAAAAGATTCAACTTTAATAGTTGAAAATTAATTCTTAGTTTTCTCTAACATCACCAACCAATAAAAAATGATTTTAATAGATTTTAGCCAAAAAATTAATTTTAAATGAAATAAACTTTTTTAAACTAGTTAAGTTAAAAAAAAATTTTATCTAAGCTAGTTAAATTTATAATTTTTTAAATTTTAATTGTTAATTTATCAACATTGATCATACTTAGTGTGAATTAATTATTTCCATTAACTTGCCTATCTTTGTATATAAGTAGGGGTATCTTAAAATAAGTCATACTTATTAAGAGATAATTAAAAAAAAAAAATTTGTTAGCAACGAGAAAAAAAACTGTAAAATAAAATAAAGTGAACTTTTAGAGTAGAAAAATTATTGTTAAATTCTTATATAGAGTGATTTAGTACTGTCGATCATGTGATTCCTCCTAAAAAGGTAAGCATTTTTTTTTTTTTTTTAATGTAACATTTTCTAATTTTGAAAAATAAGTTTGTTATAATTTTTTTATCTCGAGAAAAATATTAGAGGCAATATTCTTAATAAATCACATTGAATAATAGGTTGATATTATTGAATAGGCATTGAAATTTTTTGATTGAACTCCATTTCTTTCAAAATAAAATCTTAGTTACCTGTCTGATGTCTTGTACAAAAGAGCAGTCATTTCTTGTATTATTTTTAATTAATTAGTAGTCATAAGTCTAAAGGGAATTTTCTACTAAGACTCCTAATGAACGATCATATTAGTAAAAAAAATAAAAATCTGATTTTTTCAATAGTTCATAAAATTAATGCTTTAGAATTGAAATCAGTCTAAGATTTTAATTGTGAGAAGAAATATTGAAGACTTCAATCTAACTTACTTAAGATTGTCTAGATCTGATTTTGAATACTTTATATAAATTAAATTTAAGAAGTTTTTTAATTCATTAAATAATTGTATCATATTAAGACCACTTTTTTTTATTCTGCCCTTTTTAACCACTATTCTCCAAAAAATACTATATTTTATCAGACATCTAAAAATCTATCAATCAAAATACAATATCAATACAAAATATTTTGGTTATTCAATTAATTAACTTGTATATAAATTTAAAACGAATTTAATAAACACAAAAATTATAAATTTGCATCAATAACCAAATGTATAAATAATTCTTAATTGTATAACTATTACATCAGAATATTAAAATAATGTTTTAGATACGAATCATCAAGAAATATATATGCATTAAGTATTAAGTATATAATGGATAAATGAAATAACAATAATTTCTACATAAATAAAAAATCTTTTAAGGTAAACTTATGTATTTTATTCTGAATAATGTTTAATATCCAATCAAACAATCTTTAGTTTTTAATAGTTACTGCTTTTATGGTTATTTGTGGACCAACTAACATTTAAAATTAAATGATCATAACCATAACCATGAAGATTTTTAATAGCTCTTTCTGCATCCATTCTAGACTTGAAATTAACAAAAGCATATCCTTTGCAAGTACCAGTAACTTTGTTAGTAGCCAAGAAAATTCTTGATACTTGACCAAATTTACTAACAAGATCACTCAAATCAGCTTCAGAAGTACTTTCAGATAAGTTTTCAATACGAATGGCTGGAACTTCATCAAAGTTACGACTGTATGGATCACGTTTACCAGCTGTATTTGTAGCACCTTCTCGAGCTAATGGTGGAATGTAAGGTCTAAAAAAATGTAAAAAAGGTTAAATAAAAGTTTTAATTCACAATTACTAAAAAACAATTAATTACCTGTTAGTACTCGTATTTTTTTCTGGTTCAATAATTTTTTCTTGAACTAGTTTTTTGTCTTCCACTACTAAACCAGTACCCTTGAAATGACATGAGAAAGACCAATGCTCACCACCACAATTACGGCATTTGATATTCATATTGACATTCTTTATTTTATCTAATGGATTATCTTCAAGCTTATCACCATCTTTCCCAGTTAGGAATTGCATTTGAATTTCTTCAGCGGGTATAGTAGTTGCAATATTAGGTCCTGGTTTATCATTTTTTGAGTCTCCAAATTTGGGCCAACCTTTTCTTTCAGCAATGCTTTTAGAAACAATACGTCTTTCAATTTTGTAAGTTCGTACGACTTTTTCTTTTTTATCATCTTTATTCCATCGGTATTCAGTAATAGTTTTGGTATTACCATGTTGTTCAACTTTTGGTGGAGGTAAGGTAGTTTTTTCTAAGTGATTTTCAACTTCATCTGCCCAACTAGCTTTAATTAAATCTTTATTGTGCATTTTCACCCGCTAATAAAAAAACATGATTATTTATATTGTTTCTAAGAAAAATTAGTTTTAGATACTTACTGTTAAGTTATACGAAATTATTTCACAATATTCAGGGAAAAAATTAATGATTAATGAAGGCTCAAAACAAATTTTATACGTACCACAAAAATTATCTTTAAAAAAAGAAATTCAAGTAAAACTATTAATATATAAGTGCACACGTACGGACGAATAACGAGATGTGTTATCACGAAAACAATAAAAAGTATCAAATTTTTAGGTTATAACACTACTACGGTTTCAAACTAATATTAATTCAGCGTGCTCATACCATAAAATAAGTAAGCCTAACTCAAAACATGGTTATAATAGTTATACCACACATCCGTTAAAAGTTTGTACAGATTTAAACAGACTAATAAACCAAATAGAAACTTAATAATAGTTTTTTAGTCTATATGAATCCAATTGATACAAATTTTAAATGGTACCGTGGTATAACTTTTGTAGTCAAGTTTTGAGTTAGGTTCCTTTATTTCTATGCTATACAAACTTAGACATCTTTTAGCTATAAAAAACTACTTAATGCCATATTTATGGAAGAACACTTGGTGTATTTGTACAAGAACCAATTTAAAGGAAAATTTCCTGACAAATATTAGTTGGGTACCATTTATTATTATTCGGGAAAAATAATATTTTGACTGATTAATAAAAACAGTACAAGTAAAACTATAAATATAACAATTTTTTGATCTATTACATGAATACCGCTGAGTTTTTAACAAAACATTGTTTAATCTGATTGTAACAAATCATATTTTTATAATAATAAAAGTATCTAAATTAAGCTCTACTGAAATATCATAATTTTTATTACAATATCCTTAACTGTTAATTTCTGGAAAATTACAGTTTTTAACATTTAATAATGAGTTTAAATTTTTGCGTTAAGTAAGTCATAAATATTTTTATATTATTATTATAGAGAATTTTTCAGAGAACAAATATTTATGAACTTTATTAGTGTTACATCTAAATCTAAGTTAATAAAGAACTTTAAAATATCAAAAAATCTTAATTTTCATTAGTTGTTAAAGTCATCTTAATATTAAAAATTGAGGGTTTCGACGTTCAATATATATATTTATAAATAAATAAATTAGTTTCTATTACAGTTTATTTTGATATTTTTTATGATTAAATATATTTAACTGTATATATATTTTTTAATAATACTAAAATTCGTTTCCAGAGCTTTAAACCAATAATTAGTCGTGTTAATTTATGTTATTCAAATTAAATCGTTAGTTTTATGATTACTAAATATAACTTGCGTACTTCACACCAAAATGTTTTATGTCAACAGTGTGTATAATTTGAAAAGATGATCAAAAACTGAAAATATATTTTGATAGGTCTAATTCAGCTCTGCTTTCTATCTTGTTATTCATTTTGCATATTTCGTTTTGTAAAAACTTCATGAATACCTTATTGTAAAGTATGTCTTGTAAGTGAATCGTTCGACAATATAAACTCATCCAATCCATGCATGATGACAGAAATTAATCTTTATGATAAATATGTAACGTTAACGAAAACAGGAATTGACAATACGATTGCTACAAAAAAGCATCCCTTGAAAATGCAGTCAAAATCTTTTATCGTTGTAGCGGAACGCATTTGTTTGTTTGTCAGTGTGAAAAAACGGTACTCTGATAAACATGAAGTGTTGTGTCCGCAAAGTGTAAAAATTCGTATATTAGAATAAAAAAATGTGGGTCTTATAAATATGGAAAGTTATATTTAAAAAAAAAAATTTTTAATACGTACAGTTGTTTTAAAACTGAAACGTAAATATTCATTAAAAAAGGTAGAAATAATCAAGTGAAACATATTTTAATATTTAGCTGTTATACTAAGTGAAACTTGTAGTAAAACTAATTAAAAGTATTTTTAATTACATTATATTCATTTTATAAATGAATTGTTTAATAAATCTTTGTTGAATAATTTAAAATCATTTTTAAAGACATTTGATGTCAAGGTTATAAATAATATATATAATAAAATTATATAATGAAATATTTTTCATACATATGTTTTTTAAAATAATATTTTAATACAAGTCTACTGTAAAAATCCTTTATTTACAGATATATGTGACCAAATTATTATTTAAATCCTATTAATTTGATAGGTAAGATTATATAAAAACTAAAATTTCTTTAAAGTTACAAATATTTAATATACATGTTTAATTATGATGATTGTTTTTTTAAATTGCACACGTTATTATACTTATATTATTGTGTACTTATTTAATTGAAGTAAGATGATTATGAGCAGCGATGATAAAGCAAATAGTTTTATGTTAATTTTTTTTACAAAAATTTTAAAAATATTTCAAATTTGTTATTAGATTAATGTCTATGGTCTCTTTTTTTTGAGATTATTACCAATTTATAAAAATGAGTATTTAAATTTAAAAATCCAGCACAAGGGGGTCGCGGCACAATGGTGACTTGGGCACTTGGGCACTTGGGTCAAGTATAGATGATATCTGACGGTGATTAAAATCACTATCATAAAAAACGCTTCGATGCAAATCTTTAGATAGTGTTTAATTTTAAAAAATTGGTGGATTATTCCAAAATCTACATGACCTGCTATTTCCATATTTATATCCTGATTAAGATAAAGTATGTCGACTGAAAGAGGGATATAAATATTATTTCTCATAAAAAAATTATGTTAATCCATACACTTTTCAATAAGTTATAGCATTCGGTAGCCATTTTCACCGTGAAGACAAAATAAAGTCCGAAATTTTTTTTTTCAATGATAAATTATATTACATTAGCTTTGATTTAAGATATACATAAAAATGTCAGAATTTCCAGAACACTTTCAAAAGTTAAGTTTAAAAAATTATTTTTTTGTGTAAAAGTTGTCATTTTAAATCCCCCCTGTGGGCAGGTAAATGGTCAAATTTGTAAAAAAAAGTATACCAAATGAAACGTATAGACATGATGCATCTATAAAAAAAAATTATATTGATTTGTTCATTTTTGAAAAAGTTATAGCAGCTTTAAGTAAAATTTTTTAAAAACTTTCGAAAATTAGTGATTTTTAAATTTTTCATTTTTTTGGAGATTTCCCCCATTTACGGGGAACGAGGGAAATTTTTTCAATTTTTGATGGTAATGTCTTTGACTAAATACGATTTGTGATATTTTGACGTATTGTTGAAAGAAATCGGTTCGGTGAAAGCTAAAAAAAGTAACAGATATAAAAATAAACACATCGTAGTAAAACCAATACTTTTCAGCTTCGCATCGAACCTAATTTTGATTTTTAATATGTTAAAAATAATCTATTCAAAATGTCGTGTTTTACTTTTTTTTGGTCCTTTAAAATTAATTGTTATACAAATTTATAATCAAAAAATTTTTTATCTTTTAATTAAATTAAATTGCAAGCTTGAAATTATAATATTCTCCTCATGAACATTTATAAAAATCAATACCTCTTTTATTTCTCAGCCTACAGAACAGAATACACTGACACTATTACACATTTAATTTAGACTTTTAGACACCACAACTGTACTAAAAATAGAAAATAATTATAATAACTCTTTTGCGTTGATTGAAATACGGACTGATGACTGAATGTTTCTATAATAAAGCATAATACATTCAAAATACTAATCTCCGTTTGTGCCGTTCGTAGCACATTATATAAGGGCTGAAGACCCTATTTTTCTACTCATTCAATAATCTCTTTTTCTCAAATAATTTCTTTTCTACTAACAAGGAATAATAAAGGAAATAGAAATGCATTTGCTTTTGCTTTTGGTATAATCCACCAACTTCTTTAAATTAAACATTATCTACAGATTTGCATCGAAGCATTTCTTACGGTAGTGATTTTAATCACTGTTAGATATCATCTATACTCATCCCAACTATGCCACGTCCATACTGTGCCGCGACCCTACTGTGCTACCATTTTTTTAAAATCTAATTTTGTAATATTAAGAGTGTATACATTGTCAATATATAATGTATATTTCACTTTAAACATGATAACATTTTTTGGTTTCAACAATTAGTGTTTATATATAAATCAATAAATAAAAATATGGTAAATTATTTGTCGCGCGAAGCAAGAAAAATTTTTGGAACTTAAGAAACCCCAAGTTCAAAACACTATTTACATTTATGATCTATTCGCTATGAATTTAAGGAAGAACTGTTTTAGTTTACTAATTAAATTTTCAATTTAAGTTTACAGGGTGATATTTTAAAAAATATGCTTTAAAATTATTGAATATTAAATTAATTTAAACTCTTTAAAATCCAGTTGGATGGGGCTTAATGAAAATTCCGTGAATTTTTGAAACCCTAATTATTACGATTATATAAAATATTAATATTATATGTATTATTTAATTTACATTATTATTTTTATACTTTTAATAGCACTCAAATATTATTTTAGATTCGATGCGAAGCTGAGAAGGTATTAATTTTACCATGATGTGTTTATTTTTTTTTTTATTTATTTTTTTTTTTTTTTGTGTCTGTCACTACTTTTTCTCAGCTCTCACTGGACCGATTTCTTTTAACAATACGTCAAAAGATCACAAATTGTATCTAGTTGAAGACATTACCCTTAAAAATTTAAAAATTTTCCCTCGTTCCCCGCAAATGGGGGAAATATCCAAAAAAATTACAAATTTAAAAATCGACAAATTTTGTCATTTTTTTCACTTTTTTTTCTTAAAACTTCCATAACTTTTTCAAAAATCAACAAATCAACATAATTTTTTTTTAAACTAAAACCTTAGATATTTTCCTTTCATTTGATATAATTTTTTTGAAAATTTAACACTTAACCTGCTCATGGGGGGGGATTTAAAATTGCAACTTTTTTACAAAAACTAACTTTTTCAACTTAATTTTTGAAAATGTTCCGGAAATACTGCGTCCTTTAAACATATATCAAATTAAAGCTTATTTTATGTACTATAAAATGAAAAAAAAAAATTTGTCCCGACACCTTATCTTCTATGTGCAAATGGCTGTCGAAATTATAAAAAAAATGTAATATTTGCGATAAAAATCACCTTTTATAACGATGTTTTTTGTACTTAAAACTGCCATAACTTTTTCAAATATTAACTAATCAAAATAATATTTCTTTATATTGAAACCTTAGGTAATTTTCTTTCATTTGATATCATTTTTTTTTGAAAATCTAACACTTATTCTGCTCACAGGGGGGATTTAAAATAGCAACTTTTTTACAAAAACTAACTTTTTCAACTTAATTTTTGAAAATGTTCCGGAAATACTGCGTCCTTTAAACATATATCAAATTAAAGCTTATTTTATGTACTACTAAATGAAAAAAAAAAATTTGTCCCGACGACCTATCTTCTATGCGCAAAAGGCTACCGTATTTAAAAATATGCTATTTTTTATTAAAATTCTAGGTTTTGTATTTTATTTTATTTTAAAATATTTTATTAGGGGAATAAACTGACTTTCATGAATATTATATAATTTCATTGACATAGAATAAAGTTCATAAGACATATGATATTATACTTATTAACATTTTTTACTTTTTTAAAGTCGAAAAAGTAATTTTTAAATTTGAGTTAGCTTAAATAGCCAATTTTATCATGCAACAAAAATCAACGAATAGTTGCCGAATGGGTAACACCTTGATCTTTAACGCCTAGGGTACGAGGTTCAAATCCGTTTGTGGCTTCTAAAATTTTGCATTTTTTTTTTGAGTTAGAATAGAATTTTCAAATCATTTGATATTTATCTCATTTAGATTCAATAATTTCAATAAATATAAAGGATCTTATCACTATAGTCTCCCCTCGTGAGAAGAAATTGATATTCATGTTAATATTATTTTACTATGTGGTTCTTTTTCTGGCTACGATTTATTTTGCCAACCCTCACTAGACCTACTTTTTTCAACGATACGTCAAATGATTCATTTAAGTTTATGATATTTAAGTTAATGATTAGTTTAAGTTATTACTCTTAAAAATCAAAAAAATATTCCTTATTCAAATAAAAAGTAGCTTAACTAGATTTGTCCATACAAACAATTAAAATCATTAATTTTTAATATTCTTAAATTATTTATTGTCGAATTAAATTTGATATGATAAAAGTATTCAACTACAAAAGTAAATAATTTTACTTTATAATTTATTAATTTTTTAACTCTATTTCTGTGTGCTACTACCAGTCTATAATATGCCAAATTTTTTAGTAATATTTTGCTATATAAATCATAAATTTAAAAAAAAAATGATTTTTAGTTTCACCTGAAGTTAACGATGGAGTTTTACAATTATAATTATATTTTTGATAATATGCTCAATTGAGTAAATCTTTTTAACTACTTTGGTTTGATTGGTTCATTTAATTAAAGTAAATTATTAAAATTAATTAAGTTCTGAATATTTCAATTGCAGAATTTTTTTAAACACCAAAAGTTATTAGGATATGATTACTATTCTTTCTATTTCAGTTATCTATTACGATAAAAATGTAAAAAAATCGAATTTTTCTGACAAATGTACTGTAATTAGTAATTATAAAATTTCCAGATTGCATATTAATCTTAAAAATTTCATTTTTTTCAATTTAATAATGTCAATTTCAAACTTGCAAGTTGAACTATAAGTTATGGTAACAAATTCATTTTTTAGCTTCGATGCGAAGCTGAGAAGGTATTTTTCATTAAAACTTTCACTTTAAAAGACAATAAAAAATAGGTTCAAAATGATTACCTTTAACATATTAAAAATCAAAATCAGTATTAATTTAATACAATTTTTTTTGTTCTTAATTATTTTTTTTTATATGTAAATACTTATTTTTTAATAATAAGTAATAATATTAAAACTTAGAAGTAATAGAAAAAGTTTAATTGCACATTTGAAAACATCACGAAAAGTTTATTTAGAAAAGTATATTTTTTTTCTGATGAAAGTTCCTTTTGTTTAGTGTATTTATTCATAAGTAACAAAATTTTTTTATTAAAAAGTATTGCATAAATTCCTTTAAATTTGTATACGCATTAAAAGTATATGAATATACAACTCCTTTTTATTTTTATAATATCTCCGTAAAAATTACAATATTATATTATTGAATACCACTTTCATACTCAATTTAATTACTGTAATTATTATGTATTCATATATTATAGTTATAAATCGGGGTAAAATTAAGGGAATAAGTGTTATTGTTGTTTTTGAAATAATCTACCAATTTCATTTTTTTCTATTTAATAATATTTATTTCAAACTTGCAAGTTGAGTTAAAAGTTATGGTAATAAATTCATTTTTTTTTTATTAAAACTTTCACTTTAAAGAACAAAAAGAAGTAGGTTCAAAATGATTACTTTTAACATATTAAAAATCAATAATAATTTGAAAATAATTAATTATAAAAATTATATAATATATAATTAAAATAATTACTAATCTGGATATAATTAAGGAAATAGGAGTTGATGTTGGGTTGGGTTGGTTACATTTTTAACTTTATAATGCTATAACTCATTGAAAAGTGTACGAATCAACACAATTTTTTTATGAGAAATAATATTTTTTAATAATCCCTTTTTCATTCGACATACTTTATCTTAATCAGGGTATTAATAAGAAACTAGCAGATAATGTAGCTTTTGTAATTATCCACCAATTTCTTAGAATTAAACACTATCTACTGATTTGCATCGAAGCGTTTCTTATGATAGTGATTTTAATCACTGTCAGATTAAATCTATACTGGACTCAACTATGCAACATCCCCACTATGCCGCGTCCCCACTGTGCTGGGTTTTTTTTTATAATGCTCTTAATTGAGTATATTTTTTAACTTTTTGATTGTTTTTATTAGTTTCTATGCGTAATTAAAAAGGTATTGGTTTTGTGATACTGTACGTTTTTTTTTTATTTATAAAGAATCGAGAATTTAAATTTCTTATTGATGTAAACAAAATAATAACTTTCTTAATAACTTTATATATTTCTTTATGTAAATATACATAGAGAATATTATATAAAGTGATTCTTTTAATGCTGGCGTAAAATTATAGTTTTAGATAGAGGGTTAAGAATGTTAAAAGAATTCATTTTTTGTAAAAAAAATATTTACTGGATTTTAACATTAAAGTCACTTATATTTGAATAGGTCTTTAAAATCTGTGGACCCTGTCTCTCTTTAATCCGGACCTGGTTTGGTGGATTTAATTTAATGATTTCTTCATTTTTTTGTATGAAATTTTTTTAAATACGTATTTTGTAAATATTAGTAATTTAAAATNACTCCGATCATCCGAATCGCCGATTATCCGAATCACTTTCAGAAAAAATCAGAAAAAAATTTGTCCAAAGTCCGCGGCGTCAGTGTAGGCACAACACGTGGTAAGAGTTCCCACTCCAGTTCCGGCGCATTGCAGTCACCTGTCATTGTTTATTTTGATTAGTCAGTGAATGGGTCCCGGTCCCCATTAATTCGGATAATTGGAGTTCTACTGTAATTTAAAATTTTTTTTTTATCCCATTCATATTTTAAAGATATTCAAAGACAGCCGTAATTAAACTTTCTTAATTTATGTGGTAAATTGTGACTAATAGCTATTATTCAATTAATAGTCAATAATAATATCAGTAGTAGTGTGTTAGGTCGAGTTTGCCTAATTTTTATAACAATAAGAGCTTGAATTTTAAATGAAATAAGAGATGATTCATAAGCTTTAACAAGTGACAAGTCACTTGAATAATTAATTTTATAAGTGGTATAGTCAATTAGCCCTCATTTACAGTGAATGTCATGACTTGAATAACATAACGACTTGCTTTTATAAAATACGATAGCAAAACCAATTGTATAATATTTATTAATATCCTAAACTATGTGTAATAATAATAATTTAAGTTTAAATTGTAATATTCAAGAATTGACAATGCGTCACGTAGGTACATCATAGATTTTAACGGTTGAGAAATTCCCAGTGTAAAAAAATGGACATGTACTCTCTTTGTTCCATTCACCTGTTGCTCCGTTACTACACTATTTCCACTACACTTCCTCGCTACTACTTTACCATCCGAACCCCCACTATTTGAAGATTCATATAACAGTCAACAAGATTACATTGATAATACCGTACGAAAATTCCGTATAGATTGTAGACAATGGGTTGGGTGTTTATGTTTAAAGATTTAAAATATTTGTAGTTAAATTTTTTGTTTCCTAGTTTGAGTAATTTTTTATTAGTCAATTTTTTTGAAACAATTTTTATCATGTGATATTTAGGAATATGGTTTCAAAAACAATAAAATATTTTTGGGTGATTCAAACTATTTTGATTTTTAGCCCAGTTATATATTCAAACGATTATAACTCATGGCCAAATGTGCAAAGAACTGCTAAAGAATTTACAGAATGGGCGGGTGGTATTGTCACCGATCAGCATCGACTAAAAGCAGAAAAAAGCCCTTATGTTATATTAAATAATGTAATTGTCGAAGACACAGGAGAGTTGATTATTGATCCAGGTGTAACTTTAAAATTCACTCCAAAAACTGGTATAACTGTAAAAGGATCGATTAAAGCATATGTAAGTTGCAATTATAGTATTACTTAGAAAAAATATCCACTTAAATTTTTAATGTTAGGGAGACGCTTATAGAAAAATTGTCATGACATCAAGCATGGATTTTGAAGATATTGATGAAAATTTACATCAATCTTCAATTAATATTAGACTTGTTGATGGATCTAGTGTTTTATCGGGAAGATTACAATTATTTGTTAAAGGTGCTTGGAGATCTATTTGTACCTCAACTCAGTATGTACTTTCTAAAAACAATCTTTATTAAAATATTAATGTTATATATTAATATGTTTTTTTTCTAGATGGAGTAAAGCTGATCTCCATACAGTGTGTCGACATTTGGGCTACCGAGGAGGACAATTTTTACATTGGATGGAACCAAATATTGATAAATTGCATTCACGTCTTATGCTTTCAGATTTACAATGTGGAGGAACTGAAAATAATCTTTTTGAATGTAAAGGATGGTTAAATAAAAAACTTGGATCTGGTAGTTGCGGTATGTAAACAGTTTTAAGTTTGATGTTTCTAATATAATATAATATAATGATATTTTTATCATATCATTAATTATTATTTTAGATTTAAAACAAGATATAGCTCTAGAATGTCTACCTTATTATGAAAATAGTTTTGCAATGAAAAATTATTGGCAAGGAATTAAGTTTGAAAAAGCACAATCTAAAAAAAAATTGATACACCATAATACACTTTATCAATCAGAATCTCTCTCTGAACTAAATCATGTAATAATAACGTAAGTTCAATTAAACAAAGAAAAAAAAAATTATATTTACTATTTAAATTTAAAAATAATGTAGGTATGCAGGTGTAGGAGCTGATTTTAAAGCTACTTCAGTATTACAAGTAAATGGTGTTCCACCACTGTTGAAAAATGTTTCAATTTTGCATTCTGCATACAATGGCATTAACATAACTACTTCAGATGCAATATTAGATTTACAAGATTGTATTATTAAAAATAATCAAGGTATGTTGTAAACAAATTAACTATTACAATTCTTGTCTATTTTAAATAAAATAAAAAAAAAAATTATATTTTACATTTGAAAATACTTATTATAACTTAATATTTTAGGATATGGTATTTTTATGAATTCTTCTTTTGGTCAATTAAATTTGTTTAAAACTCTTATATCAAACAATAAAGGAGATGGTGTTCATATTGTACAAGGCAAAATTGATCAAGATCTTATTAGTAATATCAATGAACTATGTTCACTGCCAACAACAACTGATCAAACTTTTCCTATAATTGTTTCTGTTCAACAAAATCAATTCAATCCGAAACAAATCAACTGTTATAAGGTTTTATAATCTTATATTATATGTATATTAAGTTTTTTAAATGTGTAATTTTACGATAAAAAAATATTTACAGTGGCATTTACAACATATCATTCTCTTCAAATCATAAAATCATTTAAACCTGACATCAGGTTAATTTGATTATCTTAAAATAAATCTAATTTTCCATCTACTCATTATTAATTAGTTAAATTTGCTTTATTTTCAATTCTTTGTGAGATTTTAATATTAATAATAATTCATTTTTTTTTTAGAAAAAAATCAGTGCAAATATATCTAGGTTGGAACAGAATTAATTGACTACTTCAATAACTTTTGATACAGTAAACAAAATTTTTTTTGTTTAATGCAATCTTAGATTACGTTAAAATCATATTTTTTATTATTTGTTCTAAATAATAAAAAAATAAATTTTAATAATAATTTGTTTTTTAAGTGTTAAAAACTAATAATAAAAAATATGATATTGACCAGAGCATATTTTCATATATTTTAAGTTAGTTAATTATATAGTTAGCATAAATATATTTAGAAAGTTAGTTGACCTATATTAATTTTTTTTTAAAGAATTTGTTAGGTTAATAATTGCAGAACCCAAAAATATTATGAAATTCCTTTTAAAACCTTAATCAAACTTAAAATTTGACATTATAAGATATTTTATACCATTTTAAATTCAATTAATGTTTTAAAGGTTGTCTCATAATATTTTTGGTTTATTATTATTAATATTTTTAATATGTTCTAAAATAAATTTAGATAAACTAATTTACTATATATAAGAAAAATTGCCATAAACTCAAACTATTTTATTTTCTAAGCACTGTTATTAATATAATTTAAAAATGCATAAATTATTAAAAAAAATTATGACAAAATGTTGATTGCATCAAAGTAATAGGAGTTATTAGTTAGATCTGTTTCACTCTGTACATAGAAATTTGTACTCATATATTTGTACTGTATCTTTATTAAATATTTAATACATTTTAAAAAAGTATGATTAGTTTAAAGAATTGAATTTCCTTCATAATATTAAATTAATTATTATATATATTTTAACTATAGTGTTACATTTTTTGTAGAGTTTTTCGACAAAATATGGACAGGTGTTAAGTGTAAATATCGAACAAACAATATCATATGAATCGGATAATAGTTCATTTATATATATCTATGATGGAGAAGTTTCTACTTCGGAGAGGTTATTAATTTAAAAATTATTTTGATACTTAGTCATATTTAATATAAATTTCATTTTGATTATTCATAGACTTTTAGCTACTATTCCAGTGCACAATAATACAGTGCCTTTATCAATAACTTCTAGTCGTAATACTATTTTAGTTCAGTTTTCTTCACCAGCTAAAAAATCAGTGTTTGGTATACTTAGAGTTACATCTGGTTTTGGTATGTATTATCATATTAATATTTTTTCATGATTATTTTGTTTATTTATTTATCATTATTTTTAGTGAAGTGGCATAGTGTAAACATATCTGAAAGTATTTTATCAGACAATATAGGTTCAGGTCTCTTTGTTGAAAATTTATATAGTGCTGTATCTATGTCAAATTGTTCTATTCAAAATAATAGTGGAAATTCTGGTGTAAATATTTTTAATGGTTCTGCTGATGTTACACTTATAGGATCTCAAATATCTTATAATAACGGTTTTGGAATTTTGACTAACAATTATGGGGGAGTGCGTAATATCACTTATTCTGAAATTAAATCAAATTCAGGACCTGGAATTGCTGTTCGACTTTTAAATAAACACACCAAAAATGTATTACAAAAAACCATTTTAACTTACTCACTGATTACTAATAATTCAGTAGTAATTGATGGTTGGTGTCATGGAAAATCAAGTATTAATGTAACAGGAAATGTCTTCAGCTATAGTATTTATGCATTAGAAATTAAATCATGCACAAAACGAAGAGTACATATTACAAACTTAATTGTATCATATAATGAATTTTATAATAATAAAAAATTAGCAATTCTTATAAGACCTATGTTAAACATAGATTCTGTTATGGAGTATAATCGTTTTAAGAAACAAGAACATGGTTGTATATTAATTAAAAATGATCACTTTGATGAAGATTTTGATGAGTCTTATACTAATTCCATTATAAAATATAATGAGTTCTATGATAACAGTGGAAGTTATGTTGTAAATTTAGGACTAAGTACTTACAGTCAAATACATAATATGTTGTTCACATGGAATTATTTAAAAAGCAATAAAATAGTTCAACCATTTAAAATAATTTCAAGAAATAAAGTTGCTGCAGTTATAGTAATTGGTTCTTCTAATATCCATGTAATGAGAAATATTATTGATAACCCATTATCGGATTATGAAATTGGTGTACAACTTGAAGATCAAAGCCTTGTGGTTAATGCGACTTATAATTGGTTAGGAAAAACTGATGATCACTTTATTGTTAATAGATTGTTTCATAGGTATGAAAAAATCATAATTATTGGTGGGTTTATCTTTTATAATTAATTTTTCTTTGTTATTTTAGACGAGATAGATATAACTTGGCAAAAATTGAATTTGTTCCATTTTTGTTGCATCCCTCTAATCCTGGCACAACATCAATTATGACTATTTCTACAATTGTTACACAGTTGTATAAGGCTAACAATGATTTTGGTGGGGAAGTTGATGGTGTAGAGTATATTTCTAGTGGAGAGTATATAGTTACTAGGGATATTAATGTAGCTACAAGTGGAAAATTAGTTATTCATCCTGATGTGACTTTGAAGTAATTATTTAGTTAATTATTATTCAAAATAGTAACTATTTAAAGTTTGTTTTTTAACTGAAAAAAATCTTAATACAAGGTTTAATCCTGGTGTTGGTATTATGGTTGCTGGTAAACTAGAAGCTCGAGGTAGAGGTTTTGGAAATATTAAATTTACTTTACATGAAAATTTGAATTCTGTTGTTAATGAAAGCATTGATACAACAATTAATTCAAATGTTCGCTTAATAGCAGGTAGAACATATACTGAAGGAAGATTACAAGTAGGTTTATATTTTTTTGTTAAATGTTTCATTTTTTATGCAGATTTTATGTTTTTGATGTTTTATAGGTTTATTCTGAAGAGTTAGGTTCATGGGGATCAGTTTGTAATTATGGCTGGTCAATGGAAAATGCTGCTTTAGTGTGTCGTCAATTAGGATTGGTTTTGAATCCTTTAGATTGGACAGTTGATGTACCTATTGCAGACCCATCAGAGCCAATATTTTTAACGTAAATATATATCTTAAATAACATTTTACTCTTAATTTACACTTAATTTATTTGTTTAGAAATGTTACATGTTCTGATGAAGATATTGACTTAACTAAATGTAAAGCAGAACAAGTTATTGAGTTTGACCATGGTTGTAATCATTCAAAAGACGTTGCATTTCGTTGTGAACAACCTGGTTGGACAGGTCTTAGATTAGGAGTATTAGCAGACACTTGTAATTTACAGTACATCACAATAGAAAAAGCTGGACTTGTTGATTATGTATCTAATACATTTGGACCCGGTATGTTTAAAATGTTTAAATATTTCCCATCTAATTGATTAATCATTATATATAGCATTGCAAGTTGACTTAAATCGACACACTTTTGATGGTGTTAAAATATTAGACAATTCGGAAAATGGCTTGGAAATTATTTATTCTGATCTATATTATAGCTCAAGTTATATTCATAACTCTGAATTTAGTGGAAATAAAGGAGCAGGAATATGTTTTAAGCAATTTGGCTTGAATATACATGGTAAAAAATTAAATAAATGGTTGTAATTATTAAATTGTTATAATTATAATTTATTGAGCTCTAGATAAAAAATACAAGTCTCAATATTTAACAACTTAGAACACATAAGTGATTTGTACACTTTTATTAATTTTTAAATATTAGTACCATTAAATAAATAATATTATTACGAATATGTTGATACCAATATATTAAAAATAAAAAGACAGCACTTGTGTGTTTTAAGTTTTCAATATAATTCTTTTAATATTAAAAAAATATATATTTTACTGTATTACAGAAATATTGATATTCTTTCTATTTAAAGTGTGTGACAACTGATAAAATTGTTACATGACATCATGGATTCTTAAATATAAAATTACATTAAATCTTTCTGAATGTAGTTATAACGTAATTCAATTTTTGTAAATTTTAGATCGGACACAATTTTTTTAAGCACTATAAAATAATCAGTGTTTTACATAAATTTATCCCAAATTAATAATATATTTTAGATAGTAATATTGAAAGAAACAAGATTGGTATTCAACATGATGTTTCAATAAGTATTGATAAACAAAGAGAACTAGCTGGATGGTTTAAACCATTTGCTACCAACTCATTTCTCTATAGTCCTGTGTTATTTCCTAATGATAAAAATGATTTACAAATTGAATTGAAACCAAATGAGTTCAAATATGTTATTACTAAACAGATGTCTTCATATAATCTTGGGGAATCTATACAGTCTAAAATAGTGTTCCAAGTACGTTCTTAACTTTTACAATAATCACAATTCAATGAAAAACATATTTAAATTTTTTTATCATTGTGTTTAGTGTACTAGAATTAATTATGTTGTTGGAATTCAGATGTTAAATATTCCTCATAATAATACAAGTGAACAAATTACAGTTTATAATATTCATAGTAATAGGGCCAATAATAATGTTTTATGGAGTTCTTATCATGGTACAAGTATATTTCCTACCCAGAGTATCTCCAATAGTATTATCATGCATTATAACAGTGGATTTAATCCCCGTGGAAATATTGTGCTTCTTGTATCATGTAATCAAGGTATTTATTTAGCTCGTATTATATAGTTTTGCTTTAAGATTAGAATATCAAAATATTAATCATATCATGTTATTTCTTATAGCCACCATTAACCAAGGCTTATTAGCACAACCAGAGCCAACATTATATGTAACAAAAACTGCTATAAAGAGCAATGAAATTGGTATTTTAGCTACTTATTACAGCGAGTATGTCTTTTTGTTTTTTCCAATATTTTTAATTAATAAACATTTAAGAATGAATGTGATTTTAATTTAGGTTCATAAGTATTGAAAATCAAATGGATGTTAATAAATTAAAGAAAATTCAATATTATTTAAGACCTCTTAATGAAACAATTAATTTATATGATTGTGATATATCATATAACAAAAAATGTGGCTTTCTTGTTCAAGAAAAAGAACAATTAATGTTTCCATCATTATCAAACAATAAATCTCACATTCATATAATTGTCAACCAATCTATAATTGCTGATAATGGAAAAATTATCGATCATTATTCTAAGTATGGAACATATTTGAATATGAACTAAACAAAATAATAAATTTTTTTAGCTTGTATAATAATGTTAAAGTTGAATTAACCTATAGTAGCATAACATAATGATGTTTATTTTTAGGGATACACAAAATTCATTAAATGTTTACAAATGGGAACTTGCTGGAAATTCATTTGAACGTAACTTGTATGATGGAATTCAATTAATATTACCTTATTTATATTCTTATGATGAAAATTTTACTCATTCAGTTGTAATAAATAATAACTCATTTGTTCATAATTCAAATTTAAGAATAGATATTGGTGGTCATTTTTCTGTTTTGAACATAACACAAAATTCCATACAAAATAACATTTGCAATGGTAATTTGTGATAATCATAATCAAATTTCACTATTGAGTACATACAAATGATTATAGGTGGTTTAATAACAATTTCTGGAATGGAAAAATACTTGCTTATATGGAAAAATACAATTATTAGTAATAATGGTGAGTTTATGGTTAAATTTAGTGCCTTGAGCCAATGTGAAATAATGAGTTCTGTATTTGCGTTATTCAGAGAAAATATATTAAAAAGTAATTTGAGATTATATACTACAAAAGTAAGTTAAATCTCCATGTTTTATAGTAAATAATTAAATTTATTATGTACACCAGTTGATTAATTTGTTTTAAAAATTTTCAGTTGAACTCTGCTTTGATAGTCTTTGATGGAATTCAAAATGTGAAAATTGATCGAAATATATTTTCCTCTAATAATAATTTGAATTATGCTATTATTGCTGGATTGAAAACATCAAGAACAAGTTCAGTTATCAATTTGGCTAATAATTGGTGGGGTTCTGTTGATGTTAATCGTATCAAAGAACTTGTTTTTGATTTTGACGATTGGAATAACAATGCAATCACTATTTTCACTCCATTTTTAATTGATGATTCTTTTGATGCATCACTATCGGTATGTATTAAATGTCTACATTTATTATATAAGGTGTTCAGTGAGTAGGACACAGATTTCTATTGTTTTAATTGTTTGTAACAATTGACCTGTTTCCTATTTACTTCTGTAAGTAAAGATATTATCCCTGAACATCTGTATAATAAATTTATTCCTTTTTTGACATTTTTTTAGATGACTTGGGATGATCTGTCACATATTTCCAATGGTGTGTTAGGTGGTAAAATATCAGAATCACTAACTGTTGCACCACAAGAAAAGCCTTACGTTGTTGAATCTGATATTACAGTAATGCCTGGTGCTACATTAAGAATATTACCTGGTACCATATTAGAGTTTGCTCCTAATGTTGGTATTCTAGTTCTGGGATCATTGATAGCTAGGGGTTATATTGGCGGAGAAATAACTTTTAAACCATTGAGTAGATCAGTATTACCACCACAAGCATATGATTTAAAGCCTATGACTGGTGTGCGATTAAACCCTGTAAAGAATGTTGATGATTCAAATACAAATTATTTTGGTTTTTTGGAAATTTGGAATAGCACCTTAATGCAGTGGTTACCTTCTTGTGATCATTCATTTACTGAAGCTAATGCCAAAGTAGTTTGTAAAGAGATTGGTTCAAACAGTTCAACTTTAAATACTTGGTTCACATGGAAAAAACATTATTATAATGAAAGTCAAATGGTTGTTGCAGCTCAAAGTTGGCCTCAACGTTACCGGTGTTCAGGTAAATAAATATAAATAATATTATATATTAAAATAAATTATTTGAAAATAAATTTTATTTTCATACTTAATTTATAACTATATATTTATTTGAAATAATTTGATAGTTATTGGTATACTTATCCTGAGTTAACAAAATTGAATAATTATATCTACAGGATGATTTTTTATGATGTCGATATTTGCAGGTACACAGCTTTTATTATCAATGGTAGTAAGGCACATTATTGTGAGTTTATAAATACACTAAATGGCAACACAGAAAGTATATCTATTGATAGTCATAATTGACAATAAACTTTGAATTAAATTTAAAATAAAATTTGAAACTTTAAATGTTTATATCTAATAAACAAATAAAGTTATATTAAAAATTCAAATGTTATTTACTATTAAATTAAAAACTCAAATATTTTATTAAATTCAAAATATGTATTCAAATTTAAAAAAACAAAGTTGACACCCTTACAAGTCATAAGGGATGAACTTAAAAAGTATTACATAGTTAATAATTCAAGAATAATGTGTAACTAAAGATAACCAAAAACAAAATGTTTTAATTATACTTATTTTGTAGATAATTGAGTGGGTTATGATAAAAAAGTCACTCGGTATAATAAAATTAGTTTGTTCATTATATAAAATATTTTAGATATGTCCATGTCTTAAGTTTTATACTGACGTTTCAAATTTTGCAATGAGTTCAAAACATTTCATTCAACATGAATGTATTCAATGTATTATTATCTAGTGTTTTTAAATTTAATAATCTGCTGTTGTATATAAAAAATTAGTATTCATTATATAATATACATCAAGAGTCTATTAAAAAATAAGAATTTGTTTGATATTTTTTTTTAATAGATTACCAATGTCTTTGTATAACAGAGTACATTCTTTAATGCAATTGTAAAGAATTGTTAAAATTTTATAAAATATAACAATATAATTTCTCAAGATAAATTAATAATAATAAAGATCATTCATATAATAATTACAACATATTATAGATTACTATATATAATTTTATATTATTTAAATTATTTAAAAGAAATGAATCAATTATATTTATAATATTTTTATTTGGTAAGGTTATGAAAATAATATCCAAAGTTGTCCAATTCTGAATATTACTGATGAATTTTTAATATGTGATTGGAATGATGAATCATTTGTCTTTGTATACTGCACTGAATCCATCTTACCAAGAAATCAACAACATTGGGGAGGCATAAGGTTAATCTATAAAAATTTAGGATAAATATAAACTATTAGGAATTCTAAAAGTTATGAATTAGTTAAGGAATTTTAAACAAATATTTGAATGTATGTAAAGGTTTGCCAATAATGATTTTGAAGTGAATGATTACACAGAATATTTACACGATGATGAAAACCATGGTATGAAATTAAATATCCAATCACAACTGCAATTTGTCAAAATTGATGGTGCTGGTGTTTTACATAATGAATTGTCATCAGCTGTTATGGCAATCGGAAAATCTCCTTATATAGATTCAATTAATATAACAAATTCAGCATCTCATGGAGTATCTATTTTAACTTTTAAACATCAAAATATACATTTATTTTCTAATTGGTTTGTACCATAAAATAATTATTTATTTATTAAAAACTAAAAATTTTCCTTTTAATTATTAGGATTGAAAATAATACTGGCATAGGAGTAAATATTATATCTTTAACTGGTGAAGGCCAAGAAAACGATGAAAGTTCTTTTAATGTTTTAAAGTATGTTAATTTACCAAAAGATACTTTTGGGTTGTTGGATATGTGTGATCCTACTAAAGACATTGTAGTTTTTGAACGAATGATTGTGCATTTCAAATATGGAGATCAGCCTTTAACTTGTGTAAAAATTTTCCGTAGTCATTTTGGTTTTAAATCATTAGGCTTAAGGTTTGTAGAAAAAATGTTTTTCTTCTAATTATTTTTCTATTTTCAATAACTAATTAATTTTACAATAGAATACTACAGTTGAACTTAGCACATAACACTGATTATGTCAGTATATATGATGGTATTATATATAATAAAACTTCAGAAATAACTCGCCTAGTAAAATCTTCAAAAACTCAAAAAAGAAGATTTTTTAAATCAACTTATGGTAGCATAAGTCTAAAAGCTGTAGCTCATGCTGCATCATCTCGTATTTTTGGTTTTATAGCTGAAATTGTAACTCTTCCTATAGCTGCTATTGGTTTTGGTATAATAATCAATTATGTATTATGATTAAATATAAAAATATCAATTATTAATATTTAAACTAATTAAATTTAGATCGAAACACTGAACACAACATTTCTTATTCAGTCTTAAATAATAATTTAATGGGATCTATCAGTTATACCTGTGCTGGAGAAGTAAATCCTCATATTAGTATTGCATGGAATAAAATAATGAATAACTGCAAACATATACCTGATACAAATATAAGTACTTGTGAAATGCCATTACAATTCCAACTACAAAATACTCAAAGCATCCAAATGCACGTAAGTTTAAATATCTAAAAATTGTTTCTTACGAAGTATCACTTATTAAAACTAAATGCTATATAGAGGTGCGGCTGGGAAACTATCTTATTTCCATTACCTTTATTTCCAAGTTATAAAGAGATAATTAAATTTTTTTATATTGTGTTTTAAAAAGTTTATGACTAAAGTGGCCTCCATTCGGGTTAATGTATTGAGATAGTTGAATTATGAAGTTTCTCTCCTCTCTTACCAACATATTGTTGATAGCAGCTTTAACATTGATCTTTAGTTTTGCTAAGGTCTTTGGATGTTCGGTGTAAACTTGAAAGCCCCACAAAAAGAGATTACATGGAGCTAAATCAGCTGAATGTGCTGGTCATTGAAGATTGCTTCGTAAGTAGATGAGACATCCAGAGAAATGTTTTCGCAAAAGATTCATCAACATACATGTTGTGTGAGCTGTAGCGCCATCTTGCTGAAACCAGTCATCCTCTACGTCCATTTCTTCAAGTTTTGGTTAAAAAACTCCTCAATCATGTGGACATAACACACAAAACTTGACCATAACAGTCTGACCATTATATAATTGCAATAATTGAACAGGCGCTTAAAAAGTATGACTTCACAGCAATCACACACTCCTTCCTCGTCCACTGTGTGATCATTATTAAATCTATATGACATTAAACATTAGTTACCATTCTTTCGAATGATTATCACTTCCTCCATCCTTTTCAAAATAAATGTTGCTAGATAGCGCGGATTTCAAATAAGGTAGTTCCTGTGCCACACCTGTATTATTTGGATTCTAATTTTTTTTGTGGTACTCTATTTTATGTTACATTTTATATTTATTGGTTATTTGAAAAAAATAATATTTATAGTTTAAAGTATTATGTTTGTCAAATAATTTTTTTTAACTATACATTTTAGAATAATCTATTGATAAAGAATCAAGGTGGTTTAAAAATATCAGCTGATTCTAGTGGATATGCTACTGCTCTCCAAGCAAACATTCATAATAATTTGTTTACTGATAATTTTAACTTACCTGTTTTAAATATAACTGGAAATCGTGTAGCACCCCAACAAAAGATTACAATTTTTAGAAACTTTTTCTCTAATAACACTGCCCCATTTGAGAATATCATTCAACTATATCAAGTAATTATATAAATAATTGAAAGTATATAAGTATAATTTTAACACATGAATAAACTTTTTTTTACAGGTTGTATCAAATTTTACTTACAATTATGTTTATAACAATATTGGTTTACATATACTTAAAATGTCTGGTTTTCAAGGTATTAGATTGCCACTACAATCAGTGACGTTACACAATGGATTTTATTGGTAAATCTTAAAGTTGTTCAACTGATACTAAATAAAAAACAAATATAAATATTTAGATTCCCAGAGCTTCCTGTTTCATTATGCATAGAGTAGAACAAAATGTTGCTTTTTCAAATAAGTTTTAAACTCTATTATCATTTGGTTATTTTTTTATCATTTTTTTTTTCATTATTAAATTTCTAAAAATTATCTCATAAATACATAAAAAATATATTATTTATGCATATTATAGGAATGAAGCAACAGATATACTTAATAAAGGAACAATACTTGCTTTATCTAATGGCCAGTACTATGTTCACAACGTTTTTTATAATCCAGAAAATAATTATGAAATTATAGCAGCTACTATTAACAATCGATCATTAAAGTATATATTTTTTTTGTTGGTGTGTTTAATTTTGTATTTTTTTATTCATAATATTTTTTTTTTAGTGATTTTATTTATCCCATAGAAGGATCTATTGATGCTCGGCATAATTATTGGGGATTTAATGATTCAGTAGCTGTATTTGGAAGAATTAAAGACTATAAAGATGAAATTGAATTAATGGCTGTAGATGTTATGCCTTATTATTCTTCAAATAAAACTTTGCTTGAGTCTGAAAAGTGTCCACCTCCATGGATTTTAATGTCTTCAACTAATACATGTTTTGCATACATAGCTGTGCCAATGACTTTTTATGAAGCAAAAACATTTTGTACTGTAAGAAATATTCTATTCAGTACATTTATTACAATACATTACATTCAATACACTTAAAAGTTAAACAACTTAAATACTTTTTAGACTATGAATGCATCTATGCCATTTATTACGGGCGACTATTCGAGTATCAGAAGAACTTTACAACTGCAAATATATGACTATGGTTTAATATGGGTGCAACACATAGATTATATAAGTCAATGTACAGCTCTTGGATTTAACAGAGTTCAGACAAACATAGACTGTTTCAGCCGTAATGCATTTTTATGTGAAATGGGTAAGTTATAATACTAAAAAAAAAAGTGTATATGCAGAGTAATTTATGTACTGTTGGCTACTAAATTTTCCTAAAATAATAACTTTAATAATTTCACGTTACAAAATAATCCAAATAAAAATATGACAATCTATAACAATTTATTAACCAATAATTTTAATAGTTTTTTGATTTTATTATTATTAATAATTTTATTTTCAATTTATATTTCGTTCAACTATTATTGCGTAAAATAATTTTTAAATAGGATAAAATCATTTTTAAACATAGTCAGCACCTCAAATGTACATAAGTGTTTATGAGAGTGGTAGAATTAAAAAACGCTTAACTTTCCCATGTATAATTTTTACATTAACAATAATTGAGAGAAACATTTCTTTCAACCATTTCAACCATAATCCTTTCTAAATCTGTAACTGATAAAACACTTATTGCTATATCTTATATTTTTACTTTTTTTAACCAATAGATCCTCAAGTTGTGATAAATCCATTGAAATGGAGAGATGATATTGTTAACATAGCAGTAACTGGATTAATATTAGGTTGTTTATTTTGTGTAACATCAGTATTGTGTTGTTGGTGGACTAAATCAAAGCGGAGACATTCTCAAAGGCTAACTAGAAGAAATTCAATTCGTCAATCATTAACATCACTACGCTCTTTATCTCTTTCACAACCTACATTTTCTGATTTGAATTATAGGCGAAAACCAGTAAGAAAATATAATTTTCCATTAATTCATTAAAATTTGTTTAAAATGATTTAGACTTAAGTATTGATTTATAATGTATAAATTTTGGTTAGAAAAATTTATTTAACTAAATAAATATTAGTTCAATTTTTCAAAAATCATAGATTAAAATAGTCATGTATCAATATTTTTTATATATTAATATAAATTAATAAAAAAAAAATTTTCTTGGAGTACCATCAATTTGTCAATATTTTTTGAGAATAGTAAATTAAATGATTCCTTAAATAAACATCAAACAACTAACAGTAATATTTTAATAAATAGCACATAATATGTGTCACTTATTACTGTAAAACTTATTTATTATAATAAAAAAAGTAATTAAATTATATTTTTGTCAATTGCATTACACAAAATATATTATTTTTTAGCTAATTGATAATCCAAGTGGTTTCAATACTATATCGACTAAAATAAATGGTAGTACTGATTCAATATTAAAGTCACAATTTAACTCTTCTGTTGATGATTACGAGGCAAGTGATCTCTATGAAGTTCATAATGGCAATGACCCTATTAATACCGAAAATGAGTATGACTTAGCTTACAAAAATAAAGGTAATTTGGTTAAGAACATTTTCAATTATTTAAATTTTTTAATAACATTGAGGAATTTAAATGTTTAATTAATAGGGTTTAGAGATAATTCTACTTTCGCATCTACTGTTGGTATGTGGACTGACTTAAGTAGTCGAGGTGTATATAGTAGTGCTGATGTTTTAGAAACCAATTTGGATCTGGCACCATCACCTCCACCTAGGTCTCACAGCCAACCTCTTGAAACTTCAATGTGATATCCTGTGTACCTAATTTTTGTTTTTGTAATATTAACTAATAGCATAATCGATCTCTTAGACCCGAGAATTTTCACATATTTATTAATTATGTTATTATTTTGTATGCATAAAATGTAAATTTTTGTTTTATTGTTTAACTATTAGTCAATAATATTAAATTGATAAAATTATCCATTGCACTGCCCTGCCTATGACTGTAATTTTTACTGGGCCTTCTAAGTGAATTAATTAATACTATTATTTATAGGTTAACGAAATTTAACATGGTATTTTTTGTTTTATATAAGATTTATAGCATGTAACTTATATTTATGTGATTTTGTAAAATATGCCGTCCAGTTTATATATAACACAATAACCGTCCATGAGAGAAATATATTTTACTACTAGAAATATACTATTTAATTTATATTATAAATTATTGTTGTACACTTGACATTTTTTTATGAACAATATATATTTAGTTTATATATATTACGTTTTGTGGTTATAATTTTCATTTTCAACTCATTTCCCAAATATATATTCTTTGTTTCTTGGTAAAACCCATTTGTCATTGATGCAAATTATAAATTGTTAACCGTTATTACTCATAGGGTGCCCCCATGCTGATAAGTTCTTAATTTTTTTACAGTCTATTTGTTTTTTATTGCCAGAAGAACTTTCACTCTGCCAGTGGTTCTCATTTACAATAATGGTTTAGATGATACTTATAAAAAGATGTTCTCGTTTTCTTTAAGTAATTTATAGAAACTAATTTTTTAAATGTGGCAATTAAGATTAAGTGCTGTAATTGTTATTAATAAATCATTGAAAATTTATCACGTTTTGAGTTTTCGTCGTATTTCCGTTTGAATGCACAATCGAAGCGAAAGTTAAGGTCCAATGATTTCGTGTCGATAATTTATCAAAAACGCATTCGTTGTATTTAGATCCTAAATATTGTTTTAAGAGTTCAGTGTCGCGTTATGATCATTAGTGTGTCCACGCCATTATTTACATGGTACACTAACGTTTAAAATTTTATGAAAACAATTTGCAACGAATGAAAATTTATAATTATTTTATACTTAATTAAAAGCACCAAAAAATCTTAAAATGGCTTTTTTAAAAATTGGATTCCATATTTGTGCAATCTTGGTATTTATACGTGGAGTTGAAATTAATAGAGGTATGTTTATTTTTTAATTAATATTACATTTTTTAAACATATTTTATGATTTGATATATATTTTTAACTTTTTAGAATTTTTTAAGATTAGAAAGATTTTTTTATTAATTTATAAAGAATTTCTCTTATACAACTTTAGTTATATAAAAATGAATTTGTTAATAAAAATCTAGAACTTAAAAGCCTAATTTTTCTTATTAATATTCTTAATAACTATAATAATTAAGATACCAATGATTTAAAGTGTGGGCTGTAAATTATGAGTTTATATAAAAAATGAACCCTTAGTACCACTTGTTATAATAAATCTTAGAAGATGATAATATATAAAGTTGTCGCCTAACTTAAAGTATGTAAATCAGCTTAATTTTATAAAAAACAAAATAATATAGTTCAATAGTTACTTAAAACTAAATTAAGGCATGAGTACACCCCCTAATTAATAGTTAATATTCACACCGTGTGACTATTAATCCCGTATAATAATAAGGTCTCGCTTAAATAAAATTTGGTATAGTTGATAAGCGTAGCTATTCAATTTGTATTTAGGCATTAAAAAATTTAATCTCTTAAGAAATGCAAAAGTGGCTCCTGGGTCAACTTCTTTAACTAATGTAGCTGAACAAACTCGCAAGCAATCCTAGTAAAGATAATGTTTTTCAATTTCCATAAATAATGTCATATTCTTGAACAATTTATAGATACTGCCTTAATAGGTTAATATTTAAAATTAGATGCTATAAAAACATTTTTATATTTTTTTAACAATTAACTTCATTTGTTTTAATAAAAATTGATAGTAAATGCCAAAATTAATTCTAAAAAATAGTGATTTTTTAAAATAATTTTTACCTAGAACGTAGGTTTTACACAGTAAATAGAAGTACTTCTTAATTAACCATAAGTTTCTAATTTACTTGAATATTTATCTAATCAAAATAAAAGTTTTAAATTAAATATAAATTATAAATATTTAATGTTTATTTATTTTTTTATCTCTGTCACTTAAGGGAACTTTCCATATCGATTGTCCATTGAAGATTTGGCAACTCGTGATAATGTCATTAACGTACCGGTTTCTGCGTTGCCTACAGGATATGTTGTGAATAGACCTAATTCTGGTTTTAGCGATAAAGTAGATGTTAATAAAGAGGCACCAAGCAAAGAGGTGACTTTATTTAACTTTATTTATGTTATTTAATTTATTATTTAAAATCAAAGTTTATTTCATAACCAAAATTCAAGGTTTCAGAAACTGATATGTATTTACTTGGTGCTATCGAAAAACTGGTGCAGCGGATGGACTCAATAGAAAAACGTTTAAAGAGATCCGAAGAACTTATTCAACACATCATTGAGGGGAGTGCAATAAACAGAGAAGGTGATTTTCTCTTTAATAATATTCATTATTTATTATATTTATATCAGTTACGTATTTAGGAGTTATGACATCCCAGGTAAAGTTTTATTACCGCCCCTACATACCCTGCTCTTTCTGTATTATAGTTACAAAAAAATGCTGCCGCTCCTTAATTCCAAACAAAATTTGCCGTCCCCTTAAATATGTCCCGGTTTAATATGCTGTCATTTTATTTCCTAGCTACATTTTATATTAAAACAAAGCAAATTAGTATTAAAATATTGCTAATCATACAATATAATAAATTTTAAATATAGAAAATCAATTTCATCCTCCTAATTTCAAAAACTATCAAGAACTGTTTAATATTAAAATTTCCGTATGTTTGTTTAAAATCATATGATAAAACATCTGTATGAATGAATAAGGAAAGGTTAGTTCTCCAAAAATTTACAGTTCACCCAAACAGTTTCTTTTTGTCTAACCAGTGGGATATTTTAGGCAATGGAAGCGAGCATACAGTGATCTAAGTTTTTTAATGTTTTGTGTTTATCTTTTATGTCTTTTGATATGATAATCAAATTTGCTTTAAATAATTTTACAGTAATGTTTTCACAACATTATTATAACATACAATCTTACAAAAATATTTTTGTAATATTATTTTTAAAAAATTGTTATCGGGTAATGACTTCTATTTTGTTAAAGTATTTTTGCGAGAATAAAAATATTTCTGTTGAAATATTTTGCATATAACTTAAAATAGCATTATAAACAGGGCTATGAATTATATGCATTTATAAATTTTGTTTGAGCCATTTTGAAGGGTCTTAAGTTTGTGCAATTTTGTTGTTGGATTATATAGTAACGCAGAAGTATTTTTTTGTTTTGGGGATTAGCATGGTTAGGGGAGGGATTCCCCTTATAAACAATAACATCAAAAAAAGAAACTACGTTTTCTAGTCAATTTAATTAAAGTTTAATTAATAAATTATATTTAAATATTAAACAAATAGGACAATGATATTTATTTTATTAAATAAGTAAACTACACTAAAAGGAGTATATAATATTATTTAAATATTTTATATTCGTGATAATGAATCGTATTACTTTATTTTTAATCCTAAATATAGGTGCAATATAGTTGAGTTTTTTATTATTATCACAAAGAAAATAAATAACAAGGTATATTTAACAATAAAATCATTGATTATCTGCCATTGTTTGTTTGAAAATATTAATGAAGTGATATCTTATAAGTAATTAAGAATCTGTGAACGCATAAACTAGTAATTAAGTTTGAGATATTTATTTATGATAAATACTCTTAAGATAAGTTCTTGCCTGAAAAGAATACAAGTAAGCTAATCGTATTTTATTGTTAGTTATAGCTGTATGACTTAATATTATTTTTTAAATAGTATGATTACTATAATAAGTTTATAGTAGCACATATATATTATAAAGTCATTACTTTCTAAAAATTTTAATACAACTACTCTTTAAAATGCGGTTGTATAGTTTTATTACCATGTATAATTATATTTAATACGAAAATAATAAATAATTTTGGATTTATGGTTTCATAATAGTCTATAAGTATTTACTACCAAATATATGACATAAAAAAAGATATGTAATTTTGTTAGTAGTGAAATTATAACATATCATTTTAAATTGAGCATTGAAAAAGGATGGATATTAGTTAAATTTTTTCAAATACATTATGATAAAACTTAAATGTGACTAAAATTTTCAAAATAAAGTATATACGATATTTTAAAATTAAAAATATTTATATTTGATTTAATTGTGATGTAATATTAACAGTGTTATTATCAGTTAAATAGTAATAATATTTAAAGTAAATATACAGAATGATCCATGATGTTTTAATAAATCTAATAACTTAGATCTACTAAATATTTTTCGTCACTTTCTTAAAATTATTATTATACTCGTATTTTAAAACTATTAAAGTATCATCAGATATACTTTTTATTAATTTACAAAAAATAAATATATTCATTTTGTAGAATATATTTTAAACAAAAATTAGTAGCAAAATCATCATTTAATGTTTTGTATTTAAATTTCTACAGCATTTTAAATTTTGTAATAACTTAAATATTTTCATGTTTATTATACGATATTAAAAGTTAGTTTATCTAATTAAGACAATTTAGAGGTAAAGCATATTTCACATTAACTTCAAGTTAAAGTTATCGAATTTTTTTCATGAAAATTATTATTATTTGAATTAGCGTTTGTAATTGAAACTATAATAATTTTAATCGAAAAAGTTGCATACCTAATCCCAACAGTTAAGAGAAGATAAAGAGAATTTTTTTGCTTTTTTCTCAATACAAATTTCATTGTTTGATACCCTAAAATAAACATGAAATTATTCAAATTTTTACAAAATTTAAAACGCTGTAGAAAATGCAAAATTAAAAAAAAAAAAAAAAAAGTTTGCTACTAAATATTTTTATAAAATCTACTTAATAAAATACTCTGTCTATCTTGATAAATTTTTCGTGAATTAAAATTTTTTTTTTTTTATGATATTTTTGTAATTCTAAAGTTCGAGTATAATAATAATTTAAAAAAAAAAACAAAGTATTTAAAGGATCAAAAGTTGTTCGATATGTCAAAATATTGTCGAACATACTTATAATAATTATACATAATTATTAATAAGTATGTATAAATACAATGTAATATTATGTAACATACAATGTCGGTCAATGAGGGGATGTAAAATCTTAATAATAAAAATCATCACGGGCTGTCCCCCCATCAGTAGAGCCTAATTCATACAAGGGCTTTCTTTTTATTATGCCTATTTCAAATATTTAATTTATTTTAGAATAGTAACCCGTTAAAATTAACTACGTATAAATAATAACCAACACTTAAAATTTAATGTTCCAAACTTGTAGGATTACTAATTTTTTCATACTAATTATACTCAATAACTTTTAAATTGTATTATCATATATAGTTTCCAAAATATAATATATATAATGAAATTGTATAAAAATGTTAAATGGGGTATGTCTATCCCTCTAATTCGCTGCCATTTGACCGCCATTGTGTGAACACAGTGGTAAATAAAATGTGTTATTTTTATAATGCTTGGGTAGAGAGAAAATTTTTTGAAATAATAATTTGGATTTTGTTGTTTTAGACCCTTGTCCAGGTAACTTTACGCGTATTGCTCATACATGCTACCACTTTAGCGAGCGACAATATAATTGGAAATCAGCCATGTCAATGTGTAAGAGTTTGGGGGGTAATCTTCTAGAATTTGAAACGAAAGAAGAACAAGTTGATATAATGAAATTTTTGACCAGTGATAAATATCTTCGTGGTAAGTGTGATTTTTATTTTGGCTACTAAATCATTAACTGTTTTAAATAAAATTAACTTAAAATTCGTTTTTTTTAATTTGATTGTATTATATTAACGGTTTTATAGGTTACGATTATTGGACTGGTGGTTTAAATCCCGGGTTATTATGGATATGGGCCAATAGTGCCCGACCAGTGGTACCGAAAGACTCTAACAGATTGGAGGACCAAATCGCCGGATCGGGTCGATGTTTGAGGTTGGCAATTAATTCGGCAAGTAAAGGATACGGTTACAACGGAGCCGAATGTAGTAACCGGCATAGATATATATGCAAACACGAAGAGAATGCTACAGAAAAAGCACTTACTAGGATACATAAAGCTTTAAGAGATAATAGGGATAAAATAATATCCGTAGCAGTCTAATAAATTGAATATGCTACTACAAATATTTCTGATAGATACTTTAATTTATAAAAAATGTATGTATACTACTGTGTTATCGAATATTTATTAAATTTTATTACTCTATTATATTAGCCTTATGCGTAATACTATTAATTTTATTCAGCTGTACAAAAGAAAATAAGACATTTAAACGAAAAATGTGATAACTATTATTACACTAATAGAATAGAAAATAAGATATTATCTATAGTTAATGTGCAATAATATAAAATATGAAAGCAATGAGCGCATATATGCAACATTTATTGGTATGACTGCTGTCACCGCTTGAGAAAAGTACAGTGCGGTCCATCATCCAATTGTATCCCAGCTGAGAATTAGCTTGTTTAAGGAGTTCTGCGCCAACTTCTGTGCGAATTCTAGTATTGTAATCGTTCAACCAACGAATCTAAATTATAAATACAAGTATTAAATTTATTGAATTAAAAAAAATATTGTAGTACTAACTTGTTTAGGGCTGAGCATAGTATAGTTAATTAGTCTTGGTTCAAACGGAACTAATGTGATTGGAGTAAACGTCAAATACTTGCTGGTTGATGTGTCATTCTATAAAAAAAGTTACTTCGTAAATGTTAGTTTATACTACAATACAAAATACTAACCTTTGCTATCACTTCAAGAATATTCTCTAAACGGATGCCAAAATGATTTTCTTTATAAAATCCAGGTTCTGAAATAAAATTTTGTTGTATTATCGTATTTTGTACTCTATATTTGAAATAATTCCAAGCAGTGTTAGATTGATCCATTAGGAGGAATGACAATTCCATCGCGCTGGTTCGAATTGATGGCTTAAAGTATGTGTAGTGTAGACGTTATAAGAAATACAATAGTCGTAAGCTGGAAAAATCGCTTGTAGGCATGATGACATGTAAGATCATACTCAATATGGTATTAACACAAGTAATTAATTTGTGTTGAATAGTAAAGGAGAACACGCGTAGTTCAGCAAAGGATTAAAGTTAGACAAATTTTTGAAGTAAAACTTAAATGACAAGAGGTGGATTAAGACCTCGGAAATTGTTTGTGTCTCCCGATGAATAATAATAAAATTAAAAGACAGTAAACAATTAAAAACGATTGTTTTTTTTTTTATAATTTATTATACATACCATCTGATATAAAATATCCTTCTTGTAGCACCACATCACTCGTTTTTTGACCATAGTACATATTTACAGGGGCTAAAACAAACATATTTATTAAAAAAATATTCTTAAACATACTAAATAATCTGTCTTTGATATAACTCAAATTATCTACAATAATTTTTTTTCAGTAAGATAAGTATAAATATTAACATGAATGAAAACAATGATTTTATTTGTTTGGAAAGTATAATTCCAGATTCAAATGTCTTTGAAATGTAAACAGTGCACTTAAATTTTTCATGATCATGGAAATTTGGTTATTTTACATAGTTAACTTTGCATCTCAAACACCCCGAGCCTTAATGTATAAGATAAAATTCACTAACTGTGAACATGCTGCTAACGTCATTGGCGCCCTAGAACAATATATACTTATATATATTTAGTGTCCCTATTTAATATATTTTTAAGCAAAATACATCTTATGAAAAAAAAATATGTTTCCATATTTTTTGGCGACTTTCAAATGTTTGGTGCTCTAGGGCACCTGCCCCGTTGTCCCTACCCTCACCATAACACGGTATTGGCTATAAAATTTAAAAAAAAATGTTAAAATAAAAGTGTTTGTGGTTTTGTTGTCTATCATGTTATTAAGTTTAAAAAAATAAAGGTTACGTTAAAAAATTTGTTTTTAATTTAAAGACTTCTTTTATCCTAGAACGGATAAAAAAATAGATTACATATTATAGATTTATGAACTAAATAATTTTTCTCTTTATAAAAAATTTAAATATTTTAATTGTTTCTGAGAATATTAATATCTTACCCACATCGATCAATCAATTTGTAGATATTGATATAAATTAAACATTTTATAGGAGAAATTAATATACTATCCCAAATTTTTTCTAGTTTTTTCTGATCTATATGACATTATATGATTATTATTTATTTATTTTGAAATATTTAGAGTGAATAAATTTTCTAGTATTAAAATAATTAAAATTTATTAAAAATTGAAGTTTGTACAATTTCGAAGGTTCCATATTTTAAAATAATACTAATTATTTATTTGTAATAAATAATTGTTGAGTTTCTTAGGATAATTGCACTCAAAAATCACAGTAAATTACATATAGCCTACACTGATAAAAATATATAAGATAATTAGTTTCATAAACTTACGTTCGTGGACTTTAAGGAATGTCCCAATTCCATGGGCAGTACCATGTTTATAATCATAACCGATTTCCCAAAGAGGTGCTCTGGCGATAACGTCGATTTGATTGAGTCTTAAAGTATTTGGAAATGTGAATGAAGCTAAATCGATTGAAGCCATAAGAACTCGAGTATAGGCATCAATCTGTTCAGCTGATGGCTGGCCAAAATGATTGGTCCTAGTAACATCCGTAGTACCATCTAAAAGACATGTGCGTTTATTTAGCATCAATTTAGTGTATTATGGGTTTAAACATCATGAATTATGAAAAATAAAATTGTAAAACAACAAACATAAATAACTGAATAACTTAAAATTAAAAAAAAATAATTTTACAAATTTGTTTATTAGTTATTTTATATCTAGTTTTAAGTTTTCATAATTTACTGCGACAAGTGTATATCTGTTATCATAAACCTATTACTAATACTCTTTTAAATTTTTATTAAATATGCGATAAATCGTTATTTAAAATAAAACTAAAGTAAATTCGGGTAATAAAGCTTAGCTAACCTTGTATTAGGTCTATCTAGACCTTATACAAAGTATAATACAAGCTAGGCCTTATTACCCGCACCCACCATGCTATTTTTACCACAAATTTAAAAATGTATTGGGGTAACATTATGGATGTTTAAATAATGCGATTAATTTTTTTATTACTTGACATTTAATGGTCACTGTCGGCATGACCTTTATCAATTGACCTATTCACCTAAATAATAGTAAATAGATAGTAGTAACATAATCAGAGTATTTAAAAGTAATTTGATAACTATCGTTGGCGGTATTTTTTATCAATATCTTATCAAAATAAATACTTTATATTTTTTAAAATTACTAATTTAAAGTTAGAAAAAATTGTCTAAAACTAATCTCTCTCTATATACTATCTTCCCCTATTCTTATATAAAATTGTTATAATAAATGCATAAAAGAAAAAAATGGCAAATAGATATTAGTACCTATACAGGAAATTAGCACATTAATCATGAAAGCGAAGTAGCAAACTTTTGACAGGTCACTTATTAAAAATAAATAAATATTGAATAGACAGTTGTACACATTACTACTCACATAAAACGCCCCTATAGTAATACACAATTTATTAAATAAACAAAAATATAAACTCTATTACACTCCAGAAAATTTATTTATTAAATACAGGAACAGATCTAACATTTTTTAATGGGAATGCTCAAAACATTTTTTTTTGTACAAACGGAAAACTTGAGTTTATTTACCTAATAGCTCATTTTATTTTTGCCTACAAATATTTACTTCAACAAAAGGAATTTTTGAGTCAGTCTCAATCATCTACATCTTTTGAAATAATTATTATAGGTAGCCAATTATAGTTTTTTAATTGTTGATACCCATACACGAACAATTTTTGCTTCTTTAAGTTCTTAGTATAGGGTGAGAAAATATCATTGAAACTTACCCCAATAATGGGCTCCACTGTCAATAACTAGTGTACTTGATGCTTCTAGTTTAAGACTGCTAGCTGTTGAAGGTGTATAATGAGGTATTGCTCCATTAGGTCCGTAGCCTACAATTGACTTAAAGCTCATCCCTTTGCTAAAATTTTGCCCTTCCCTATATTTGTCAACTATTGTGGCCACAGCAAATTCGGTTAATTGTTTTCCGTTATTGAACTATTAATAAAGATGAAATAATTAATTAAAATATATTATATGTTAACGTTCTTTTGAAATTACAATCAATAATATCGCAGTCACAATAAAAATATTAAATAATTCATTTATAACCAATACATAGTATGTTTATTTAAAGTAAAATAATTTTATTATTAAAACTGTTGGTTAAGAAGTAAGTACCTGTTCATAAAGCGAAGCAATAATATTGCACATAGCCGCTGAGTCTCTAATATGTGACAATCGCATACCAAGTTTCTCCACTGGATTTTTTTCAGCCATCATATACATTATAGGTGAAGGAGCCTGAATTCTTTTATCTGGGTTGACCTGTTATTTATGTTCATTAATAATACTAAATTATTATTTTACTAATTAAATAACTAAGTAATGAGTAGTATTTTTTATTACTGTTATTAGGTACATAGATAATACTAATTATACTCAATGTAATTACAAACAATGGCAAATTTAAGGTGAAACCCAAAGAAGTTTGTTTTAAACTTTATTAAAAATAAATACTATTTCAAAAACAGTTGGCCTTATTTTTATTTAAAAAATAAAAATGTTATTGCTTGTAATAGAAATTATCCATTTCAAAAATCTCAAGGTTCATTCAGTTACATTCTCCCTCTATAATACATGCCACTAAAAACATTTTTTAAACACATTTAAATTAAAAACTATGATGAAAGCTTACCTTAAGGAAAATGTATCTACTTGCACCATTATTAAATTCTGTTGCCGCGGGTATAAGTACTTTTCGCCATAACATTGAATACGCCTTTAATCTTTCTCCCGCAAAGTTATAATCTTCAACTCTTCATTGAATTATGAGTTATGTTATTATTTTTTATTTCATAAGTACTCATTTAAATTTAAATGTGTCTATGACTTTATATTTACCTTACGCAATGAGCAGAAACACAATTATCAGTACGAAGGTGTTTGCGAACTTCATCACTTAACTTTGTAGGATCAGTGTACAAGTACACTTGATCCTTGCTTAAAATAACATACGCCCTAAGAAATGGACCATATGGTATATCATGACCTCGTATATTCAAAAGCCAAGCAATTTCATCTAATGCCGTAACAACCATGGCATCAAAACCCATAGATGCAAGTTTTTTTCTTGTGTCATCTAATTTAGTTTCCCATGTTTTTCCTACAAATAAAAATATTATGTAATTTCATGTATGAATTAATTATTTCATCAATGCCGTCGGTTAAAAACACAACAAAAGCTCATATTTTTGACACTTTTTTTTATAAAAATGTGTACTTACACATTACTTTTTTACAAATATTAAAATTTAAAAAGTAAAATGTTATGGTAAATTTGCCATGTTAATGCTCAAAAACTAAACTTCATTTTTACAACAAAAAATGTAAAACCTTTTGTAAAATTGGAAAATGTGGCTCACGAGTTTTTTTCGTGCAAGTATTTTTTCTTATATAAACATTGTATTTACCCGCATATTCTAGGGGCCAGACGTAGGCTTTGTACGCTGGGTAATTCGGGCGAATGTCATCCTCCCAAATTTTATCTATCAGATTATAATTGATTGGAACTAGATTAATAGTAGCGTTTGTCAAAACTCTTTCCATAAATTCCCAGTCACCGTTAGATATAAATTTCAGGTCAACTCCTATTCTTGAATGTGGTTTCATTTTTTCTAGTATCCATTCGTCTAGTCGAAGCTAAATATATAAAACACAACGTTATAAATTATGCCTATTTTATTTATCGATGTTAAAAAAAATATTTTACAGATTCTCCGTGAACAAGTAACTCCCAGTCACAAGATAACTCTTCGTTAGCTTGTTGGTGGTACATCCATACGGTCCAGAAAATTGCTTTAGTTTGAGTTATCAAGGCGATACCACCTGTTCCACCAAATCCAGAAATAAATTTAAGTCTTTTGTCATGGTCAGCTACCTCTTCATTCTTTAATTGTAAACGAATAATTTAAAAATAAATTAATACATCATTGCTGTTGTTTCATTTAGATTTACTTGATGTTCATCTGTATCATACACAATATATCCATCAAGAGGCGGCCCGTGGTAAGCGTTGGCTTGTTTCATTTCATGTCTTAATCTTTTGAAAATATATATATATATTTATTGAATAAATAATTGTATAAAAATTAATAAAAGTTTGTATACTGTTCAAGAGTTTTAGATGAGTCCACCCGGTTGATGGGCTGCTGTATGTTTTCCATAGGCGGACATAACTTACGACCCAATGGCCTATCGAAGTCCGTGTTATTTCCATTCACTAGAATGCACAGTACATCTGAAAATAAATAGTACTTCATATTATAATGTGAATTTTTCATTAAATATTTTTATAACATATGTTTTTAAAAATTCAAAGCGATTAATTTTCATTAATTTTTTTTTTCTTTTTTTTTTTTTATTTTATTTTACTTATTCATTTATTTTGCATGTATACTTTGATATTAATATAATTTGATGTAATAAATTTAAAAAAATTAGTACGAGATAAACTTTAAAACGTTATTTTATAGATTTCCTATCGAACAATTTTTTTTAAAGTACAATTGTGTTCTCATTCCTAATTGGATGTCATTAGTAATTTGAGTAATGTATTACGGTATTTTGTTTAATCAAATCATAAAATAATTCCTGCATGTGGAATATTTTTTCTTGTTAAATAACTACTTAAGTTAATAAACACAACGTGTATAACACATTGTGTTGTTCGAATAAGTGATTAAATTATTGTTAGTAATAGCAATGTTATTTTAAAATCTTAATTACCATACCTTTATCAACTCAGCATACTAAGCTTTTAATTAATGTAATAACAAAAGAATTATATTTTGTCATAGTATTAATAAATAAGCATAAATTATATTAATTCATACATTACATGTATTAGTTATGTAACTAATTAAACTATATAACAGTAAATAAATAAATAACTTATTATTATTTTATGTTAATTAATAATCAGTATAAAATAGCATCTACAAAAAAAAATTATAAGATGATCTGTACAGAACTGTCTTAGATATTGTCTGCCTAATGTAAAATTATGATAAAGTACCATCTTTAAAATATTTTATTATTATTATTACTCTATTTATCTTTAACGTTTTCTACTAAAAGCTATACTTTCTATCAGAGAATACAGGAAAGACTTCCTATACTTCGGTACTTATAGATTTAGGCAGAACGCGTTTTCAAATAAGCAGATTAATTTATCATATATATAAATTGTTTGTTTCATACTTAAAAAATGTAAAGCATGCGGCCTCTGTCACCATGAGATATCCTAATTTTACAAATAATTTAATAAAAAAAATTTATACATTTTTTAATTTGGTTGAATATTGTTTAATATATTTTATCTTTCAAAAAATAATACACATATTTAAAAATTAAAAATATACGTAACATGTTTTTATTTTTTAAATATGATACAAGTAGATTATTATATTAATTAATATAAATGTATGAATATTTTTTTAATGTTAATTTTTTTCTTTACATAGAATTATTATTGCTTAATTTCTTCTTAAGTTATAAGTAAGTTAATTGTTAAATTTTCACATAATTGCATTATAAGTTATTATATATTTTTAATTTATAAATTATTTTTTTTTATAAAAAAAAAAATTATATAAAAATAATTCTTGTTAAAATTTAAAATATAACAAAGTAATATGACTCATTTCAATATTCTATATGTCAATGTACATAGACTAATATTAGTATAATATACATATACTAATATTATAATTTAATAGCTCTTTTTACAGCCCTCGTTGAAAAATTCAATAAAAATTTTACGTACATAAAAAGGTCATTCTTTTTTTACTATTATAGGGAACAGCATACATACATACATAAGTACATATATAAATATATACATTTTTTTTTTAATTTTAGATAGATGATATTAGTGAACCTAGCTTTTACTAGAGTATATTTTCTAGGTACTCGTGGGATCGCCTTTATAGTCTATATGAATCTATGCGAGACACTTTAACATAATAGCACGTATTCCTATCAGTGAAGCATATCTGTAGAAACATAATCAAATGAAGTACAGCATCTAACTAAAATTGTGAAAATATTATACTTTTCCCTTGTGGGTTAAGCCATGAGATTACTATATAAAAGTGTGAAATCTTATAGGTTGAAAATCGCATTTATCCATATAGTTATTATTGAAAAATACACACCACTACCACAAATAAAATAATATTACTTTATTATTTCAAGTCTTAAGAATTTTTTGTTCGCCGATGAGTGTAGTAATCGTATGATTTTGACCCAATTTTCTGACGGCATTTAAAATCCCAAGGGTTGCTGCATTGTTTTATTAAAGGTTGCGAACGTATTGACATTTCAAAAACCGTTAGACGCTTAGCGTTTCCATTATTATTATTTTTATTCTAGGTCGTCAAATAAACATTACAGTTTTTTTCATTTTTACCCCTTATATAAATTTCAAGAACGTTTACATGTTTAAATTTCTCATTCAATTTAATGAATTAAATTAGAATCAATGGTTATGCAAGGTAATATCTAGCACTCTCTGACAAATAAAGAGAGCTTTTATGTATCATTGATCCAATGATATTTTGTAAAACTTTATAACTTTTAAATATGTTTTATACTTATGATAGAAAAAATTGTGTATTTTCATGGTATAAACGCATGAATTTTCAAATTATTATGAGATAAATTATTTATAGCAAACTAATCAGCCTATGATTTAAAAATTGAATTAACTTTTATTTAATAACTAAGTCCAAATAGTTATCGATAACTTAGATGATAATGTAAATTCAATGATTATTGAATTTTTGTTAACCATATATATTTTATGGTTTTAAATAGTGATAAACTATTGCATATAATAATGTATAATGTTTTATTTATATAGAGTGGTTAAATATTGTGGAAGAAACATACTCGGTACAGAAGAAAATTTTTGGGACAGACCAATTCACTATTTTTGTTAGCAAAAGATTTTTCTTAGAAAAAAATGTTAACTTTAGAAGGCTGTTTTCTTATTGTCCCGTTTTACGCTTTTATTATACACTACTATTATGGTGAGAATCAGTGAACATTTTATCTCATTCAAAATATATTTATATAGACACGTATGATAGCCTAGATGCGTGGAAAGAACATAAATATTAATCACCGATCAAAGGCCTAAGTTGATGAATATAACATCAAAAAAGTCATCATTTTAGGGGGCCCCTTTACTTTGATATTATATCCTGAACAAATCTATGCTTAATGTAGTTGAATGTTGTCAACACATTTTTTTTATATCCAATATATTTACGAGTAAACAAATATTCAAATATTGGAGAACGGCTATTAGTTTAAAGACAACTAGAACCAAAATAATTTTAACCTTATCAAACAGATATTGAAAATGTACATACCAATAATAATACTAGATGCACAATATTTAAGTTAAAATACTAAAACATTAGTCTTGCTATAAAAGTTAACTAATAATTATTTTTTTATCTAATAAAAAAATTAATTATAATAAATAATAACAATTTTAAAACGACAAAAATCATTGAAAATGGGCGGCGTCATCATTTTATTAATGTTAGCTTTTGGTTTACATTTTAAGTGTATAGGTCTGTAAGACAACGCCCCACTTACGGAAACGGCCTACCGCGGATGTGCTATGTCGTAGCACCTTCAAACTATATTGGTAGAAGTAATAAATACGCTAGTGATTTTAAAATGGGTATAACGAAAGTCGAGGCGAAAGAAACTGAATAGCCACAAAAAACTTCCGTTAAGCGTCAAATCCATATAAAAGGACTTAATAACTATTAACCTGCGACCCCTTTTTTTCAGATGTGGTATATTAGAAATTTTATCGAGGCGTTCGGTAGGTAGGATGTACTTATTTATATTTTTCTTTTGAGGTGACATTTGTTATCAATCGGTCACCCAATAATAATAACAAATAAACCCATTATAAATTTTATTCACAGAATAACAAATCATATTGATAAATAATATTAAGTCATGCTATTGGCTCAATGGGGGGTAAAGTTTTATCGAAAACACCTTTACCTTCCTATAACGATTAGACAACAGTAGTCAAATTAAATAATTCAATATTTTAAATTTTTTTCAGGAAAAAAAATAAAATGTTATCGATTAATTAAAAAGTACAAAATTTGTCTATTTTGCGTTGAATATTTTAAATTACAAAAAAATGTATATTAACAAAAGTATTAATAATATAACATTTACATGGAAAACAAAAAAAAACTTCATATTGATGGTGTAAATGATTAATTATAACTGAAGCAATAACACTTTTACATTACATCAACAGTAACTAAATAATGTTCAATTAACTAATAATAAAAAGTGTTATATTTTAGTAGTTTTGTATTAGACAATTAGTAATATGTATATTTAATAATACGCTGATCTCACAATAACAAATATTAAAATATAACGACAATAATTTGTTTAGTAAATCTATTTTTGGATTTTTAGAAAAAATAATGGTAAAATTTAATAGTTTACTCCAAGACAGAATTGGAGTAAGTTTATTTTTAATATAGGATCCAGTCTGTAATAATATAACTGTTATACTTACATATCATTAGTAAACATAGTGAATTCATTTTTTTTTACTAGAACTGTTCAAAAACAATTTTTGTTCAATTGCATAACAATTATCCTTTTTGCAAGAAGAATTACACTTCAATTATGTACAAAAGTTTTTAAATAAATGAACGCCACAGTTACTCCAGCAATGCACTTGGAGTGCTTTTAAACTTAAAGACCAGTGGTGCCACATAAGAAAAAAAAATTATAATGGTAGTACAATGTTTTATAATATTCAAAATGATAATATTACAATTCTAACAAGAACTATTGCATACAATTCATTGATTTAGATACAAATAAAAATGAATTATCTCACATTTAGTAATAATATTGTAACTTAACATATGGTGTCGCACAGTATGCCAAAAAATCATTGACAGTATTACTAAATGTCACAATATTAATTAAAATGTTTAACAAATTTTGTTTCTTTTTAGTTCAAAACAATGATGCATTAGTTAAAATACAGCTAAATTGTTAAATAAATGGTAAATATAATTTAACATTATGTAACAATATTTTCAAATTATATTACATTTTAGAAAATGTGCTAGTTGTTAAGAGTATTTTTAGTCTCATTTATTTTCTTTTGAAAAAGACAGGACATTTGTTTTGATTTTGTATAATTTAATTTTCAATTAAAGATCAAGAAACAAAAATGAGAAAAAATAATTATTAAGTCATAATTAATGTAACAGTCGTTAAAATTGGAATCTAGCCATAGGAACACTTTGATCCCTAAAATCAAACTGTTCTCCAGATTCTTGCACTGAAGGAGCTACTCGAGGATCATCTTCATCAGAGCCAAAGTAACGTTCAATGATACCAAATGCTTTATTGTAAATTTCAATGTTTTCATGAGATTGCAGGAACTCTATTTTATCCAAGCCATAACATTCTTCCAAAAGAACTGCATATTGGTTTACAGCACCCGTTTGTTTAGCCAACTGTTCACCTAGTTTTAAAATATTTTCTAAGCCATTTAAAGCTACTTGGATAATCTTAACATCTGTTACTGTCAACAAATCACAAAGTGGAGGAATACATTTCTAAAAAAATTAACAAGAAAATAAGTATAAATATATAGTTTAATCAATTTTTTGGAAAATTGTTGTTACATTTTCAACCAGATATTGGATTTGTTCTTGCGTTCCACCAGATGTAGCATTAGTGATTGCCCAACCAGCTTCTTTTCGAGTTTTAAATTCAGCTGTTCCCATTATGTGAATTAGTGTGGGGAATATATTTGCATTTAACACAGCCTATTTCAACAAAAGAAGATATATTATACACATTAAAGATACTTAAAAGTAATAAAAAAACTAAAGCAGTATGTAGTAGTAGGTCCACACTATTAATAATAATTAGATTAATTTTAGATATAAATGTTTAGAAAATTTAAATTTTATAGTTAAAGCAATAATTGGGATTGGCCTAGCCTAGTAGAGAGAAATGTATGTTTCAGTTCACTGTATCTTGGGTTCGATCCCCAGGGTGCCAACAAGATTCTTCTTATGATTTTTTATTCATGTCTGATCTCTGGTGCAAGTCAGTCATAATACCTGTCCCATACATCATTATCCTAGCCAAGAACTAACTCTGACTCCCTAACATGTGAAAGAGAGCAATCGCCCTCTGTAGCATGATAAGTTTGGGAAATTGAAAGAAGCAAAACTGGTCATTATAGTATTGTATTATACATTAAGTCTTAAAAACTATACCAAGTAAAGGTTTTAGGATAAATATAGAATTAGAAGATGATTTTTCATAACTTATATTTTATATTAGATATAATTTTTATTCTAAATATTTTGTGATTTAATATGTGTGTAGTATTTAAACATCATGGAAATTACTTGTATTTGATTTTTATTTCCAGCAGTAATATTGGAAATTGTCCAACACGCTTCTTTTCGAATGGTTTCTTTTGGTGAACCTAATAAACTGAGTAGACAAGGGAGTACTGAACAATTTAATACTACTTGGGTTTGGGCATCATCACCAGTCACTATATTACCAACAGCTCGAAGAGCAGCTGACACAACATTATTATGGGTACACCTAATAATTAATATAAGAGGTTAACACAAAAATTTTGATAGAAATGTGTTTAAACTTACATAAGTAATTCTACCAGAGTAGGGCAAACACCAGCATCTATAACAGCTTGTATTTTTTCATTTGGACCATCAGATAAGTAAGACAAAGCCCAACATGTATCAGCCAGTACATCAGCATCAGAATGTGTTAACAACTCAGCAAGAACAGGTAAAGCAGGTGAAACCATATTAAAATCTGGAGGAGGTGATTTACCACGACATAAGTTTGATAAGGCCCATACTGAGTTACGTGTCATTGATAATCGCGAACAATTTTGTAAGAGCCTAAAGAAAACACATAACATAAAAATGTCAGTCTATGTTACCTCATAAATTCATTATTCGCAATAGTTAAAATAATAAAACACATTTTGACACAGACCTGAAATTACTAGTATTTTAAATAATAACAATAAACAAAATTATTTCAATTATTATATTAAAGATAATTATAAAATTAGGTTTTTTTGTACGAGATGCAAAAAAAATTTGTAACAATGGTATATAGTGTATTTGAATATTTTGTGTTATATTTTTATAACATTCATTTATTATCCAAACTTGGGTAACCAATCAATTTCAAGTTTATTCAGGTGTTAGACAAACATTCTAATCAAAGTAGTATTTTGTTAAGAGTTGGATATACCCAAGAGTTTGAAGATTGGGGTTTAAGAAGTTCATTTACAAGTAATACTAGAATTTAAAAATAAATAATTTTTTTTTGCTTTTTAGCCTCATTAAGAGCTATAGCGACGTTCCCTAAAGGGAAGGTTTTTCTTATCTATTGGTACTCTGAAACGGGTAGTTGACGACTTCAATTACCAAATTGATCTTTTGCTCGGCAAATAAAGTCACTCATGACTGAGTCTAAAACCCAAGGCAGTACCCATCAAGCATTGCCATCTTACTAACTCCGCCATAACATTCTTCTGATAAATTGTATATAAATATAAAACTTATAGTATTGTATTGATTTTTTAAAATATTATAACAATTTTTTTAATCAGGAAACTTAAAGAATATTGAACTTTATACTTATATACAAAACTAAATCTTAATTAATCATAAGGATGTAGGATACCAATGTTACTTTATGAACAATATATGAAGGTTATAGTTTAATTACTTTAGCAGTGGTTTCATGATGCCCATATTTAAAACATAATCACGACATACAGGTGAATCACCAGCTATGTTTCCTAAAGCCCAAACAGCTTGTTCTTGAACATCTTCATAAGGAGATTCTAATAAGTAAATAAATACAGGTACAGCATCAGCCTCCATAACTTTTCTTGTTTGATCTGATGTTCCAGAAGCTATATTTGTTAATGCCCATGCTGCTTCAAACTAAGCCGAATTAATTTTAATTTAGTATTTTTAAATAAAAATTATTAACAAAATTAATATTATATACTTGAAGTTGATTGTTTGTAGTATTTTTTAAAAAATCAACAAAACGAGGTATGATACCAGTGCTAATAACAGCATCGATAGGCGGATTAGGTTCAGATGACAATAGTTTTCTAAATTTTTGAGTAGCTCTTAATTGATCTTCTTCATTATTACTATACAAATGTTTAATTAATTCTTCATTAATATTACTTGGATCAGCTACACCAGTTGGAATAGAAGTCTATAAAATAAAAATTGCAATATATAATAACTATGTATAAATATTACAATCGCATATTTTACTACAAAAAAATATCAAATTGTTATTTTCATAGAATTTTTTTCGTATTCAAATATTAAAATAACAAGAATTAAGGAGACGTTAAATATTTTAAGCATATTTAATTAAATCATGTAATGAAATTTCTTTAACCATAAAAACCTTACTTCAAGGTCATCATTTTCATTTCCATCATTAATATTACGCCTTTTGCAAAGTTGGATGTCTCTTTTCTGTTTTCGTAGCTGTATACCTTCTTCTTCGCGCCTTCGGCGTAACTCCTTTGAGTCAACACCTTCGTTTTTGTATCGCATTCTATGCGAATTTGACATTTTTTATGTAGTAATCCAAACCTAGAACACAAAAATTAATCACTATATTACACTACAATAATGAAATCGAATGATTTTTTATTATATAACAGAGTATATCATGCAAGTACCTTCAGTATACAAATATATTTTAGGTTAAGCTAAAATAAAAGCGGGAGAGCGCGCATGGACGTAACGGCAGCTAAACTTACTCTTTTCTCTAATGAAGGTATAATGTAGAATGTGGTAAATGTAAGACAACGACTTAGGGCACTAATATATAACAGTAAAAGTGCAAACAAACAAATTCCTAGGAGAACTCACAAGTAATATCTTTATCGGAACTGAGAACAATAGTCATAATACAATATAAAAAATCAGCACGGTTTGTAATCACATATATATCACACTAATACACGCACATGAGGCGGAAGGGACTTAATGTTATATCAGAATAACCACTTTTGGTAGCAAAAATACATTGTTTAGGTCTGGGCGCGGTAAATGGTGGGAGATTATGGTGTACGGTAAGACCTTGAAGAACTATAAACAGCTGATGTTCAGCTCCTTGACCGGCAACATCTGTTCCCTTACCTGTATAAATTATATCTAACACAAAAAAACCAAACGGATAATTAGTGTTTATAACTTCTTTGAAATTGAGTTTTGGAGCCCAAGTATAAAAATATTTATTTGTGTATTTACATGTATTAATTAGTGATGGGCATAATCAAATGATTACGATAATCGAATGATTAGTAATCGAGACATTTTCATAATCGAGTGAATCTCTCGAAGTTAAAATCGTCTGCTCGTATGATAAGAATAATCAACTATTATTATTTATCGAGAGAATCGAAAAATTATTCGAAATATGAATAAATATACCTATAGTAAATAATTATTAATTTAATTTTGCTTTTTTTATTTGTTGGTGTTTATTTATAATTATTATATTAAACTATAATTTAGGAATAATAATAATAATATATTAATAATGCATTATTAATAAGTTACATCATTCGAAATAACTTTTAATCGATTATATACATTTCAAGATCAAGAAATCATTGTTTTCATAATAAATGAGAAATCATTAGAAATAATCACTCGATTATAGAATAATCACGACTGTGAAGATAGCAATTCCTTTATAGCAATTTCATATCAGATATAATTATAATATACACCGCTAGAGGCCGCCAGTTGGTTTAATAAAGTATTATATTATATTTTACTTTTGACAATAAGTTCCGAGACGANCCATCACTAGTATTAATACATGTGTATGTTTAGTGTTAATTTATTTGGCACAAATTTCTATATTATTGTAATATACAATCAAATAGAAACATTTTTTACTTAGTTTTAGTAATGTTATTTTAATTATATTTTATGTATAAAATAAGATACGTTATTAAAATGAGTTATTGGGTTAGTATATAATTAAATAAGGATCGAGTTGAATGCTTCAACTCATAGCCATATTAATAGAAGCACATTTATGACATTTGCGTTCAACTGAGTTGAAAAGAAAATTATCATAGCTTTTTTTTAGGGAGCCACTATTTACAGTATATATATATTAATTATTGTAATATCTTAAAGCCATTTTATATTTTTATTACTATACATTTATTGTATTAATATTATAGTAATGTTTAAATTAAATTGTTTGTAATTTATAGATAATAAAGATGTAATATATAAACTATTAAATTAAAAAAACCAACACAGGGGGGTCGCGGCACAATGATGACGTGCATAGTTGGATCAAGTATAATGATATTTGACAGTGATTAAAATCACTCATAAAAACGCTTCCATGCAAATCTTTAGATAGTGTTTAATCTTAAAAAATTGGTGGATTATTCATTTTAAATCCCCTCTATGGGCAATTGAAGTGTTTAATTTATTGAAAAAATATACCAAATGATAATTAAAGACATCATGCATCTATAAAAAATAAAAATATATTGATTTGGTTATTTTTAAAAAAGTTATAGCAGTTTTAAGTAAAAAAAAAAATGTCAAAAATTAGTGATTTTTAAATTTGTAATTTTTTCTGAGATTTCCCCCATTTACGGAGAACCAGGGAAATTTTTCAATTCTTGAAAGTAATATCTTTGATTAGATACAATTTGTGATCTTTTGATGTATCGTTAAAAGAAATTGGTTTGGTGAGAGTTGAGAAAAATTGGAACAGACACAAAAAAAAACCACATAGTAAAACCAATACATTCTCAGCTTCGCATCGAAGCTAAAAACTAAAATTTATTTACTATATAGATCAGTATAATAATGGCAAACATTAGCAGCCTTGGGCTAATTTCTAAATGTCTCTAAAAATAGTAGTTGTATTAAAAACTCAATTTTTTAATTTTTATATTATCATTATAAAATATAGTTAAGATAGATATTAAATTAGTAATTATTTTTTATTTCAGTGTTAATTACTCAAATTAACACTGTTACTTATGTATCATTACCGTATAGTATCATTGAAATGAAAACACTTTATTAATAGAAATTAATTTATTTTTATGATAATATGATAAATTAAGTTTTACTATTATAAATAATGTTGTATGTTTAAAAATTTCATCTAACTTTTAATTAAATGTGAAATGAACATGCGGACATCAATTGCTTTAAGAAGGCTTTTAAAAAAATAGATTAATAAAAAAAGTACTATTTTACATTTTGTAGCAAGAACTAAATATATTTTTATGATCTTGTATACTGTATTAATAAAAAGTAACATTATACAGTTATACATTAGCTTAAATAATGTTTATGAAATAATTAATTACAAATTATTAAAATGCATACTAAATATGAATAAAATTGCAGTGTAATCATATATTTGTAAGATTATTTAGATGATTATAATAAAAGATAATAAACTACTGAATAATAATAAAGGGTAATCGGTTTATATTAATATATGCTTTTTTTGTTATATATATTATTTTTGTAAATTTTTAATTTTACTGAAATATTTAATGTTAAAAGCAATTTAGATAAAATTAAGAAGATTAATCATATAATGTATGCTATTGTAATTAAAGAAATAATTGAGTATTATATTATAACCAAATTTTTTTTGTGTATTTTATATAAAAAAAATATTAGACTTGCAGTAAATTAATTACACTCAATTCAAAAATTGTATAAGTAATAATATTCTGACCAAGAAATAAGAATATATTTTTTATTTTTCATACACATTAATACACAATTATACTACAAAATGATATACTATGTTTAAATATATTTTTGGTTCAATAAATAAAAATTATAAATATACACTCAATAACTAATATACTTGACTTATGTGTAATAAGAAAGTACGAAAATTTAAAATAAATTAAAAAAAAATGTGTGCTAAGTAAAACAACAGTTTAAAAGTAATATTATTCCCTCACAATAAAAATGGAATACATAAATTATTTGATTAAATAACTTAGCATTTAAACTAGTTTAGAATATACTAAAAAATAAAATATGAACCCAGCCCACTTTTTAAGATTTAAAATTTTTATCATTGTGCTCTAAATAAGCAACACCACAACTAGTAATTGCAAATCCAGAAAAAATTCCAGCAAGAGTTGCTATTGCAGTGTTATTTGGCAATAAACTACGAATAATAGCCCATGACAACACTGATCCCATATTGAACAAAACTGAACCATATACACTAAAAATTTAAGAGCTTTATTAGTTAAATTAATAATATTTTTTTTCATTCCAATATTTTCTAATTATTAAAATAGGTAAATTTGTGATGTAAAATATGTTCTTTTTTTATATACTTTACAAAAAGGAACATATTTTTATATATAATTTTATTTATATTATATTAAGAATTTAATTTTATATTTCTATTTTAAGTATGCCAATATTGTACATTATAATAAAAATATTTTGTTATTGAACTTTGTTTATACCTGTAAAGAACACGTATCTTCAAAGGTGATGATCTCAAATGAGGACGACTTACAATGAATAATGTTGATCCCACACATGAATTGAGTAAAAGTAAATTAGTAAGATCTGGTTTAGGTATTATTCTAGAAAAAGTATTAATATTGATGATTTATTAAAACCACTAGTACAAATAGGGAAGTATAGATCTGACAATGTGAAATCTTTCTTAATAATATAATTAATCTTAATTATAATTCTTAACACTCTGAAAGTTATCATAAAAAGTTCTTATTACAGAGTAAAAATGAAAAAAAAATCATTTAATTATTGTCTGGTCTCTATAATGTTTGTGAATAGAATTTTTTTTGATATTATTAAATTAAATTTTTACGATTGTCACTATTAAAAACTTCAAAGGAATTATAATTAATATGTTTCATTAGTCTAACTAATTAATCTCCAATTATAATTGAATAAGATGGATTAATTTATCAATATAACCCCGTAATCATATATAAAATTAAAAATTTATTTAATGGTGATGTATTTGTTAGTTATAAGGGATGTCTTGATTGTATATAAAATTGTGTAATACCTTTGTAAAAGACCTGGGTTCATTACGTTAATTGACAAAATTGTGTAGTTAAGCGAGCCAAATGCTGGAACATAAAAATTAATAGCAGAAGTTTTGTCTAGGGCAGGCGGTCGATAGCTCACAATTTTATCAACAAATGATTTCTTGTCTGAAGCCATTGTTTTGACGTATTCCTATGACTAAAACACAAAAATGAATGTCGAATGGCAAATGAGTACTTTCTACCTAAATGAACTTAATATTGAAAACATCGACTGATATTGATAAAAAGGCGTCATTATCAACAAATGAATCAGTACGCTTAAGAAAATCATATTTTCTTTTAAAGATAACATTTTTAGGTTATTGATAACAATAAATAACGCGGGCTATAATTTTTATCATTAGATATTTTTTCTTAATTATTCCTTTATGAATGATTTTAATTAAGTGGTAGTGTAAAATAATAATTAGATATGAAATAAAAATCATTAGAATTTAATTTATCTACATTTAATGCAGAATTATATACGATTTGTCAGTCTAGTTTTTTTAAATTTTGATATTATTATTATTGTTTTTTGAACATTCTATAATTTCTTTAGTTATAATCACTAACGTTATAATGGATTACATTATGTTATTATACAGAGTTTATTATTAAGCGATTCACATATCATGAACTATTTAATTAATTGAAAAATAAAAATAATGTTTAAACATTTTTTATTGGCTTCTTTTAGTTCAATATTTTTCTGAATTAATCAGCATTACTCTTGAAGCATTTTTAATGTTCATCCCTTATACCTTTTAAGAGTGTTAACTTAAATCTTTCAAATAGTAACACACTATATTAACTATTTTATTGATTAGGTAATGGTCTAATTAAGAAAATGACTGATTGATAAATACTTATGGATTTATGAAAATTTATTAACAATTAAAAGTTATGACTGGTTGTGAAGAAGAGGGGTGTTGATATTTTTAAAAATAGAAATTTCCCGGGCGTACTCTTCCTCTTATCAATATATAAATATGTTAATAATTTCTAAAATACTGGTCCAAAAATTGTTATCAACCATTATTTAAATTTTTCGATTAAATGATTAACACCATTGATTTAATGATTAATATTTACTCTGTATATAGTGTTCAGTAAGTAAGGAAACATGTTTCTATTGTTCTCATTTTTTATAACAATTGATATATTTCTTTACTTACAAATCACTTAGTATACAAATATAATGTCATCAGGATGTCACAATGTTTTAGCTTCGATGCGAAGCTGAGAAGGTATTGGTTTTACTAAGATGTGTTTTTTTTTTTTTTTTTTTTTTTTTTTTTCTGTTACCACTTTTTCTCAGCTCTCACCGAACGGATTTCTTTCAACGATACGTCAAAAGATCACAAATCGTATCTAGTCGAAGACATTACCCTTAAAAATTGAAAAAAATTCCCTCGTTCCCCGTAAAAGGGGGAAACCTCCAAAAAAATGACAAATTTAAAAATCGCTAATTTTCGAAATTTTT